GGAGAAGCGGGGTGATGTGGGTGTGTTTGGAGGACTTGGTCAGAAGCCGAGCACAGGCATTCTGAACCACCTGTAGACGGTTCAGGGAGGTTCTGCTCAGACACGTGAAAAGAGAGTTACAGTAGTCGAAGCGTGAGGAGATGAAGGTGTGGATAACTGTCTCAAGTTCAGAGCGGGACAGAATGGGACTCAGCTTTGCAAGGAAGGAAGGAAATCCACTCAGTTTTCCAAAGGATTTTGAAATAAAACTGTTACCCTACGCTTGAATTATCTTTGTAAAAATCCTCTGAACAAAAACACAATTTTAATTTTTTAATTAAAGGCCCCGTGTGTGAAATCCATTGAAATCATGATGAAAAAATGTGACTCTTTAGCGCCGTGCAGTTCAGAGAAAGTATTGCAGCTACGGTGGCCCACTCATGAGTTTGACTGTATAATCAGTTTCTAACCTGTGTAGCTTAACCCACACGAAGCTTAAAACAAGCTACTCTACCTCTTTAAAAAGCATTTATAATTATGACTGTTTATCAACCTACCAGTCCTGAAGGAAGCAAGCTAGTTCTGTTAGATCTTGAAGCGGTCACGATTCACACACGGAGGGGTGATGTCAGCTGGGAGGTCAGGTGTTGTGAGAAATTGTGTTCCCCTGAAATATTCTGTCCCTCCCGTGTCGGGAGATTGCACTTCTGGCTATTTTCTCAACATTTGTGATCAACTTTTACGGGAAAATTATGTCATGTAATGTAATAATGTTATGCTTGTGATTTTTATCTGTAATTCCTCCTAAAAACAATAAAAAGATACAGTAAAAACATTCTTGTTCACTCTTTTGCAGCAAGCTTACTTATCATATTTGAAAGTTATGTAAAAGGATGTAATCTCACTCAGGTTAACATCTTTTATTTGAGGTAGTTCAGTCCTCATAATGGACAGTAAGTTCTGTGAATTAGGAAATATTTGCTCTTGACTGCCTAAGGGAAACAGAATATTTCAGGGGGACATAATTTCCCACAACACCCATTTCACGTGGATCACGGTGCCTCGATGTAAACAAACTACCAGCTTATATGGATATGGAGCGATCACTGGCTGGTCGTTAACCACGGCTGGTGGAGGAGTGTTGGTGAGCCGGGGACATGCTGGAGATCAAGTAAGCAATGCTGACTTATCAACCAGCTAATCGTGGCTCGCGGCTGGCGTGGTGGACATGGGCGTCACGAGCTACCGAGCTACTGTTAGCCATAGCTAGAGCCGGGGAGACGCTTTGTATGTGGTGTGTACACTCCCACAGATTACCAGAAAAAGGAGACCCAAGTCTAAAGGTAACGTTTGAGAAGAAGCCCTCTGAGTCGGAGCGTCTCTGTGACGCGTGGAGAACTACATCGCTGTTAGTGAAGTGTTGTGGAGATAAAGTAAACAACGCTGATTTAGCCACTGGCTATCGGACGAAAGCTGGAGCGTGTTGGGCGAGACGGCAGGCTGCAGGAAGAGAGGAGACTTGAGTAGAAGGACTTTGGAATGGACACGCTGGGACCGGATCGGGAATTCTGGTACTAGAAAAAGACGGATGAACAACTTGAAGTGAGTTTGGGAGTCAGGGACACTAATCGGAGGCTGGCTTCCAGATAATAGCGGGCGGGGGTCTGAACATATGCAGCTTCCTTGTGTTGGACATGATGACAAACTGACTAATTTTATGTGTCTTTTGATTTAATCGTTTTTTTAAAATTCAGACTAACAAGTACAGCAACGGTGTAGCTATTCTTTTCTATTTCTTAGTTGAATTAGCAGACTCTATGCTTCCAGGGCGCACTGCTGCCCTCTGCTGGTTCTTTCAGGTTACAGTCATAGTCCAAACGGGTAACGTGGAGCCCGTATGTCCCTAAACAGCTACTGTATTTTAAGATGGTGGATGAACATGGAGCGTCAACCACAGTTTATATATATATATATATATATATATATATATATATATATATATATATATATATATATATATATATATATATATATTTATGTGTGTGTGTGTGTGTGTGTGTGTATAATTTTAAGTTAGGAATATTTAGAATTGATGTTGGTGAGAAATATTAGTGAAAAAGGACAAGTTTGTGAACTGGAAACAGGATTTGATAGTAAACTGGTAAAAATATCACACACTGTGCCTTTAAATCTTATCTGTGAATAAAAAATAGTTAATTTGCTGTTTGTTTTGAACACATATCAGCAGGTTGATTTGCTCAAAATGAGTTTCCCTCATCAGGAAAACCCACCACAGCGGCATAAATGTTTTGAATCATGCAACATTTGAACCGAGTCTTGAAAGCACAGGTCAAAGGTTATCGTTGTTGTTTCTGCTGAGGTTCGCTGAAATGGAGCAAAGGCTGGTCTTCATATGAACCCAGAGAACATTTTACCCTCTCTGTAATATTTAGCTCTGACGGGAACAAATCATTTAGATGTAATTTAATATTGATAGAAATGAAGTCAGAGATGTTCCTACCAGCAGTGACGATCTGGACAGTCCATGGGTATTTGGTCATTAGGGTCTGGTAGGATCTCCACAGACCTGCCATTCTAACTCCTGTGATGAGAAATAAAACGGATAAAAGGGATTTTTTTAAATCAGTATATTTTGAGAGTTCTCTTCGAGCCTCCAGCTGGAGTTCTGATGAGAGATCTTCACATGTAAACCAGAACAGAATTTGACATTAAAGCTCTGAAGGATCAAGCACCATCTTCTGTTAGAGATCTCCTTGTTCAAGGTGTTCCCAACAGCGCAGGCTATCCTGGCTCATCCCTTTAGTTATGCTGCTATTGCTTATGATTATTTTAATGCATGTTTTATGTCTTGAAAAGTACAACACACATTACTGTTGTTCCTGTTTAGGCTGTTCTTGATGTAACCAGCAGGCATGTGGCTCAAATCAAGCTAATCAGCCTTGCCACGTCACCCATTACAGCATAATCCAATTAAACTCATAACGAATGCATTTACAAAATATTAAATACTCGTTCAGCCTAAGTAATTCGGGAGAGAAGGGTTTGACATAGGTTTAAAACCAATTGTCATATTGAATTTGACTTTAGAGAATGTTTTCTTAAAGTCGAATTAAGGATTGTATTTTAGTAACTAGGGTACGACCAGAAAATGGTAAAATTTTGTTTAAAAATACGCAGATAAATTAGAAACACTCGTATTTTTGAATGAGATTTGTGGTAAACGTTTATTCATTTAATTAAATGTAAATTTAACTGTCTTCTCTTATAGCCGAATTAAATACTATACTTTAGACATTAAGAAGCAATAAAGACAGTCCTTGCTAACTCAATCATAATTCGGTATTTTCCAGATAAATGTAAAACACTCACATTTTCGAACGAAATTTGGGAGTACGAATATGGGTCTCGTACCAATTTCAGCCAAACTTTAAATACGTTCTTTGTGTTGGAGACATCAGAAAAAGAAAATAACTGACTAAATACGCTTTAACGAGCAGGTTTAAACAGAGTTTGGTTGACTAGGATGAGAAGTCTTAAACGGGTCAGTCAGTCACGTTCTGACAGTTTCTACTGAAGGATTTAATCCTCGTTACTGAGCAGAACTTCCCAGAACATCTCTCCTGCTTCACCTCTAACTGTGTTGTGTTCAAAGCAGTTTAAAACCTAAAATATAAAATAGTAGAAGAAACATGCACGTGCCTGCGGGGTGAACCCGGTGGCTCACCGAGAGGAGCTGGAGGTGCCTTCATGTCAGCTCCGATTTTGGACTTTTCCAAAAGGGATTCACGGTTAAAGACAAAACAAAGCGTTCACATCTTCAGGTTTAGATGAGTATGTATTAAACATGGCGATAATTGCACGTGCAGATGTTTATTGCTTTGATAAACACGACGCTTTATTCTGGAGGCTTAATTAAACTGTAAAAACTAGTTCCTTTTACGCTCATTAAACATAGGACACAAAATGCCTGTCAGCAGGCAGCAGCAGCACACTATCAAAAGTTTGATTTGGAATAATTTTTATACAAAATGTCCATTAGATAAATGATAAACTTCCGTAAATTATAAAGGTGATCATTGTTGTTTCCTACTGTACCTTTACGTTACATGAAACGTTCGTCATTTCCGCTGTAAACAAAGTGTATGGCAAGCATTTTTAACATTTAACCAACTGCCTGGATTTCTATTGAATTATATTTCAATTTGACCTGATCAAAATTTTATTTTTAGATATCCTTTAAGTTTTCATAACATTTTTGATAACACAAGTCCAGTCTAGTCACTTACTTATAACACACTTTCACACACACGACAGGAAGACCAAAGGGCCGAACACAACATGAAATAATCACACAATTGCAGAGTCGCCACAAAAATGCATGATTCTATTCCTGGCATTTGGCAAAAATACAGTAACCTCAGTCTTATTCTCACTGATGCTTAGGTAATTTAAAGCCATCCAAGATTTCACATCTGTACTGCAGTCTAATAAGGGCTGGATTGAGGTAGCTGAACCTTGAGCCATAGACAGGTACACTTGTAAATCATCAGCATTGAAATGACATTTGATTTTGTGCTTATGAAAAGGGGCTCCAAGAGGTAAGGTAAAGGGAGAAAAAAAGAGGACCAAGAACAGATCCCTGTGGTACCCCCCAGCTGAGGTCTGTTCGTACAGATGTAAACCCTTCAAAACTTACTGCGAAATTCCTCCCAGAAAGACAAGGCCTCACCCATTCAAGGGTTGCTCCCTAATACCCACCCAGTTCTCAAGTATATCTATCAGAAGGCCATGATCGACTGTATTGAATGTTGCAGATAAATCTAAAAGCAAAAGCAGCACAGTATCGCCTTATCCGTAGAACAGAAAATATCATTCAAAACCCTCAACAAAGCAGTTTCTGTACAGTGATGGGTCCTGGACTACAGATTAAAATAGGGCAGAGGAGCAGGAAACTGTTAATTAATTATGCCAAATTTCTAACATGAATTTGCACGAATCCCAAGGTTCAGTGCACACGCAGGAGCACATTTCGGGAAACGTCTGCATACGATTCACAGTTGGTGTAAACAACGGTCCGTCCGGAAGTTGTAACGAAACCGGACTACATCAGTCCTGTATTCTGTGTGAATGATGGGTCAGATCGTAATCTAGAGCCTTCATCACTTCTTCTTCTTCTGTCGTTCTCTTAAATAAAGTTATTAGCATTAAGTTCAACCAAAAAATCCAAATTCAGCCATATTTGTGACAAACTATGATCTCTTTTTAATAAAACCAAATAAATAAAATTCAGCAGTTTAATCTGTGTGGTTGTTTTTTTGTTGTTTTTACAAAAAAAAATAACCTAAAACATCTAAAAGCTTTGATCTCTTGTTTTTGTTCCTGTTGCAGCTTGATGGACAATCTAACTGCTACGCTGTGCTGTTTGGGCCCAAAGATCACCTCAGAGCAATCTGTACTAAATATAATTTTACTCATCAAGGGACCTGCCTACAGGCACCCCAACACCACCCCAAGATTTATTTATTCAGCTTGAAAGGCAACGTGCACCCCCCCCACACACACACACACACACACAAATGTTACATCAAAATGACCGTCTCAACCATGGGAAGTGTGGTATGTCCTGATGTTTCAATTTACCATGGCAACGTTATTAGCATTAAACATCATAAAAATGTCTCATTGTGCAGGTGACAGGTCCCTTTTCAAAATTTCCAGTTTTTTTCACATTATTTTAATGCCATGTAATTTCTTGCTTTAGTTTTTACACGTTAGTTGTAGCGGATCAACGGTCAAGTTTTCATAGAACATGAAACATAGAACATAAAACGTAGAGCATGAGGCAAAGGGATAAAATGGTGAATAAAAGTGACCTAACAAGGAATAAAACAGCAAATAAAAACAAGAACTAAAAATAACATGAAAGCAAGCCGACTTCAAATATGTTCTGTAACGCTATTCAAAAAGACATGAGTTGTAAGTCGACTCTTACTTTTTAAGTTTGGTTTTTATATTTTATACGTTTTTTACGTTTGGTTTTTATATTTTATTGGTTTTTACGTATTGTTTTTATATATTTTTTGTATTTTATTGCTTTTTCAATCAATCAAAGCTTTATTTATATACAGCGCCTTCCACCACCCATTTCGGGGGCCTACATTGTAAAACATTGTAAAAAGGCATTTAGTCATAAAAAGAGAAGTTAAACATAGAACATGAAACATAGAGCATAAGGCAAAATGGATAAAACGATGAATAAAATTGGCTTAACAAGGAATAAAACAGCTATTAAAAACAAAAAATAATAATAACATGAAAGCAAGCCAACCTCGAACATGTTCTGTAACGCTATTCGAAAAGAAATGAGTTTTAAGACGACTCTTATTTTTGAAGTTTGGTTTTTTATTTGATTGTTCTACTTGCAGCTAGTTTTTCTATAGAAAAACTAGTTGGTTATATATAACCAACTCTTTGTTCTATTCTGATACTCAAAGGTACATTTACCTTCAGCCGAAGCGATCCTGTTAGTGTCTGAGAACAAGCTTAAGGGGGCGGGGCACGTTCTGTGCCAGCTGCTAAGCTTTGGGAATCGCGGCCACTGCAGGTTAGATGTTTTACTCATCGTTTGAGTTTAAATCTCTTCTGAAAACCATCTTGTTGCCTTTTAACTCAGCATGAGAGTCGTCCCTTTAAGTCGTGGTTCATTAGGTAGGGTTAGGTCAGACTGCTGGTTTTAGAGCTTTATAACTAAAGTCTACTTGAGTAATTTCCCCTCATCCTGTAGAGCACTGAGGTCGTGGTAATCAGGTGGGCCTAAATCGGAAAGCATGAGGAATAAATGCTTTGTTGTTTTGGGGGTTTGTGTTGAATTATTTCAGAAGTTACTGAAATTTAGACTTGATTTTCTTCTTAAACATCCTGATTCCTTTTAGGGTTTTTCCAGATGTGACAGATGTTTTACTGCCACGTGTATGTGAGGACCCTGACCCAGTCTCTCTGCCAGGAAGCAGAGTATTCAACGTTGTGGCTCTTGCTTTGTTCCCTCCTGAGTTCTCCTCTGCAGTCGCTGATGTTTGATCTCTAATCATGCATCCATCCTTGTTCTCCTGCTGATGCCAGGCTGGGTCCTGAGGGTGGTCCCAGGTCCTGGACGACAAGCTTAGAGGAGCATCCTCCTCACCCAAACGATTCAGAGAAGATTTTGCGTCTCTTTCTTCTGGCTTTGTAAATCTGTTCGCTAGAGCCCACAACAATCTATTTTTTCTTTTTATCTAACTGATATAAACCTACGACTTCCTCTTCTAGGTCCGACCAGTTTATGTCAGCTTCATCAGGCATGACAAACGAGTCATCGCTTTCTTCTGAAGCTGGAGACCTTTTATCTTCATCCCCACCTAGTTCGTCTTCTGAGAAGACAGACGTTTCATCGTCACTCGTTTCTTCATTTGAATCTGAATATATTTCGTCTAACGCTTCTGATTTTACCTTTTTGGGATAACGTTCCTGCTTCTCCCCTGAGAGGAATGATACTGCATTGTTTTTCCAAAAATATTTTACTGCAGTGAGAGAAAGACCACCTTCATCTCCCCATTTAACACGTTTTGTCGGTCTACCACAGGGAGAAACCATCTTTGAAGATGGATCAGATGTTCTCAACACACCTGAGACATCTTTGCTCTCGTCTTTTGAAGCCCACAATGATTTCTCCTCACTTTGGTGAAAGGACGGCAAATCCAGAAATCCAATTTCAGACCAGTTTATGACATCTTCAGAATTAAGAGACACACTGTCATCACTTTCATCTGAAGAGTCTGATGTTTGAAAGTCCTCTCCTAACTCCTTTTGTGAAACCGATGCTTATAATTCCCGTTCTCCTAAACTTTCCTTTGGAGAGACTAAAAAGTTTGTGTCGTTCCCATCTAAGGACAACTGGAGATCGTCTTCTTGGTCAGATAAATTCATGTCCTCCTCGTCAGTGAAAAACGTGGAGTCACCTCCCGTTGCTGAAGCTAAAGACGTTTCAGCTCCATTCTCTAAGATTCCCTGAGGATCAACAAGACTGGAGGACACGCTAGGAGGCGATTCATCCTCGTGTGCCTCCTGTTGGCTTAATTCTGACAAGATTTTATATTGCACTTCATTTAACATCTCCAAATAACTTTGAACATAATTAGGGTCACTTTCATCAAAAGATGATGACCCCAGAGGGCGTTTTCGGCATCGATCTAACCATCTGTCATCTGAAATCGACGTTTCAGGTGTGAAAAGTTCTAATTCTTCATCTAAAACGGATAATACAGATTCATTTTCTTCATCTGAAATCAATGACTCAGGTTTGACTTCCTCTAAAAGTTCATTATTCGTGTTTTTGGCGTCACTTTCAAAGGACAACTGATTGTCTGAGGAAGTCAAACTCACTTTACCAGAATCTACAAATTCAGAATAACTGCTCCCATCTGAAAGCAAAGACGATTCTGATCGTGTTTCTGGGTCGTGTGAAACCAGCCTAGCGTCCGTCTCTGGATTCTCAAAGCACATCTGGAGAAAAATGTCTCCTTGATCAGAAATCCCAGACTTATCTTCACATTCCTCCTCAAACAAATCATCTGAAGCCACCAAGAGTTCAGCTGTGTTCTGTGTAAACGCTTCTTCTGCAACAACAGCGATTTTCATTTTCTTGTAGCTCAGATCTTCCGTAGAAGCCCCGGGTGAATCCACTCGGTTTGCCATACCTTCTCTGGGAAATTTGCTACAGTCCTTCAAGTCAAAGACGTCGAAGTCTGAACTCATTATTTCTCCCGAGTAATTCTCAGAAAGGGTTTTTTCAGTCAGTGAGTCCTTTGAGTATTTATGGACCAGATGATTCTCTAGCAGTTCTCTGGGAACTACAATCCGTTTCTTCACCTTTTAAAACCAACGGGTCATCGTCCCTGAGAAAACTGTAAACGATTTCCAATCCAACTTCAGACGTGGTCTCACGTTGTGGTTGGACCAAACTGGATGAATCCTGGTTTTCTCCATAGAAGTACTCAAAAGCATTTCTAGCAGCCTTCGGAACTAAAGCCCAAACGACGAATCCTGTAACGGCAAACATCGTGGTGCGCCCGATACCAGACTCCTGAAAGCAGACATGTTGCTCACTCAAGTATCTAAACTCGAATGACTGACCAGCTCCCTCTGTGGTGCCTCTTATACATGGATACTTGGGACTGTTGCGTGAGAGCGTGTGAAGACAGTCAAATGCGTGGCGTTGTGTGAGAGTTAACAAAGTTGGCAACTAAAAACGACTTACTGCTAAATATCTAAATCAGCAAAAGGAAATACAGTTTGACAACTTCTGACACACTGCTTTCACTGCATCAAACACTAAAAACAGACACAGTCCCGCAGTAAATGCAGAGAAGAGCGTGATTAATGGAAGAAAAGTTCTCTACTGCAGTGGCTCCAACCTGGGGTTCGTGACCCCCTAAGGGGGTCCCCAAAAGGTTGCAGGAGGTCCACACACTTGTGAAGTTGTGAGATTACCAAGATTATAGTTAAAAATACATTAATTCATTTATAAAATCCAGATAACACACCCAACAGTACAATCACATCTTTCTGTAAGAGGCATAACTCTGTCTGCATAAAGTTTGTAATTATTCGGTTTACTTTGCATAAGAGTTGGGGGCCCTGGCCCGACTTCGGCACAGGAATGGGGGTCCACTGCTCTAGTGGACTCTAGTCTGCGTTAAAGTGAACTCAACTAAAATCATGCTTCTATGTTTACATGTTATTAGACATTAATTTATAATATTATCACTTTACATCTTACTACATATTTCTTATTGCCCTACATGAATAAAGAAAAATACAACAAATACACCATTTCATTGCCTTTTTCCTTGTTTTATCATTCAAAGGTTCAGAAACTTTTACACACAAAATAAGAAGTGTTTCAAGTATTTATTCTGTAGAAGAGCAGTGGCACTTACATCCATAACATCAAACGTCCGTGAAACCAGAAAAACGGCACGGTTCACCAAAGAACCGAAACACCAAACCCGCCCTCGGTGGGGTAACAAGCTTCCACAGAAACGACAGGAGAGGATCTCTGCGTTTGACTTCTAAGGAGCACATCCACGGTGCTTTTACTGAACCCAGAGGTGGACCAGCCTGGCAACAGCTGGATGGAAACTGGTTACCGTGGAGGTTTGCTGACATCACAGCAGAACGCCACGGCTCGTTGGAACGCTGCTGGCCGCAGACGCTTTGGAAACCGTACAAACAAAATTCCTTTTTATGGTTTTTAATAAATGTGAGACATGTTCAAAGTGATTCTATGTAAACATAATAAATAAATAACATAAAACACGACTAAACAAGCAGCGGATGCAGGTTTGCAAACTCGATCTGAGCTCGCGGTGCTGCGGGTTCATTACAGAAATGTTGCCTGGAGGTTTTAATCCCACCAACAAGTTCTGCACTCAGCGGACTAGGAATACTGCAGGAATCCTTACTTAAACCCCTAAAATAACTCAGGGGGAGGAAAACCTAAACAATAAAACCTCATTTTAAACCTTTGACCTTTTCAAAGTTTGTCGTCCTCTTCAAGTATTTGTTGTCGTCCCTTTTGGTGGAAGCAGCCCGAGATGATTTTAAACATCAGGAAGTATAAACAGCTGTTGGTAGAAAAGCTCAAAGCCAGGAAACGACGCCACGCCTCGTTGCCACCTCATCAGACTCTGATCAGTAATTGGCCGTTGCATTTTTAACGCAACTTTATTGTGCAAAACAAATTTGATCTGATCACTGAGATGAAGCCGTTTATCATTTAAAAAAGTAAAACTAATCTCAACGGACCATGCTTTAATCTGACGCCATAATTATCTTCTGGATTACATAGTTTAGGATTGCGGATTAGGGATTAAATGTTGTTTAAGTGGATTTTTGGGAGGGGAGTTGTGGTCAGGATGTGTGAAAGGTTTCCAAAGCTGACAAACATCCTGGACACACAGCCAGAACTCTGGTCCCTTAGAGGTTAGAGGAAGAACCGGACCTTTGGGGACGTGTCTCCAGAACCACCTCTCAGCTTGGTGCTCTTGGGACATTCTCCATGTTCTGTCCGTTCCTCAGAGGTCCATCCCTTCATCACTTTCGCACCAGTCCGACGGAGCGTCCGTGCCAAAGTAACGATCTCCAAAATTACCTGAAAAAGATCAAGAACAGAATTTTACATTTTCCGAATTCGATCCATCTCTCATCTAAGTTTTCACCCAGTTTCCCCAAACGCTTCCTTAGAAGAGCGGTTTGTGACCGACAGCTTAAGAAGGTTAGAGCAAGCAACGTCTACTGTGTTTAGAGCGCCTGCACCTGCTGAGAAGAACAACTAACATTTCTGATAAATATCTACAGAGTTGGAATTATTACCAATTCCTGGGATGATGTGAAACTGCTCGTTGACCTCCTTGTCCACGGCGGTGGTGATGATGCGGACCCTCGGGAAGGCATACGCCACAGAGTGGACGCCCATCTCCGCCATCAGCAGGGACAACAGGAAGATCTTATCCTCCGCTACATCGTGGTCCTTCAGAGAATCAGGAGGGAAACAAAAAATCTAAATTCCTTAATAAAGTTTTTTTTAAAAAAGGACAAGAAATTAAGATTTTCTCCAGTAAAATAGCAGCTGTGATCAGAGTCAAAATCAAAAGTACAATCTAGCCATAACAAGCTTCCAGCAGCTTTTTCATATCTTAAGTTTTGAGGAACTTTTAGCACCTAGCAGGAGAAGCTGAGGACAGCTAGGATGAAAACAGACAGGTTTAGTAGGTTTCCTCCAGTTCTGGCCAAGTTTTGCAATATTTGCACAAACAGATGTTTATTGCTTTGATAAACACAAGGCTTTATTCTGGAGGCTTAACTGTAGAAACTAGTTCTGCTTATGCTTATTAAACATAAGACACAAAAGGCCTGTCAGCACTAAAACCATCAAAGATTGATTTGGAATAATTTTTATACAAAATGTCTGTTAGATAAATGATGAACTTCCGTAAATTAAAAAGGTGATGCATATCGTTTCCAACGGTACCTATACTACGGTACCTAAGGCGACGGTGGCACAGGAGTTAAGTGCTGGCCCCGTAATCGGAAGGTTGCAGGTTTGAGCCCCGCTCAGTCTGTCGTTGTGTTCTTGGGCAAGACACTTAACCCACGTCACCTGCTGGTGGTGGTCGGAGGGACCGGTGGCGCTAGTGCTCGGCAGCCTCGCCTCTGTCAGTGCGCCCCAGGGCAGCTGTGGCTACATCGTAGTTCATCTCCACCAGTGTGTGAATGTGTGAATGGGTGAATGACTGATTGTGTTGTAAAGCACCTTGGGGGGTTCCAAGACTCTAGAAGACGCTATATCAAATACAGGCCATTTACCATATAGGTAACATCAAACGTTCATTTCCACTGTAAACAAAGCTGTATGGCAAGCATTTTTAACATTTAATCAATAGACTGGATTTCTATTGAATTATATTTCAATTCGACCTGGTCAAATTTTTTTTTAGATATCTTTTAAGTTTTCATAATATTTTTGATAATACAAGTCCAGTCACTTACTTATAACACACTTTCACACACACGACAGGGAGACCAAAGGGCCGAACACAACATGAAACAATCACACAATTGCAGAGTCGCCACAAAAATGCATGATTCTATTCCTGCCATTTGGCAAAAATACAGTAACCTCAGTCTTATTCTCACTGATGCTTAAGTAATTTAAAGCCATCCAAGATTTCACATCTGTACTGCAGTCTAATAAGGGCTGGATTGAGGTAGCTGAACCTTGAGCCATAGACAGGTACACTTGTAAATCATCAGCATAGAAATGATGGGATTTTGGGGATTTTCTTCACCTCTCCACTCCAGGTCACCAGAGCAGGGGCGCCTCCAGAAAAATTTAATAGGGGTGGCCAGACGGGGCCAAAGAATATTTTTGGGATGGCACACCAAAGTGGTCCTTGTGGTAACTCTGGGAGAGTTTAGCTTGTGTCGATGTATAGCACTGCTCCTTTATTCGTTTTTATTAATAAAAAAAAGTACGTATCCAAAACTTTTAATTTACATTTTACAAACACAAACATTTCAGTTAATTAAAATGTCATTTTAAAATGTATATTTTTAGTTCAAGTCGCCTGTTGCTGTGTTCAGAAAAAGCTATGAAGATAAAAACTTAAAATAGTGAGAAGCAGAAACAAGTTTTTTTTATTCTGATTATTTCTTTCCTCATTGTATCATTTTTATGTTGTTTTACAATTATGTCTTGAATAAATAAGATCAAGTTATGCTTTGAGTGAACATTAATATGATTTATTAACACTGGCTTTTGCTGGGCCACCCCTTGGGGGCAACATTGCACCAGAGTGCTTGAGAAAAAGCAGTCTTCACAAAAAAATAACCAGCCACAAACATTCGTACTCCCACGTCTGAATTATTCACACTAATTATAAAATCAAAACGGAGGGATTTTCGTCGTCTTTCAGCAAGCGAAGGCCAACAAACCCTTTAAATCGTTATAACGCTGCCATAAAACAACGTAAACACGTGGATATTTTCCCGGGTGTCCATCAAACCCTCGAAACCATCACATTTAAATATTGATTAGACAGGACTTCTTGTTTTTGCACAGCTACTGTTTGTTTCAGCCTGATCTGACTGGTTTGTCATTTCAGACAGCAGCAGCTGTCTACTGCCCACAGGGTGGGCAAACCCAGCTCTCTGATTGGCTAAGACTTTCCAAGCTTCTCAGCTTCTGTTTGTTATAGATGGTGAGCCGCCTGCATGACTGATGACCTGTTCGATGAGGCGGCAAACCCAAATGATGACCCACCAGCAGAACCCTGACAGCCATGAGGGCAGCAGCTCCTGTTGAGACGGTGCTGTCCATCAGGATCACGTAGTCCTCGCTCAGGTCTTTAGGCAGACGGAGGTAGTGGAGCTGGAGGAGGAGGTCGGAGTTAAAGACGCTCGGGCATTCTGACTTCATGCGACACACACCTACCTCTGGTTCCCCGGTGTCATGGTTGGTCTGAATGAGGATCTTTCCTAATCGGATGTCTTTGCACACGGCCATCAGAGCCGGCTCCATCGTCTCTCCGGCTCTTAGGATGGAAACGCCAGTGATCTTAAATAAACAGAAAAAGAGGCCTTTACAGTTGAATCCATGTCTCTGTTGCACTAACAAGGTGTGATAACCAGATGCTACCACATGGGGGCAGTCTCGGGAATATTTCTGACATGGGAGCCAAAAATCACACAATGTAATAAATAAAATAAAGGTGTTAATCCAAATATTAAATAAATGTAATATGCTAAATAATTAACATTAAAATGATCATGGCTAAAAACATTTCATTTATAAAACATAATTACTTTATAATTGAATTATTGACACTGGTGTCTATGTTGACTGGTTTTATTTTATTCTGTTGTAAATTATGCATTTAATTCAAATTTATCATATAATTACAATATTTAATTAATTTATCATAAAATAATTATTGCTGTAACCCTTTCAAAATAAAATTCAGCCATGTCATCTTTTACATTTAGTTCAAATGTATTTAATTTACATGTATTTAAAAATCCAGTGACCCAGATCTGACCTTTTATGACAGCCTGAAAAGCAAACTTAACTTTTACCAAACCTCTGTTACCCACAATCCTTCACTCTGCAGAAGGCAGACACCTCTGTTTGCTGATGGTGTGTCCCTTACAGGGTGCTGCATAGTGCTGGAACCCAAGTTCTTCATTTTTATTGGTGGTTTTTAGGGGTTGAAGGTTACAATACTAGCTTACTGCCTGCGTGTGTGTACATGCACCTTTGTGATTATTGTTCTTATTCTCTTAAGTGTTTCTGCTGCTGTAACAAGTGAAGTTTCCCACTGAGGGATCAATAAAGTCTATTCTATTAACCACAAACTTACATTTATTAACAACAAACTCACCCTTTTGCCGCTCAGCCTCTTTCCCTCATAGATGGAACCCTGGGGCGTTTCCACGGAAACGGGCTGGACCAGACAAAGCCAGGAAAAGGAGACAAAAAGGTTCAAGTTTGCATTGAAGCAGAGTCTGATAGCTGTTTCATCAGCTGTTAACTTTAGATCCAGACTCTCTCTGGGCTGTGAGAGTTCTCCATCTTCACTGTAATTTAACATCCACAAAGAATCCATCCATCCATCTATCCATTGTCTGAACCCGCTTTGTCCATGTAGGGTCGCCGGGGGGGGGGGGGGTTGGGGTGCCTATCTCCAGTGGTCAATGGGCAATCAGGCAGGGTACACCCTGGACAGAGAGCCAGTCCATCGCAGGGCCACACAGAGACACACAGGACAAACAATCACACACACACTCACACCTAAGGACAATTTAGACAGACCAATTAACCTAACAGTCATGTTTTTGGACTGTGGGAGGAAGCCGGAGCACCCGGAGAGAACCCACGCATGCACAGGGAGAACATGCTAACTCCATGAAGAAAGATCCCAGGCTGGGAAGTGAACCAAGGACCTTCTTGTTGCAAGGAAACAGTTCTAACCACTGCGGCACCGCGCAGCCCTCCACAAAGAATCAGTGTGACCAAACCCATCCGGATTCTTGAGAAAATCCACCAGGAAGCTTTAGGAACACGAGACAAACACTGAAAACCGACCCCTCTCCAAATGAGCCACTAGCAGCTCAGAGAGGCTTCAACACAAAACCCAGCAGCATCTTTCTGTAGAAACGGAGGAAAACTGAGCGTTTCCTCTGGATCTGAGCAAGATTCCTGCTTCTGGAAGTTTGTTGGTCTTCACATCCAAACAGCTCACCTTGAGAGGCAAGAAGGAGAGGGCATGTTCGATCAGCAGCCTCATTAATCTCTTGGAGTAGAAGATGAACTCGTCTCGGTTTGTCTCCTTGTTCCTACACACACACACACACACACACACACACACACACACACACACACGCGCGCACACACACATGCACATACGTACGCACACGCACGTACACACACGCATTCACCCACACGCACGCACACACATGCACGCACACAAACGCGCACACACACACACACACATGCATAAAATTGCTTAATTTGAGTCTCCTATATAAAAAAAGAAATGTTTATTTGTGTGTGTGTGTGTGTGTGTGTGTGTGTGTGTGTGTTCTAACCTGATGATTGTGTGCATGCCTCGGACCTGTGGCGTGCTCTCCATCACGCTAAGGGTTTTGGGTAAAGGCTGACCCTGATGAGCCGAGGCCAGAGCCGATCTGTGACAAACACAAACAGTTAACGGCGTTTCTGCTGCAGCGTCTTCAAGTGTCGTCAAGACAACGTTTGGCTTCCTGATGAGTTCCTCCACCTTCAGCTGTTGCAGGAAATCTGAACCAGGTGAACACGTTAAGCCGGATAAATTGGCATCAAATTCTCAGACCGAAGGACACGTTATAAATTCAGTCTCGACTAAAGTGACTGAACAGATTCTGCTGCAGATGTTTGGTTTCATTAGCAGCTGCTTTATATTCTGGCTCCTAAAGCTAAATAAACGGTCACTAAAGCCCAACACAAATGGGAATCTGGCCTAAAACGTTTCTCTTGTTGTGGCCTGTATTACAGGTAAATGTTGTTATTTACTAACCAGGTGACCAAAGAGTTAAATTAACAAGCAGTCCTTGTATCTTTGCATTATTTTTGATCATCTTAAAGTGTTTTTAGTAAATATTATAAATAATCTGTTTATGTTCTGCAGGACTGATATGCTAACGGCTAGTCAGAGCACAATTGCTGCCATCTTTAAGCGGCTCAGGTCGACTAAATGTTGCAGCTATGTGAGGTTATTTTAGAAACTTTTACAACATTAGCTGTGATGGTTATTATTTATTAACACATCAGGGTCACAACCAGCCAGAATTTTCTTTATGCTTCTGCTAAACTGAGGCTACGGAGGCACCAATACCATATTTCTCCACAATAAGGTCACTGACAATGTCTGACATAAATAACTGAATTAAATAAACAAGATTTTAACAGAGAAAATTACAATCTACAACACAAGCAGCTGTGAGGTTTTCACGCTTCTTTCTGCCTGACCCTAAAAATACCCGTTTCTTAGAATTGGTTAAAAAGTGTGTTAAAAGTTTATTAATGCTTTGTGTCAGAACAACATCAGCACAGGTCAGGATCTACAAGCTATAAAAAACAAAACAAGGCAAGCCGTCCTTAAAACGTGCAGCCAAGTGTCAAACACGTGCTTTACTTTGATGCTTCCAGCCTCTAAAACACATGCTTCTGTTTTAGAGCAGAGCTGCACAGCACTTTAAAAGCGTCAGCCACAACAACTAGAATGGTTCTTCAGCCATAAAAAGCTCCCAAGATGACAAATGTGAGGCTTAAATCAGATTAAAAACATGCAGAAGACGTTAAAACAGTGTAAAAATGTCAGAGTGGATCCAAACTGCATGCTTTGAGTGGGCCTCACATGTCCCAGCGGAGCTTCCTCTGGAGGAAGGTTCGTTTGGTGAGATTCAAGGTTTCAAACGACGCAGAAAGAAAAGAGAAAAACAACAGAAAAGGAAGAGAAAGAACAGTTTGACTGCTGCTGAGCAACACTGAACAAAAACTCCTGTTCTGCTCTGAGGAGCAAAATCCGTTTAACTTTTATTCAAAAGGAAGTTTAAATCAAACATTCTTGGTTTAATCCTGCAGAGACGTGAGCAGCTGGAGTTGCTGCACCTTTTTCGCATCATTCTGATGTTTATGTCAACATTTACAAATGATGATTCGTCCCAAAAAAATCTTTTTCTACTCATTTCTAGGTAATTTTCCACGTGATTTAACAAACATCGTAGACAAAACCCTCTGATGTGTCGACTTAAAACAGACTCAATCATCAGTGGAAGACCTGGTAGCAGGTGTGGAGCCATGTGAACACAGCTGCAAGAAACAGACACCATTAAAGCAGACAAACAAAATAAAGTTAATTTTTTGGGCGTTCATAGACTCCAACCAGGAATTCACTCCTAAGGAATTTCATTTGGATTTGGACAATAAAGTAGAAATGATCACAACTGAAGACAATTTAGGGATCAAATGAAAATGTACTCATTCCCTTTTGCATGAGTTGATGTGTTTTGGGAGAGTCTGACACTTAGACGTCACCCTCTGCTGTTTGTTTGTGGTATTGCACCTGGTCTCTAGAGGCCACGCCCATTTTTACTATGTAATCGATTACTAATGGTGTTTCTCAATGTCAGGCGCCTTGTCTTGCGAGGCGATGTCTTGCGAGGCCAGGCGCCTTGCTTACGAGGACACTGTCCTTCCTTGGTCAAAGAAAACGGTTAAATGGAACAGACTTACATCACGTGACCGTGGCTTCCGCGGCGGCCACGTAACGTCACGTGATAAGGGAGATAACGTTATATTTTATACATATTAGTTTCAATATAAATATATAACAAGACTTTTACTTTTTAAATTGTGTATATGTTTGTTAAATTAAAAATATAAGTGAGTTACTACCCACTAGCCACCGAATCTGCAACTACTATGCGACTAACCAACAATAGATAACTTCTTTGGATCTTAAAAAAAAATTTAAAATTCTCCCTGGGCTGCCACCTTACCGTGGTGGAGGGGTTTGAGTGTCAATGATCCTAGGAGCTAAGTTGTCTGAGGCTTTATGCCTCTGGTAGGGTCACCCATGGTAAACAGGTCCTAGGTGAGGGATCAGACAAAGAGCGGCCCGAAGACCTCTTATGATGAATTATATAAATGGAAACCGTGTTCCCTCGCCCGGACGTGGGTCACCGGGGCGCCCCTCTGGAGCCAGGCCTGGAGGTGGGGCACTTTGGCGAGCGCCTGGAAGGGTCCTCCTTCCCATGGGCTCACCACTCGTGGGAGGGGCCAAAGGGGTTGGGTGCAGTGTGTGACGGGTGGTAGTCGAGGGCGGGGATCTTGGCGGTCTGATCCTCGGCTTCAGAAGCTGGCTCTTGGCACATGGAATGTCACCTCTCTGGTGGGGAAGGAGCCTGAGTTGGTGTGTGAGGTTGAGAGGTTCAGACTAGATAGTCGGACTCACCTCAACGCATGGCTCTGGCTCTGGAACCAGTATCCTTGAGAGGGGGTGGACTTTCTACCACTCTGGAGTTGCTCCCACTGAGAGGTGCAGAGCAGGGGTGGGCATACTAGTTGCCCCCCATCTTGGTGCCTGTACGTTGGGGTTTACCCCAGTGAATGAGAGGGTAGCCTCCCTCCGCGTACGTGTGTGTGTGTGGGGGGGGGGGGGGGGGGGGGGGAGGGGGGCAGTGTGCTACCAACACTATCTATAGTGGGGACGGTGTGCTGCTGACCTCTACTCAGGACGTTGTGGATCGGTGGGCAGAATACTTCGAAGACCTCCTCAATCCCACTGACACGTCTTCCAGTGAGGAAGCAGAGTCTGGGGACTTTGAGTTGGCCTCTCAAATCTCTGGTGCTGAGGTCACCGAGATGGTTAAAAAGCTCCTCTGTGGCAAGGCTCCAGGGGTGGATGAGATCCACCCGGAGTTCCTTAAGGCTCTGGATGTTGTGGGGCTGTGTTGGCTGACGCGGCTATGCGATATCGAGTGGACATCGGGGACAGTCCCACAGGACTGGCAGACCGGGGTGGTGGTGCCCTTATTTAAAAAGGGGGACCACAGGGTGTGTTCCAACTACAGGGGGATCACACTCCTGAGCCTTCCTGGTAAGGCCTATTCAGGGGTTCTGGAGAGGAGGGTCCATCGGATTGTTGAACCGCAGATTCAAGAGGAACAATGTGGTTTTCGTCCTGGCTGTGGAACACTGGACCAGCTCTATACCCTTAGGGGGATCTTGCAGGGTGCGTGGGAATTTACCCAACCAGTCTACATGTGTTTTGTGGATTTGGAGAAGGCGTTTGACCGCATCCCTCGGGGGGCTCTGTGGGGGGTACTCTGGGAGTATGGGGTACCAGGCCCTCTGAAACAGACTGTTAGATCCCTGTAAGACCGGTGTCAGAGCTTGGTCCGCATTGCTGGCAGTAGGTCGGGCTTGTTCCCAGTGAGAGTTGGACTCCCTTTGTCACGGATTCTGTTCGTAACCTTTATGGACAGAGTTTCTAGGCGCAGCCAAGGTGTAGAGGGCATCCGTTTTGGTGGCCTGAGGATCAGGTCTCTGCTTCTTGCAGATGATGCGGTCCTGTTGGCTTCATCAGAACGTGATCCTCAGCTTTCGCTGGAGCGGTTCGCAGCCGAGTGTGAAGCAGCTGGGATGAGAATCAGTTCCTCTAAATCTGAGACCATGGTCTTGATTCAGAAAAGGGTAGAATGCCTTCTCCGGGTCAGGGATGAGGTCCTACCCCAAGTGGAGGAGTTTAAGTATCTCGGGGTCTTGTTCATGAGTGAGGGAAAACTGGAGCCTGAGATCGATAGGCGGATTGGTGCTGCATCTGCAGTGATGCGGGTGTTGTACCGGTCTGTCGTGGTGAAGAGAGAGCTGAGTCAGAAGGCGAAGCTCTCGATTTATCGGTCGATCTACATTCCTACCTTCACCTATGGTCATGAGCTTTGGGTAGTGACAGAAAGAACGAGATCGCAGATACAAGCAGCCGAAATGAGTTTTCTCCAAAGAGTGACTGGGCTCTCCCTTAGAGATAGGGTGAGAAGCTCTGTCATTCGGGAGGGGCTCGGAGTAGACCCACCGCTCCTCCACATTGAGAGGAGCCAGTTGAGGTGGCTCTGGCATCTGGTCAGGATGCCTCCTGGACACCTCCCTGGTGAGGTTTTCCGGGCACGTCCAACCGGGAGGAGACCTAAAGGTAGACCCAGGACACGGTGGAGGGACTATGTCTCTCACCTGGCCAGGGAACGCCTTGGGATTCCCCCGGAGGAGCTGGCCCAAGTGGCTGGGGAGAGGGAAGTCTGGGCCTCTAGCCTTAGGCTACTGCCCCCGCGACCCGACTCCAGATAAGCGGATGAAAATGGATGGATGGATGGATTTTAAATTAGCTGACTTACTTTTAAACTTGAAAATTGTCCCCGAAGTAGCTGCCGGCTTCTGATCCGCCGTCTTTTTGAAAATACTGTGGTGTATTCTGGGTAATTTTTGACCAAGGCTAGGCTACAAGACACCTCCCGTGTATCCTTGCTCAGCTAGCTAAATGACTAACAAACGGAGAACACACGCCTCGGTAGAACATGAACATTGGAACACATCTTGGCGGCTCCTGATGACGTATCTCCTAGGCAACCAGGGTGGGGCCAAGACATCAAGGCGAGGTTCCTTGGCATTGAGAAACACCCTTAGTAAACACTCAAAACACTTTCAGCCAGGTTAGTGGGTGGAACTTTGAGCAAAGTGAGGGGGGGGGGGGGGGGGGGGGCGCAGCCAGACAGGTGAATGGGCGGGACTTAAAGACCAGATTTTCAAGATGTTCATTTTAAGATGATTTATGATATTTATTCATGCTCTGAATGTCTTAGACTAAGATTTAATGGGAATAGCAAAGAATGCAAATTTTCTCAAATAATTGTCTAAAATTTGTTAATAAAGATTTTTATAAGTAGCACAAACAGTGACCGGTATCCCAGCATGCACCGTGGTCGATGACGCAACGCTCAATGTCCCAAGTCAGCAATCATTAGCACACTTGTGTACTACACACTCGAAGCCTCATAGTGCACTTCCTCTAAGTGCACTTGGCTGAAGACCGTAGAGTGTTGGGACTGGGCCAGAGAAAGCATGTCTGCTCCTGGTAGAGGTCATCTCCACTTCACAAGAGGAGGATGAAGCTCTTTCATCAATGTTAACAGAACCCATCAGGTGTTTTTCTGTGTACAAAAGCTTTTATTAGAAATGTTCGTTTTTAACAACCCCAAAGGCGCTTCACAACCAGTCATCCACCCATTCACACGCTGGTGGTGATGAGCTAATAGGTAGCCACAGCTGTTCTGAGGCGCACTGACAGAGGCGAGACTGCAGAACAACGGTCCCTCCGACCAGCACAATCAGGCAGGGCGGGTCAAGTGTCTTGCCCAAGGACACTACAGCAGCCAGGATCGTCCTACAATCCTTCGATTAACTCGCTCCACCTCCTGAGCTACTGCTGCACCAAAATCGTGTATTTTAATAAAACAAAGGAGGAAAAACTCCTAAATGGGACTATTGAGTCTATGAGTCTCAGCTATGATGGACCAATCACACATCAGAAAATGATTTCAGTCAGAAACCGTTTGAGTTCATCAGCGACCAGAAAGAATTAAGCAGGAGTGGCTCTAAATGTGCTGTTATAGTCAAATGAAGCAGTGGCAGTCATACCTCACATTGATCTCACGCTGGAACGGTCACACAGCATTCAGCCAGGCGAGAATGGGTCGTGCACATACAGGGAGACACACACACACACACACACACACACACACACACACACACACACACACACACACAGTGTGAGAGAAACATTAGAGAACGAGGGAAGTACGGCAGAAAATCAAACTTAAAACAAATGTCTTTGAGCACCTGGCCATGTGTCTAAGTAAAAGTGCATCACACATCAGATTGTAGCGATCCTATCGTCATTGTATTTTATGAAGGACTTGAGAAAATAAACTGTCTGTGAAGGACAGGACATGAAGTTAGAATAAAAACTGAATAACGTATTGATTCATCTGCAGGATTCACAAATTTCTGCTGCTTTTTTCGGTTTAAACTGACTTAGTTTGACTTAGTGTGGAAGACTTGATGCTGCCGGGGCAGACGGTTCCACTGATGGCATTTCCTTGCCTTACCTTACTTGGCTCATCTGGACTCAGCCGAATATAAATTTTTATTGATATGTGTGTGTGTGTTTTAATATTTTTAAACTTATGAGAATTTGGGGTCATTTTAATTCTGTAAAGCACTTTGAGTAGCACTTTGCTTGAAAAGCACTTTAAAAATAAAATCTGATTGATTGATTAAACATGAATAAAAATATGTTTTTGGTAGAAAGTGTTTGAATGAATCCCTGAAAGTTCTCTGTAACTAAGAAACGTATTTAAGTACTTTACTCCTTAAACTGACAGGTGTAACCTCGTATCGCCACTTTGTTTTAGTTTTGCTCACATCTGTACGTGATTTCATTAAAAAAGGCCTGTTAAGGCCCAACAGTTAGTTAAAAAAGACTTTTTTTAAATTCTGAACAGGTAAAACCCAAACCCAGTGATAGTATTTTATTCACCATCTGACTGAAGAGTGCACTAAATTTAACTGAATAAAAAACTTAAAGAGCAAGTCACCCCCTACCAGAGTATTACTCCACTCCCACTTCCTGTTTGAAAAATGCAACAAATGCTGTTGCCTAGCAGACCGAGAGGGCGGAGCCGCTAACAAATACACACACACACACACACACACACACACACACACACACACACACACACACACACACACACACACACACACACACACAGGCTTACAACAACATTGTGACTTGTGAGATCATATAGTACCAGCTAACGTTCTAAGGTACCTCTTAGCCAATAGCGATGGCAGATTTAAATTCAAATGCAGTGCAGAATTTTTACCTGACAACGGCACAACACTGACAATTTTAGGCAGAAAATGTAAATTTTAACTAAAATGCACTAAAGTGCAAAACTATTGACTACATGTGTCTGCAGCACAATTAGACACACATTTATATAGTTTATCAGGGAAATAAGTTGATTTGGGGGTTACTTGCTCTTTAAATAAAAAGATGCCAAATCTAAAGGACGGATTTTCTTCCGGCTCTTGGAGAGTACAGACTCTGTTTTCCTCCTCTCCTCCCTATCTTTTCCCAAGGCTCTATGGGTGTACGGCGCTTCTGCCTTTTTTCTGGAAACTGGAAATTATTAAAATGGACCTGGTCAGTTGGTCTCTCAACGCGATTCACAAAATGTTTTCAACAATGAGAACGGGAGAAGGGGCTCGCGGATGCCCCTCTGGGACAGAGCCAGCTGGGCATATCATGGACTCCTGGAAACAGTGGAACCTGATCTGCCTCTCTCAACTGTCTGTAGAGGATTCTGAAAACGTCTGGATATTCGTGGTGTTGGTGTCAGGTTTCTTGCTTTTCGGCCTGAGCGGTTACCTGGCTTACTGGAAAATGAATGAGCTGTCGAGGAATATTGGCTTAATCCCGGAGCTCAGGGACGGATTACACTGCACTGTGAATGCACAAACTCATAATTGTCGAGATGAGTCGAAAGCTTGGGACTTTGGCTGAGATTCAGACCCTGGCACAGAAGGTGGATTCCATCAAGGAGCGAGTTGACGGGACAGCACGAATTGGGATAGATTAATTTACGCCATTATTGGGATTTAGAGGGGTTGAGGACCAACGGAACTTTAAGACAGAGAGGAAATTATCTCTGTCTGGCCCTAAACAAATTCTTATCTGAATCTGGTGCCCTTGAGCCTGTGAGGCTTAAGTGAATACTCTCCCTCAGAAGAAATGTGGAATGCTGCTGTCACCATGGCAACTCTGTCTCCCTATCACAGCCTGGGCGGGACTGTGACCGGTGAAGGCCGTTGAATCATTCCAGAGTCACTGTGCTATCTAAACCCAACGACCCCCCCCCCCCCCCCCCCCCCGTCCAAACGGAGGTGACGAGCGCTGCTTATCGTGGCTGCATGCACTGACGTGTGGAGAGTCCCCAACCCTACCTCCCCACCTAGTGGACACTTATGTTGTGTGATGTCTGAAGTCTGTTGCATTTCTGTCTGAGGTGTTTTTTGCTTAGCAAAGCTGCCCTCCCTGTGGAGAAAAGTGCCTTTTTTTCCCTCCACCTGACTCAATCCTCATGTAACCCTCTTATCTCTATTAAGGTAGCGCGACTCGGGTTGCGAATGACCACAGCCACCAATTCTTGTCATGTGTCTATGCCTATGTATGTATGTCTGATCTCAGAATTGTGTGTACTGAAACTCTAATTTCCCTCTGGGATTAATTAAGTATCTTTGAATTGAACTGAATTGAATTTAAATGTGTAACAAACCTCAATAGTATTATTCATACTTAGTTATTAGCACTAATTTATGAACCATAATACTTCTAACGAATAAAACACTGGATTTTAATTTTAATTGTTCTGTTCCAACTTTAATAAGACACTGAATCATACAGAAAAACTAATATTTGCAGGTGATCGGTATTGGCCAATATTCAGTAAATCTGAAGTTTTTGCGATTTTTTTTGTAGTTCTAATAAAAAAAAATCCAACATTTTCCATGAATCCAGTAACTCATCACCTCTAGCACCACTTCACACAAGCAGGAATGGATTTTTCACGAGGAAGAATCATAATTTCAATATTAATCAGATTTAGAGCTCTTTGAGATAATCAAAATCATTGTGGTATCGGGATGTTAGAGTTGAAACTGGTATCAGCTCTCAAAACCAGAATCGGTCTGGTCTTAAAAAACAAATGAAAGTTTCACTGTTCTAGTATTTTCTTTTTTCTTCCTTTGGAGGAAAAATAATAAAACACAAAATGTTCATTTCTACCAGCAGAAATAAAAGTCTGACCCGTGGAAAACCTCTCCTTGGTAAAAATCATGTGCTCACCGTTCCTTCTGCACAGCAGCAGAGGACAAAACTATCTAGCTCTGTTCCAGCATCACCACGGAGACGGGTTATTATTTTAAAATCAAGTCACGCAAAAAGCTAAATGAGGACACGTGGAGACGCCCGGTCCGTGCGACGTAGGGTGTGTGTCGTGCAGCGAGGAAGACCGACGAGGTCCGCTGGCGGCCGTGGATGAATATGTTGAAGATGGAGCAGATCGCAGTTCGTTGTAGGTCATAAAGTGAACGGATGACAGAAGAATGAGGTGAAGAAAGATGGAGGACACCTCTCCTCTCCTCACAGCGCCATTAATCTCAGGCAACCACCAAAGACCTGTCGGACTGAGGTCACTGAAGTGCAAAAGGAAAAGAAGATAATGAAAGGAGGCAGAGAGGCGAGGGGCGGGGTGGACAACGAGGATAATGAAGTTTTAACCTTTTTAGTAAAGCTGCCCTGCTCTAACGCTGCATTTAAGGACTAAATTAAATGTTTTTTGGTTATAAAATAATCTTTAGTCAATGAGGATTTGTTAAAGTTGTTTTATACTTATTACACTTTGATAGGATGAAATGAGCACGAGGTCTTACTCAGACTAGCCTAAAATCAGCCTAGTCGCCTGGCTTTGAGGCTGCTCAGCCTTTGGTCTGACGGAAGACTTTTAATTCATCTGCTGAGTCACATACAAGGGCGCCCCCAAGGGGTGGCCAGGGGTGGTTACGGCCACCTCTAGAAAATTGCTGGCCCCCTCAGGAAAGGCCAGTGTTAACAAATCATATTAATGTTCAGTCAAACCATATATTAATCTTGTTTATTCAAGACATAATTGTAAAACAAAATAAAATATTACAATTAATGTGTAAAGAAATAATCAGAATAAATTTCCCTAATCTGTAATCTGTAATTTCCCTAATCTGTAATCTCTAATTTCCCTCAGGGATTAATAAAGTATTTTTGAATTTGAATTGAAAAAATATATATACATATGTTTCTGCTGCACACCATTTTATAAAGGTTTTTATCTCTATTGTTTTTTTTTAACACAGAAACACAGGTGAATAAACCTAAACAAATATATTTTTAAATTAAATTTGGGAAAACATTTTAAATAACTGAAATGTAATTTTCCAAAATGTTTGTGTTTGGAAAATTTAAGTTAAGTGCTTTGGATATGTACTGTTATTTTAATAAAAATGAATAAAGGTGCAATGCAATATATTGCCACAGGCTAATTTCTCCCAGAGTTACCACAAGAACCAATTTGGTGTGCAACCCCAAAAATGTATTTGGCTCCATCCGGCCACCCCTATCAAAATTTTCTGGAGGTGCCCCTGGACACATCAGACGTGCTGGAGCATCTAAAACATGGAGGATCAGGAGATTTTGGTTTATGTAACTAGAAAATGTGGAATGGCAATAAATAAATGTCAGTCTGAGGTCATATGGAGTAATTTGTTGAATGTTATTATTTACGATATGCTAGAGGAGATGCAGGTCAGCCCTGTTGGTGCCAGTTACCCCTGACAGACCATGCTCACATGTAGTCACACCAACTATGCAGCTTGAGACTTCAGAGTTCTTTGAACCCACTTGGGTTCGGATTCAAAAGCAGCTGCTGGTAATCTGATCACCATTAATCTCTCTTTATTCAGTATTTTTCTTATTTGTAGCAGCAGGAAGCACAAACTCTGGGGGAAAAGCAGCGTTTCTTTCATCAGCCGCTGAAACAGCAACCAGAAAACTCCACAGATGTAAACCAAAGAAAACTATCAGGTGAGGAACTATCGGGAATCCTTACCTTCTCCAGCTGACTGTGGACGTGCTGAACGATCAGATCTAAAGCTACAAAGTTCTCTCCACCTGCAGGAAAAGCACCAGAAGTCCCCAGAGATCTCAGTAAAACAGAAATGTGGCACCTTACATAATTAAAAGAGCTGCAGTAAAAAGCAGATTTATCGATAAGCGGAATCGGTCCCAAACAAGACACGGACCTTTAGGAACCACGATGTCAGCAACCTGCACCGTGGGCTCGATGTACTGCTCGAAGGACGGCTTCACAAACTTATTGTACTGTTTGATGACGCCGTTGATGTCCCGACCACGCTGGGAAACGTCCCTCTTCAGCCTCCGTATCAGCCGGATGTCAGAGTCGGTTTCCACGAACACCTTCATGTCCAGAAGCTGGGACAGCGAGACAAGAAGACAACGGTGTTATGAACCACTAGCAGACTCTTGGCTGGAGACAGGAGGCTTTGGCAGTAAAACATGAAATGTGTTCGAGCATCAAAGGCCCCAAAAGGAAGAGCATTTGGCCACAAAGGTCCACTAAAGCTACCAGGAAGCTACGATATCGGCGTAAATTCTCATATCAGTGCATCTCTGTTATCATGTATTACTGGATGGATACAAGGCACCAGACTTATCAGGTTAATAATGTTTCTTGAATTGTGAAAAGTACGACTCTGTTAAAGAAAACGTGCTAACAACAAACGCCCACATTTCATCCAATCAGCTCACAAACATAAAAACCTGCATCGCCGCCTCACAGCGAGCCAAACTTATTTAGTAGATTAATGTTAAATATTACAACGATACAGGTGCAGCGTCTCCAGTCCCCCAGCCGGCGGACCGCTCTATTAGCATAACAGCTATTAGCAGAGCAGGTCTGCAGCCGTGAATGACTTCAGCTACACGCATGGACACAAAACACAATCAATCACAGCCGACAGCAGCTGTTATTACCCAGTAAGAGAGTAATCAGCATCATAGATGGTCCCAGGAGAGGCTCTGGGCCTTATCACCACAGTCCAGCACACACACACACCCACACACAGGGCGGTGCAGCAGGACTCATCTGCTATAAAGACAATCTCGTATAGATGATACAGATCTGTCCATCAAAAGCATCTTTATTAAAAACCGATCCCACATCCTCCTTTACCGCCGAATCCCGTTTCTCGTGCACTTTAACAGGGTATCTGCAGGTTTAAGGGAGCCAAATTTAAGACTTTTTAAGACCTTTTTAAGGCCACTTTGACCAAATTTAAGCTATTTAAAAAAATTAAATTTAAGCTATAATTTCCAGCTATTGCCTGGAACCGGTGCTAACCACGTCGCGAACGTGGGATTCGCCCTCCAGTTACCATTAAACTTGCATTTCCCCATGGCACAAGCTCCCACTAGCTTAACCAGCTAATGTGCTCATCTAAAAACAGCCCCCTTTCACAACCAGCTGAATGTGTACGGTTCCGCTTACGCCAACATCACACACAACAAATGCGGAACACTAACTAGAAATTCACAAAAATTTTATAGAAATAAAAGAATCTTGTTTATTGGATCTTTGGTAATTTAAGACATTTGTCATTTTTAAGGATTTTTAAGGCCTGTAACGTCCAGCAATGGTCAGTTTAGGTACAGTCTGACCTTTCAACATCTATTCAACATCTGGTCAGAAAGGAGACAACACTGCATGTGTTCCCGTTAAATGAGCCAGACTTCGTACCAGCTGGGGCTCACAGACTCTGCAGCTCTGAAAGATAAACAATAACTTTCTTTCCCAAGGTCCCATCTGTCTCCTCCAACGAAAAAAGAACTCCAGCTCGAATCAAGTGCTAAAATCAAGAATGATTTCCTAAATCAATATGAACTTCTTCTATGACTTATAATCTCGATAATCATTAAATAAAAGTTGTTTATTACTACTTACAATCATATTATAATGAAATGCTTCATTAATCAGTGCTCAATGGATGAAATGTCATGTTATGTCTACCACTGCAGTGTGTTCAGCAGGTTTAGACGACAGGTCCATAACATCTGCGCTCACACAATAACAAGTACGGCTAAGTTAAACTCCAACACATAGAGACTTTAAAACCAGTCAGAACATCCGATATCAAAGAAGGTGTGTTTCCGAGTTGTCTTGGTAACATCTCCCAAGCTGTCAGCCTTTGATTGGCTGTGCAAATCATAACATCAAAACCTTAAAACTGGATCATGCTGAGTGATTCGTTAGTTCTAGAGAAAGCTTCCTGTCGCAACCTCTTTAACCATCAAAGATTTTGACACGTCTTCAAAACCTTTTTGCACCTACAAAGCTGAGACAGCAAAACAGTTCCTGCAGAACTAAGCTGATATTATTATTATTAGACTCCTTAAGAGTCCTCCAGACGCACGGTTCCATCCAGCTGTCGTGACCCAAGACACCTATGGACTGAAGAGTCGGTACCACGGTATTCTACAGCCCTCCGGTGCCAGCGGTCAGCCGACCCCTGTGACTTTCGAATCCACCAAGAGGGTCTCTTAAAACGGGTGAAGTAGACATGACAGATTGTGTCTGATGTGTTTATGAAAGATAACAACTTCATAGTTTAGCGCAAACCAAATTCTTTTTCATCCGGAGACGCCACTCTCCGAGATTCGGAAGTTCTGACCTACATCACATTAGCACATAGCCTTCATCACATTTAGCTCCATCCAATCACAGAAAATCTTAGATCACTTATCATGTTATAATTGTAATAAAATAATTTCTTACTATTATAAACCTGACTCTGTTCTGAATCAAAATGAAGTGTGTATAATTACTTAACAAAGCAAAAATCCTACAATCTTCTGATTAAGCCCTATAATCTTCTGATATTTACAATAAAGATCAAGCAAGGTCATATTTTATATTTATATAGACTATCACATCTTCCTGGTCATAAGTACAAATAAATAATCCATTTGTCAACGCTACAGGCCTTACATTTGGAAAAGCAAATTTAAGACTTTTTAAGGACCCGCGGACACCCTGCTTAAAGTCTTCGAGGCTAAAAAAGCTACATAAACTCTTGAAACTTTACATTACATCTGATCATTTACATGTCTAAAGGAATAAATAGAAGTGATAAGAGGTAACGCATCGAGGGCGTCCGATCTGTGATTAAAATGAACAAGTAATTCTGCTTCACAAACGTTTTATATATTTCCATGTTATGTGCTCAATAATCAGCCAGAACAAAGAAAGAATCAAAGAACATTTAGATGTTAAACTCCACAAACAAAGACGCCTGGATGGTTTCAGAGACATCAGCAGCATCTGTATAAAAGCACCGATGTGAAGCCCCACAGGGGCTCAGCTGTTCTCCTGAGGGTTAACCAGCTGCTGCAGATGTTACCCACACCGAGACAAAGATGGCTGCGTTTCACAAATAAAGCCCAAGAGCCACGCTCACGATGTCTAATTTAGCATAAAAACACAACAAGGATGTGCCTGCATGAAGCTGCAAACCGTAAAAGGGAACATTTCTGCGGCGAAATTCAAGCCTGAAAGAAATGTAAACACCCGTGGAGATGTGAAGACACAAAACCGTGAAGTATCTGGATGTGTCGACAAGCTGCCAAAGCAGAGATGGCACAGTCATCACATTCTGTCATAAACAGTGCAGAGAGCTCGTTTCCACCCGGACCCTTTTAGGTGTGACACACCGCCAGCCTGATAGTTTCACTGTGGCTCTATAACAATAAAGACATTTGTTTATTTAGGGATAATTATTAGCTTTGGTCTGTTAACATGACTTAACTGATTAGCAGCTGAGCTAGGTGTTAGCATTACAAGCACACGGCTAGCCTGAGTAGGACAGGTTACGATGACTTTCTGCCATATTTAAATGCCTCTCATCCAAAAACATTCATTGCATTTAAAACTAAAGTCAACATTAGGAGCTGATTCAGCACGACTGGATGGACTTTCAGAACAATTCTGCTGGAAGAAACATATAATTTAAAAAACTGAAAGGCTGGAAAATCAAGATATGCAGGAACTGCTGTGAAAGTTTTGATTAGAAATGCTTACGTTGCTTTGTGGCTAGCTGCTAGCTCTTTGGTGGAACAGAACCGATCGCTGTAGATGTTAAAGAGAGCTATCCACCACACAGAAACCCCTTAAAAGTGTTTCCTTCAAAGTGAAATCCAGTTGAATGAGAGCCCTCTTTACCTTAAGAAGCTCTTTGTTGGCAAATGCCAAGATGCCTTCAAAGATGACCACGTTAGCTCCGTAAACGGTTTTCTGTCAAAAGGAACAAAACAAAAACAGAATCATGAACATTAAGGTTGACAGAACCATTTTAACCCTCCCACTGTCCGAATGGGTGACCCCATGAGGAAAGTTGACCATTGAGCAGGATTGATGGTTTATCCCTTGAGGTCCATGTGGCAGGGTGGTGGTGCTCACTCCTGCCACGTGGACCCAAGGGATAAACCATCAACCCTGCTCAATGGTCAACTTTCCTCATGGGGTCACCCATTAGGACAGTGGGAGGGTTAAAGGAGTTGACTCAAACTCTGAAGGCTGGATGGCTGAATCTTTACAGGAAAGCCCGACTGCTTGGTGCTGAAAAACAGACTTTTTATTATTGGATTCTTTAATTTCCTCTAACAAACTTTATTCCAGGACTGAAATGGTAAATAAAACAGGAGAGAAAAACGCATTTAATGACTTGTTTATTTTATCTGTTTAAAAAAACGGCTTGTTGTCCATCCAGAAATCCACCAGTGAGTTTTCCACAAGCCTGCAGCTGGTTGGCCTTCACATCTGACACCTCTCTGGATCTGAGACTTAATTACATCCATCAGAGAACAATAAAACCCATAAAGCGATTCCAGAGTCACGAGTCAGGCCGGCCGATCTTCCGCGAGGCGCTCTGCCGCTCAGCCATGAAATTACATCGCAAAGAAATAGTGAGATGTCAGCGCGCTACACTAAGAGATTGATTCCTCGCAGCGGCGTGGGCCGGACGCTCCTTCCTTTGGTGGCTAATGTGCTGAACACTAAATCCTCAATAATTAGCATCTCAGCTGGCACCAATTCAGACGACTAATAACATCCGCCGAGGCATTGGGGACGTCTAACCGTTACAGTAATCTCATCCCGTTCAGAAATTAGTTTTCATTTTTATTACCTACAAAAACATCTGGGGGGGGGGTTGCCTGTTGCTGCGTTTTAGGGTAAGTGTCTTACGGACTAAACTCTGTATCTCAGCAGGAGCTTGTCTAAAAATCATTCCTTTTTGCATCAATTTCACCTAAAACATTTTTTAACTCCATTTTTTTTATTGAGCTAAATTTGTAGCAGTGACAGCTGAGAGTTCACCAAACAGCTTAGTCCAACATCAAGACCTGACCCAAACAACCATACATCTATCATTTCTCAAAACTAAATCATCTGGAGATTTTTAAAGAGAGACTTGGCAGTTTGTGCGTTCTTTTAGCACCCCCTAGTGTCTGTTTGTAGAACTGGAAGCAAAACCGACCTCCTGGCTGGGCGTACGTCTTTTTAATACCTTCATCTAACAGCTGAAGCGGCTCCCAGCATTTATTAGTGTCTACAGGAGTGATTCATCACTAAATTAAACAAATCAGCCGTGTTCGTGATCTAAAACACACAGGAAACATGCTGGAACTGGACTGCAGTGCCAGGTATGTACATCCCAACAGAGTAGCCCACCAATCTGAAGTTGCAGGTGGAATATTCTGGCCACAGGGGATGGATGGTCATTAACCCTGTAAAGAGCCATTTAGCACTAACTGGCTCAAGACAATGATTTAAAAATACAAAAAAGGTGCGAAGTGTCGCTTTTAAACCCTGACACAATGCTCAAAGTGACAGTGTGTATTTATTTTACCCGGCGATAGGGGGCAGCACATACCTACATTTTTGCAAGCAAGTGGTATTTTTGTGTTTGAATAAAGCCTAAATTACACTTCTACGTCTGCGTCGGGATGGACGGACGCACGCAACGCCATTATCCATCCTTGCGAGCCTGCTGGAGAGCCCTCGCAAGGACAGACGGAGTCAAGCTCTCCTTTTTAAACATCCGTCCGTCAAGACGGAGAACGCATGCTTGCGACTGGTCAGGACACAGCTGTCGTCTACACCGCCGCCATTGCGCTTTCAAAAACAAAGAGAGCCAAGGATATCTAGCAGCAGACATGGAGCAGCTTGAAGAATACCTCGTGGAAAAGCTCCAAAATATGAACGTTTAATTCCCCCGTGACTGGAGGAGAGAAAAGCAAGCAAGAATTCTATTCGTGGACACAAATGATGGGAAACGTGGGTTTAGAGGTGGCGAGTGTATGAAGAGGTGGAGGAGAATGAGGGACAAATTTGTCCGTGTTAAAAAGTCTCTTAAATACACAATATAAACACACTATCTTGGACCGGATACGACAGGATACCACAGAACAGCGCTACGCCCTCTGCTGTCCTGGCGGGGAATTGCTTTGCAACACTCCCCAGGAGACGAGAAGTATGAGGGCAAAGCATCTCAGTCCGTGTGTGCATGTCTTTCCCTGGTGGAGCTGACGGAGAAGTATAAATTAGGCTTAAGACCTCACCAACGGATGGCCTTTAGTAGAGATGTCCCATTTCGATATCGGAAGTCATTTGATATCGGCCCAAAAACTGTGTATCTGAGTATATCGAACTGCATCAAAATCTCTGATACAAGCGGTCTGTTCAGGTTCACATTTTTGCAACCAATGGTTAAAAACAAGGTCATTTTTTTTCATACTTACTGTTATTGGCACTTGTTCTCCCATTGAGTAATACCATTTGATCAGCCTTTCATACATTCCACACTATGAAACAGGTAAAAGTATGTTTGATTTGTGCTGATATCCTATTGGGTTGATATCGGTCAATACGGAAGGCTACGATATCGGTATCATATCGGAAGTGAAAAAGTTGCATCGGGACGTCCCTAGCCTTTAGGGTCAAAAATCCACGGGATCTCAACCTCCGGCAAAATGACAGCACATCAGCCTCTCTCATCACCAACGAGTGAAGAGGTCAACATGTAAAACAGCATTTATGGATGGTGAAACTTCTGTGACTGTTTGTCACAAATCAGTAAACTCATTTTTGTCCTCACAAGCTCCCGTAGAAGGAAACATGACGTCGCCCAGAGACTTAGACCCACTCCCATGTATTTTAGACCTGATTATAATGGTTATATGTTACAAAGGCGCCGGTATTTATCAACTACTGGGCATCGTTTTATTCATTTTCAGCATTTCAATGGATATTTCCAGAGATTAACAGTAAAAACGATGTGCCACTTTAAGGAATTCCCTTATCAGGGTATCTGCAGGTTTAAGAGAGCCAAATTTAAGACTTTTTAACAACCTTTTTTAAGGACACTTTGACCAAATTTAAGCAATTTTTTAAAATTAAATTTAAGCTATAATTTCCAGCTATTGCCTGGAACCGGTGCAAACCACGTCACAAACGTGGGATTCGCCCTCCAGTTACCATTAAACTTGCACTTCTCCATGGCACAAGCTCCCACTAGCTTAACCAGCTAATGTGCTCATCTAAAAATAGCCCCCTTTCACAACCAACTGAATGTGTATGGTTCCGCTTACGCCAACATCACACACAGAAAATGCTGAACGGTAACTAGAAATTCACCAAATTTTATAGAAACAAAAGAATCTTGTTTATTGGGTCTTCGATAATTTTAGACCTTTGGAAACTGTATTTAAGGATTATTTGTAAATTTTAAGGATTTTTAAGGCCTTAAATTTGGAAAAGCAAATTTAAAACCTTTTAAGACTTTTTAAGGACCCGCGGATACCCTGTTTAAACTAGCAGGTAATCTCACTGAGGCAAACTCGGAACATAAGCGGAAAAAACTTAAATAGAATATTTCCAATCTTTGCTACACTAATATTAATAAAATCCTTTAACATTAATAATATTATATTACAATATATCATAACTTTTACTGTCTCACCCAACTTTTTCAAAGTAAAAGGTTTTTAATTAAAAGACTAAATGAAATTTTAGGTCATAAGTGGAAATTACTTCTCCAGAAAGTTTTTACGGTTCCATGATGCACAATATTTATAAACTTATAAGGATTCTCGTATAATTTTGCTTTGGACCTCAGCTGCAGGCTGACCAGAAAGGGAAAAATAAAGTAATGAACCAAACAGAAACAAGTCCATCAGTAACGTTTCATCCCAGCTCTTTATAACAGACGTAGTTGGTGAGTTTTTACCCATTCTTTGCGCCTGCTGTGGCTGGTGAAGTCGTACACCGGCACTTTGATGCTTTTGCCCTTCTTCAGCTTCCTGAGGACGCTGACCAGCAGCTCGAAGTCAAAGGCGTCTGGGTGGTCGAAGTTATACTCGTTCTTAGCAGCCAGCTCCTGCTGCTCTTTATTCAGCACCTGAGAGGATTAAGCTGTCAGAAACACCAGAGGAGGAGGAGCACTAAACAAGGAAGGATCCGCGGACCACATCATTGTTTACCCTAGTCTGTCTCTAAAAATATAATGTTATGACTTTTATTATGAAGGTTATTTGTGTGACTTTTCCCCTCTCGAGCAAACCAGCAGAACAGAAAGAGCTGATTCTGTATTTTTTGTTCAAATTGACCTCCACAGTTAAAGAGTTGGTCACCCCCCTCCCAGAGTCTTACCCCACCCACTAAATGCGCTGACGGATTCCCTGGTGGCCCAAGAGGGCGGCGCTGCGAAATTAAAGTACTTTTTACTCAAATCATGGGAAAATAAAATACTGCAAACCTTCAAATTAAAAGGTTTCCAGCAATTAAAAAAACAATTAACCCTCCTGACTCATTTTCTACTGTTCAAGGTAAAAGAGACTAAAACCAGTAAAACCAGTGCAGGGATGGATTGTTTCTGAAAAAGGAACCAGAAAAATAAATAAATAAATCACTGAATTCTGGTCTCAGAGGATCGGGCTGTGATGTAAAACTGGATTTGATCAGTTATGCAGCAATCAGCAACAGGAAGGTAGAAAAGAATTACTGATCTCAAAACCCAGCAGGACGTGATTTTAAACCAGCTATTGCTTTCTAATCAGAAGCTAATTAACTCTCTAGGAAAACCGGATGAATAAATAAATAATCCAGCACCATCTTTCTGATCAAAGCTCTTCTTTACATTTTTAATTCAAGTTCTGTCAGCCGGGTTTTCTACCTTGTAGAAGGAGTCCATGGAAAGCAGAACCACCCACGGAACGTCCAAGGCTTCAATGATCTTATTGGCCACGGTGGTTTTCCCGGATGCACTTCCTCCACACAGACCTGCAGGAGCAGGAAAGGGGATATCACTGCTTCCAGCTAACGAGGACAAGCATGCAGAGCCGCAAAGTTCACAACAAACCAAGAAAGCCTGTATGGAGCCGAATAACTGCTCTGTAAAAAAACCGGTCCTGACCGGCTCTATGAGCCACATCCGCGCCTACTTTTGTCTGGTTGGTTTTCTCTGGTTGCTGCAGCCAAAGGCTGCAAAAAACTGATAAATAAAAGCAACAAAAGTTAGACCGGAGTCACCTGTCACCCTTCTGGGAATCCCTCAGGAACTGGGCCACTAGCACGGCGGTGAGGAAAAGGGGTGTGTGTGTGTGTGTGTGTGTGTGTGTGTGTGTGTGTGTGTGTGTGTGTGTGTGTGTGTGTGTGTGTGTGTGTGTAGCTTCCAGAGCGACTCATGTGACATAAACTACTCTTGAGTGAAGCATCTGGATGGGTTTTCTGTTCTGATAAGAATCATTTAGGTCAAAACAGCCGACTTGGAGATGAGGAAACAGGAAAACTGCACTGCTGTTCAGGTGTTAGTGGTTCTGGCTCGGATCTGGGATGCTGCACAAACCCATTCCAACTTGCAAAATATGTGTAATTAAATTTAAAAAAACTTTTTATCGGGTTCTCTTAAGACTGTTTGCTGTCGTCCTGCAGTGAAAACTGGTTTAAACAAGAATTCTGGATAAAAGCAGCTCGTCATCGATGCAGCAGCCACCTCTGGATAAGGGTTTCAACCCCTACCTGGTCATTAATCCTCCTGTTTCCCAGCACCTCACTCCCTTCTCTACTGCACCAATCTTCACTGCAGCTCTCCTTTGCCTCTGGGGCCACGCTCTCTTACGCGACTCTGGTCCTTTAAACTGGAGCCTCGGGACAGCGGAGTGTGAAATTGTCGCCAGCTACTGCGGGCCAGTGACAATAACAGATTGCAGAATAAAGGTAATGTCCACCTCTCCCGCTCCTCTGATGAGTTTTTCCACGGAACGGTGACTCCATGAACATCAGACACATTTTACTGCTGCTGGGACTCATGCCGAAGCAGATACTTTACTGTGCAGATCGGCCGGAGCACGGTGAAGCTTTAAGATTCCCGACTGAGCGAATCGATGCACCTGCTGACTAAGATGGAAGAGTTAAGCCATAAAGCTTCTAATAGACGTACCGTGTTTAATCCCATTTATGCACCACACATTTAACTTGTTTTAATACCAATGATGATGCTATAAAACACGGATCTGTGTTCTTCCATGCTTAGAAGAACGATGCATGCTCCTCATGGAGGATTTGAGTGAACTGTGAATCAGACGACGGTCGTTCTGCTCTCACCGATGACGAAGGCCTCTTTGAAGGTGGTCCCGGTGACGTTGTACCAGGGAGGTCTGCCAGCGGTGTAGATGGTCCTCTTGTTGGTCCTCAGAAGAGGAGGCTCAGTCTTAGACTGGCTCGTGGTCCGTTTACGTGGAGTCAACGAAGGGGTCAAAGGGCAGCGAGGCACGCGATTCGACAGGCAGAAGGAACCATCACCACAACCGCTGGAGATGGAGACAGGAACATCAGCGACCTTTATGCTCCAGTTCAGTCAACTCTAATTAACCTGGGATTGGTCGTCAACTTTATCTAAAAACAGCATTTTTATGGACGGCTCTAGAATGAAAAGCACACAAATAGTTCAATTTCTTCGTGAAACAAACACAAACATAAAAGTCCAAATTCAAAAATATAAAGAATTCCATTGAAATACGTGATTCTAATTCAGCGTAATCGGTTCAATCTGTGATTCAGGAAAATCCGTTTTGTCCGTGATCAGACCAGCAGCAAAGAAATCCGACACTTTGTCCGATCTGTGAACTCACCACGGCTAAAGTCTGATTCGCGCTAACAATAATAGACCCTCCTCGTGCGAGGTCTGGTTTTCAGAATCATATTTATATTATTTAGAAGAACATTTAAAGTGGCAACAGTGATTAATCAGAAAAGGACTAAAATCATTATTCGCAGGTCAGACTTGTACAAAAGTCGGAGTCGGCACTGAAAACCAGAATCGAAGCATCTCTGGAACTAAATGGAGATTATTTACCTAAACCATAAGTTCATCTGTAGCATAGAAAGCATTTTACTTATGCCATCAGAAAAGCCTTTTGCAGCTCATATTTGACCTCCTGCTGCTGCTCCAGTTACAGCTTTTTAGTTATTTCAACATATCTGCAGGTCTCACGCTGTCAAGAGTCATTTTGACCAAAAGCAGATCAACACAGATGTGATGCTGTTAAAGGACAAAAAGGGAAACTGTAAAACAATAACACCTGCATATATGTTGTTGTTGTCCTGTGGAGAAGGAAGAGGGAACGTATTGACTAGAACATTCCTCTGTGAGCTCGTCTCCACAGTGAAGTCCTTTATGTCGGTGTGTTTGAGGGGGAGGAAGGGGAAACTCGCCACCTCTCCCCAGGAAATCACACGCTGCCCAGGATGCAACATGATGCAGAGTGGCCAACATTCGCATGAGTAAGGCTCTCATCACCTGGCTCCAGTTTCTGTTCATCTTCAGAAGCAGAAACCTTCCCTCAATGCATTTGTAAACATAGCAGCTCATTAAATGATATGTTCTCACTAGGATAGGACTGTTGGCAACTGGATGGTGACGGAAAATTGCAAGAAAACACGCAAAATCACAGATGAAGTCACACACCATTCATAAATGTCACATTTTCTAAGTTGGGTTTTATAACTGTGATCGTTTACAGATCACAGAAACTAAACCGAGAAGGGTTCGAGACTTGTTCCAGGCATCGACTATAGTTTCAGATCATTTTTACATATTTACAATTTAAAAAACTAAACGAAGCCGTGACCAGCATGAGAGGTGAGAACATCTTCACTGTGAAAAACATCCACAGTGATATATTACCATTTTTAATAAAATAACACAATAATTTACTAGAACTTTTGTTCAGATGCTGAGGTTACATTCAAATCTGTTACTTTACACAATAAATAGTATGGTTGATATTATTTAGACAAAGCCGAATTGTTGCTATGAACCCTGAAAAACAGAATATTGGTCAATAAACAGGAAAGAAGTACAGGAAAGATTTGAGTTTATTTTTTTAATAAAACTGCGTGAATAAATTAAAATAACGGTCACACAAAGAGATGACTAACATGGCAGACACGTTTGTTTGAAGATGGGAAGTTCTGTAACCATCTGGACTAAAGTTTCGTTGTGATTTTAGTTATTTATCCAGCTTTTTGTTTTCCTTTTGTTCTTCGCGGAGCCACGCTGACACACTAAGCTAACAGGCTAACTGCGTTAGCGGCTTAACTGAGCTCGTGCAAAGCTGAAACCGGCGCGTGTCGAACACACCTTCCTCCATCAGGTTCTTTATTACCTGTCTGACCTCATCATCGACCTGTCCGTCTCCATCCGCTCATCCACCGCTTCTTCACCCGGTTTACTGCCCTGACTGCTCGCTGCCATATTGGTTCGGCGCGGAAACCAAACACTGCGTGCGTGCTGACGTCACAAGACGCTAACTCTTGTTATGTTTATGGTCATCGGAGAAAATCCGTAATTGAGGAGAACGGTATTGCTGCAGACCCGGTGAACCGCAGCAGACTCACCCCGGTTTTCAGGCCGACGGTCTGCAGCGATACACACAGATAAACGACTGAGCATCAGCGACGAAAAGTCGGTGAGTTTTTAAAGAAAATCAGCCCAAACTTTTAAAATTACTGATGCAAACGACTAAACCTCAAAAACAGACGATGATAATGGTGAGAATAATGAAAAATAAACAAAAACAAACTGAAAACAAGAGCGAAAATTAAGAAACTACACTGAGTTGATGTAAATGCTTATATGCGAGTCTTTGTGGTTTGAAACTCTAAACAACTTTTTATTATTATTAACACACTTCAAAAATCTGAGGTCATTTAAATTAAAATAAGATTTAAAAGACATTTTACTCCTGCTGCTCCCGTGCTAAATCATTCCTCACTTTACTAGGTTACAGATTTTAAAGAGCAAGTCACCATCAAATCAATTTTATTTATTTTTTTGCTAAAGGATATAAACAAGTGTCTAATCTTGCTGTAGACACGTGTAGTCAATAATTTGGCACTTCAGTGCATCTTAGTTAAAATTTAAAGTCTGCCTAAAACTGTCAGAGTTGTGCCATCTTCAGGTGAAAACTCTGCACTGCATTCGAATTTCAATCTGTCATCGCTATTGGCTAAGAGGTACATGACGTTAGCTGGTACCATATGATGTCACAGTGTCGTTGTGAGCCTGTGCGAGTATTTGTCAGCAGCTCCGCCCTCTCGGTCTGCCAGGCAACAGCATTTGTTGCATTTTTCAAACAGGAAGTGGAAGTGGAGTAAAGCCGGGCGGACACTGTGCGACTTTTTCACTTTTTTGAGCCGATTTTCCACTCGTGCGAGAATCCACAAGATCAAGGCGAGTCTTGCGCTGAGCGTCGTGTAGTGGACAGGGGGTTACGAGAGGCGATTAACACCACGTGACCAGCTACTGATCAGCAATCGTGAACTCACACGGACTTCTGGAGTGTTTGATATTTTGCTCGTTCCTCGTGAGGGTTGACACGGCACAGCGAGCAGCTGCGACCCAAAAAGTACCAGAACTGCTCATGGCGCATGTGCAATCATGCATTAACACCACTCGCCCGCTATTTCCCTAACAACACACGTTGTTAGTTTTTATTTCTACACTTTTTTTAACACACAATGACAAGGATTGTCAAGAAAGCGTGTTTGTCGTGTTCATGTCAAATTAAACTGATCACAAAACACATATTTACTTTCTTTAATTCGTTTTCCTCATCCAACCCCCATAAATCCCTGTGTGTCCTCCTGCAGCACTCCCGAAGGACAACAGGCAACACAAGACAAAAAAGTCTGACGTGTTGTGTAAAAACTGCCTTTTTTTAGCATATTTTTTAGGTACGACGTGTTGCTACCAGACGTACAGTGTGAGCAGTCAGGTCGCATCCGAGAACTGGGTCGTACAGTGTGAGCACATGACTCGTGAGATCTGCCCTGCGAGGAAGTCGTACAGTTTGAGCTGAAGCTGAGTGCTACGAGTGAAAAAGTCGCACAGTGTCCGTCCGGCTTAAGACTTTGGTAGAGGGTGACTTGCTCTTTCATCCTTCTAAACATGTTAGACTACATAGATAAAATATACAAATAATTTATTTTAACACTGCAGACCAAATAGAAGGACTCAAACTGAAACAATCTTAAATGTGCAGTCAAAACTCACTAAACAGAGAAAAATAATTAAATTCTGACATAGAAGCTAAACGTTTACGTTTTTATTTCCACCTGCACTTGAACGCATCATACATGAATGATGACACAAAAGATGAGCGAAACTTTTCACTTGCTTATCTTACTGGAAATAAACCTTTAAATATTTGGCACATCATTATTCTTCTTTATTGGTACAATTATTATTACTGAGGCCATCACTGTACTTCTTAATGAGTTATATGCTGGAAATTAAATTTGAGTTTTACAAAACAACAAAAAAAAAAGATGGACACATTTTACTTGAGTCTAATAAAAAGTCAAAACATTATTTTAGTGGACTGCTTTTGAACGGCTTTTAAAAAATCATATAACAAATGTATTAAAGCATATTAAATGGTTATAACGTTAAATCTCACGTGCATAAAACTTTTGAATTTCTGCAACCTATCCTCTTTTTTGTAAGACATCAAATGTGACACCACAGCAGGAAAATGGCTGAGTAATAGTGAACAAAACCTAAAATGTTGGAGTAAAAACATAAAAAGTAAAGAATACTTGGGCGTGAACCGTATTTCACTTATTCATGTTTATTGCAGCTCTCGTGTTGACAGTGACGTTTAATCTGCAGGAGTCCTGGCCTTATCAGAGCTGCTCCTGCTGCAGCTGCGCCTTCTCCCCTCGCTGCGGCTTCACGAGCCTCCCAACTCCTGAAACCTCCCACATGGGAAAATGCGCACATGGTTTCCTGCTGCTGCACTGAAGGGATCCTGCAGGTCAGAGACATGAGGACTTTAACCCGCTTCTACTGAGGACCTGGACCTGCAGCAGCATCTGTTTTACCCCCACAAAAGGAGATCTGCGTTAACTTTTACTTTTTGAATTTTATCTTTTTGGGTCTTGACTGAAAATATGGATAATAAAGCTGCAAATTCGGAGAAATCTCACCTGATAGACGAGAAAAGCGCGAAGATGTACTCCCTAAAACTGCGAAGGTGAGACAATTAAAACTTCTGAACGAAATCTGTCTGAATTTAAGAACGTTTTCATTTTATTATAAAGCATGAAACATATTTATGAGCAGTAAGCGGAGTTTGCGCAGTGGGAACGTGCATGTGGTGCGTGTTGAGCAGGACGCGCGGCTGTTTGATGTGAATGAACAAATTCATTTCCATGCTTGGCTTGTTTCTGGACAGGCTGTGACAAATGGCCCCGGGGCCGGTTCACCGAGCAGCGCTAAAAACTCATCAGCTGTCATTAGAGGGAGCGCGTGCGTCCGGGACCTCATGTCACACACACATTGACACGAAACACACATGCATGTTAGAATCTGTTAAACACGCCCGGAAATAGAATTATTACCAAAAATAACTAAATAAATTATGTTTTTGGTGCAGAAAATCAACAGAGCGACTCTAAGCAGGCCCAGCAGGAAATTATCATTTATTATCTCTAATCCCGACATAATAAATCTAAATGTCGTTTTTATCTCTACAGGCCATTGCATGATCAGTCTCCTGGCTCGTTCACGGCCAGCCGGTTCTCACCTGACGCGCGAAAATTTGCAAACTGAGAAAAATTTTGTTTGAATAAATCCGCTAATTCCGGATTAAAGATCAGCAAATAATCCTGCATCTGCAAAAACAAAGGATACAAGATTCGGGTCCATCAGTTGGGTTCAAACAGGGGTGGTGAGAGGCAGACAGATGCGCATATGGCTCCACATTTGCGATTTCACGCACCATTTGCGCCGTTCTTGTGCGCGTGTACGCTGTGTATTTAAGGAGACTTCTTCCCATTTCCCGCTGCTGGTCCAAAAAAAAAAAGGCAAATTTATTCCTGAAGATTAGGTTAAAATGACAATTTTTTTTAATGAAGGCCTTAAAATAAATACAAAAAATGCCGCTTTTCTCTGAAACTCATTTCATTTAAATAAATAAATAAATAAATAAATAAATAAATAAATAAAAATAAATAAATAAATAAATAAACAAACAAACCAACCAACAAACAAATAAATAAATAAATATTTTAGGCAACCAAAGAACAAACATCACCGCTCTGGTTCAGTTAAATGCTAAATCTGAGTTTAAATAGCATAATATAAATTTTTGTGTTGCAAATTAAGCCTAAATAGTTTCTAAAACGTAAAAAAAATGTACAAATACTATTACTTTTTTTTATAAATCAGTGAATTAAACATCAGAGGTCTGGTTGTAGGAACTATGATGTAAATCAAATTTAAGGTTTTTATCAAACAGTTCAAAGCTCAGGACGAGTTATCAGTGATGCTGAGATGAGCCAATAATTATGTAACTCATCATGACGTCATTTACCTTTTCCAATATGACAACCTGTGAAAAATGCTTTCATCTACAAAATGAAAGAAAAAAATCCCCTAAATAAGCCAAAGCAGATGAGATAATTCGGTTTAGCAGTGGTCCAAACTCCCAAGGAAGAAAATATTTACTTTAGAGTCGATCGAGAGCAAAAATCAGATTTATAAATTACTGATGATGTTTCAATAAATTAAAAGTCTTCAGGTTTTAATTAACAAACTAACAAAAGTGACTGAGAAGAATAGAATATTATTGTTTATAAAACTGGACTTTTTCCCTAAAAGTTCCCATTTCCTGTTTGATTATCTGCCAAAAGAAAGAAACAAAAACACAAAATTAAAGTTTTGGTGTTTTTAGGCCACTAAACCACAGTTTAAAGGTGAATTTTAGTTTAAGGACAACAAATAGAATAATTATGGTTTTATTTAAAAAACACACACAAAAAACTTCACAACAAATTAAAAGGTTAATAGTTAAAAAAGTTTTATTTCTATTTAAAGACAAAATAGTTTTAAACATTAAATAAGCTCTAATAAGTTTTAAATCAGTATTTAATATTTTATGAAATAAAAAACGTTTTGAATGGAAAAAAATATTTTTAAATCATCATCAATGTTTTCATAACTTTATTTACTGGAGCCAGTTTACTGGACCGTTGGCTGGTAATTAGTGACGTTCCCAGGTGGGATTTAGTTTGCTTTGAATTGTTGAAAATCTGGCAGGAAAAGCCTGACTCTGGTTGGGCCTCCAGCCTGCTGTTGGGTCACTCGTTTATTCTAATTTTAATCAGCAGACAAACTGAAAATATGTCGTAGAAATCTAAATGAAGAAAAATCAGACCTCGTAGAGCCAGATGTGTCACATCTGCTCCACATATTGAGTACCTTTTGCATCTCTTTAACAGGATTAGTACATTCTTCAGACTTCTGCCTCCTTGTGGAAGATCTAAGCACTGCAGGAGATGAGTCCCATTATTTTGTTCTCACTGGGCCACCGTCTTCACCTGTGCAACGTTAGACATGCCTATGGTGTTGGAGGACTCGCTACAGATAGATGCATCATTATTGTTTGATTTTAGTCTCTTAAACTTCAGAATTCAAATCTAAAATTTGTTTAATCATCCAAAATTGGTGAGTAAAATTACTGCTAAAGAGAAAAAAATCATTCTAAATTTGAAGCAAAGCGATAAAAAAAACACTTTAAAAAGCTTAAAAGGCCCAAAGATCATTAAAACATGACCCAGAAAAGGAAGTGAGGGAAGCTCATCCATCTGTGTAGGTTTACTAAGTAAACAGGCTAAAAACAAACACCAGGAAATAAGATCTGGGTGGTTCTGTTCTCTAAACGTGACTCAGTGCATCTAAAATATCAGCCGTGCAGCAAACAGCATACCGCCGCTGTCAAATATTCCTCCATAAAACAACACGTCCAGACAAATACGGGAACACCTCCTACAATAGATTTTTGAATAAAAGCAAACGGAATAATAGGATTTAGTTTGACTTTCAGGTCATAAAACATTCTGCAGCACTCCATCACCCCCCTGCAGGCATTTCTATGGAAGGGGAAATAAAAGCGTTCTTGTAAAGACGTGGCATTTTGTGTTGGACCTCAGGGATTTGATTTCATTTCACAGATGACTGAATCCTCTCTGCTGCCGTTGCCGAGAGTCAGTAAACACCTCACCCCTGCCCCGTGGGCTGCAGAGCAACAGAGGAATATCATCTTCATACGAAACCCCCAACTGTGTTTACTATGGCACAGAAGCCCGAGTCATCATGTTGCCTTGTTGTGGATTATTTCTCTCTCTCTCTCTCTCTCTCTCTCTCTCTCTCTCTCTCTCTCTCTCTCTCTCTCTCTCTCTCTCTCTGTGTGTGTGTGTGTGTGTGTGTGTGGCTTGTATTTGTACTCTTGTGAAGACCGGATTTGGGATATTTACTAACCTTCATATGACCAATGGTCCTTGTTAGGACAAAAACCCGGTCCTAATACGGAGTACTCCCTAGGGGTGAGGTTTACAGATAAGATGTGAATTGAGTTTTTGTTACAGATAACTTTAGGAGTTCACTGGTTAGGGTTAGGCACAGTGGACTCACTAAAATGAATGGAAGTCAATACAAAGTCCTAACATGCAAATACAAGAACGTGTGTGTGTGTGTGTGTGTTTATCCCGGAGGCATAATTTAACACACTCTGCTTTCCGCTCGGCTGGTTCCTTTGAGCTCGGACATCCCATAATATGATTGTGTGTGTGATAAGAGCCAATCATGCAACACTGGCAATCTCCTGTGTGGGGAGTGAGAGTTAAAAGTGTGTGTGTGGTTTTATTCAAGTGAGACCAAATGAGTTTTTTTCCACCTCATTAGCTACATCATTGCCCCCCCCCCCCCCCCTTTTTTTTTTAACGAGGAACCCTGATTACAGCTCAGGGCTGAGTGGGAGTCCTCAGAGGTGAAGAGTTTCATCTCTTGGTTGAGTCCAGAAGAACTCTGATCTTTTCATGGAGTCCTACCGTTAGAGAAAAGGGTATAGGGTAGAGGTATAGGGTAGAGGTTATTATGCTATGTAAGTCTCAAATGGAAACTTCCAGACTGCAAGTTAACTGAACTTTCTTGGTAAACAGGAAACAAGACTGTCTTGTTTTAACAGATACCATCACAGGTACACACCACACATGGTATTCTGTTCACGTCATGTGGAATGGTTGGTTTTCTCCATCGTGCCATGTGGAGGTGGTTTTCTGTTTGAGTGCAGCCAATGCCCTGACAACTGCTTATGCAGATGAAGCTCTGTTAATAAAAAGTACTGCACAAGGAAGTGAGATTTGAGTGTGTGAGAGAGTTACGCCGCAGTCCTCTGCAGAGTAAAACTAAATTCGGCTCCAGTTGTCTGTTGGTTCGATGTGAGGTTGCAGGGATATCTAAAGCCCCAACACTACCCCTAACCTAACCTACAACCCCATCAGCAGAATGAAGCTTTACACGATCCCTTAGAAACACGTGCATCTGACACGTTAACAGGTGAGCCACGTGGAAAAGATGCAACCACATCAGATCTCACAAATATATTACAAATGTTCCCAAATCAAACACGAAACATGCAGAAAATGACTTTCATGTGATATTTTAACAAGTTTCTATAAAAGAAGATTTTTTCCCCGCCATTTGAAGCTCCAATATTATTTATTCCAACTCACAAACACGTAAAATGTGATTTTTCTTGTTTTTCAAACGTGAAGCTTGTGTGATTTTTGCTGGAACGGATGTTCCCAGTTTGCGACGTTGCTGCAGCTCCACACACTGGACTGGCATTCATTTTCATTTGTTCTGAACAAGATTAAATAACAAATCAAATCAAACTTTATTTATAAAGCACTTTTCATGCAAAGCAAGCAGCACAAAGTGCTTAACAGATTAAAATGACCCATATAACCCACAATCCCTCGCTTTCCCACACTTAAAACTGTGACAGTTTCACTCCCAATCCACAAACCATTCCCAGGCACACACACACACACACACACACACACACACACACACACACACACACACACACACACACACACACACACACACACACACACACACACACACACACACAACACATTAAAAGACCACAGTAAACACTAGGCTGAGCTCAGATTGGACAGGTAATGAATGAGACACCATCAAGGGAGCCATCTGCCTCGACAGCAGCAGATCCACGGCAGCAGCCAAGACACCAATCCAGGGCGCCCTGGGAGGATGGCAACCCCACCACTACCTGGGTACTACCCAAGGAGTGCCCCAGCCACCACCACCGACCACCGGTCCCGAGGCAGAGGGCTCCACAGAGGAAACACTGGAAGGATTAAAATACGTAACATGTAAAATCACAAGAGCTAATATGTAAAATATCCGATAAAATGTGATTATAGAAAAAAACATAAATGTGTAACACAACAGTAATAAAAACAAATAAGTAAAATAAGCAATCCAATAAATAGTAATCAGTTAAAAGTTGAACTAAAAAGGTGGGTCTTGAGCCTGATCTTAAAAACAACAGACTGAAGACCAATAACAAACTAAATAAACAAGAAAGAGAAAATATAAAGATGTGTCTCATGTTCACAAGGTGAGTTTCAGAAAGAACAAAATAAAAGAATATTATGTAACAGCTACATTTCTATGTGGATAAGGTCTCAAACCCCGTGTAGATCCATCTTGTACATTTGCAGAAGTTCTACGGTCTGATTTCTTGCTTCAAGGTCTCCAGATGGAGTGTTAGGATTAGTACGGTGGCCCAGAAGGTTCAACAAAATACAGAATATGCAACGCAACGACAAAACCTGTAACAGAAGTACATAATAAAAAATGATTTGAGGTTTTGTACTTTGTTGAACCTTCTGGGCCACCGTAGATTAGTACCTTGGTCAAAAGCCTCCCATATTCAGTCCTATTCACGTTTACTGCCCCCTGGTGGAGGTCCTACAGGACTCAAGGGCCGATTTAGCTTCTTTATTATTGATAAATTGTTATACGATGCCATTATTTTATTACATAATATATTAACATTAGACAATAAATAGTTCAGCATTAAAGTTATAGACTGATGTTTAGTGTCTGCGTTTACTCCTTGTTGCTGATCCCTGTCCTCTGAGTGACCCTGCTCACCATCCATCTACGTAAGTGAACATTGATTCCAGAACTCTTGGTCAGGTTCTGCAGAGGCTTTTAGATCTTCTAAACGATACGAGTCTCTGCTGCAACGTTTACTCAAGAACATCAATCCTGTAAACACCCAAAGTACGCCAGACTTGCTGCTGTTACAGGAAACACAGAGCTGATGAGCTGGATCCGATTCCCACCACGGTAACATCTCTACTCCTAAAAAACAAACTCCTTCAGCTTTACTGGTGTCTAAATTCTCTTTTTTATTAAAAACATCTGAACAGAAAATACTGTGGAACGTATTCCTTCCTGTAAAACATCTTATTTGACTGTAACGTACTTTCTTCAGAATCATGCTACATCTATTTGATACCAACATCAGTTCTTCAGGCACCACGTTATTAAAAAACTCTAATAAAGATAAAAAGTAACTTGATTTATTGTATTTAGTAACTTAGGGAAGTGTGACATTTATTACTGCTCAACATTTTTCATTAAATATTGTTTTTAGGTAACTCTTTAGGGAACACAAATTAACCATTAAATAGCTGCCAATTAATATGCATATTAGTGAATGTAATGATTTCATTTACATCTATTTAATGATCCATAAGATGTGAGATTCCATAGGAAATATGAAATCAATCTTATGGATCTTTGGATAACTTAAACCAGAAGACTGGAACTTTTTATTGCAGGGATTATGTAACCACTTCGTATTAATTGAGAGACAAGAGAAAAGAGAGTCACCTTTAAAAATTTTAAGAAGATTTATTTCTAAACAATTTTAAACAAGACTAACTCTAAACTCTAAGCGATGAATGGATCTTGGTGTGAATGAGACGTGAGATGGATGGTGTATGTGTGAGTGATGTTGTCATCAGAACTCTCGTATCCGGAGAAGCAAGTCTGAGTGGGAAGTGATGTTTTGCTTTTAACTTTGATCGGAGTTTCATAAACACATAAGGCACCATTTTGTCGCTCCACACATACCATTAGCATGAGACCTCCGTACAGATCCAGAATGCCAGGTCCTCGTACCCCCCTTTCGGTACCGGAGCCGATGAAACAGCGTCAGCAGTACGACAGACTAGTCTTTGGATTGTCTCCAGGTAAAAAGCGACAGTTGGTTGACAGCGTCAGATGGACCCGGAGGGTCAGTGAGTTCAGCTTTTATTCTGAAAGGAACCGTTGCTTGGTTGGTAAAGTGCAACAGAATTTGTCCAGCTTGTCGGTTCTTTGCTTAAAAAGGAAGTCCGGGTGGCCGGTCCTATACTTCTCTTAGAATGTGGTGAACTGAACTAAGATGGCGTGGGACTGGTTTTATTAATCTGGATGTTTTGATTTACGGTCGAATCAAAGTTTGACAGATTTATAAACACCACAGAGACTATGCCACGCTTCAGAAAGGGAGGTTCCAATTGGATGAGAAAGATAAATGTGTCATGTGACTTTAAGCCTTACGTGAATCAGTATGTCTAGTGGAAACATTTAAAGTTATATTATTTATTATAACTTACTAATCATAATATTGTCATTTCACATATTGGTTCACATTTTATTATTGGCTAACTTTGTTTGATTAGCTTATTAAAATAGAGTTCTTTGATTTATTAAAAGGAAAGAGTCCTTTGTCTTCATTCTTCTCTTGAGCTGGAAAGGAAACAGTTTAGAAGCAAATGCATGACCTTGAGGTAGTCTCATGCAGATTAGTTCTTCCTGAGGAGAGGGGGTAAATAACCTTCGGTGGAATAGCTCCGTCATCACGTTACATGGACTACTAAGTCTGAACTAGTCATTATTAAGCACTTATTAACAGCTTATTACTAATGCCGTAATTCTAACATCAACAGGCCATAAATTATAAGTTTTATCAAATAAGCCATTCAGAATGGTTTGTTGCTGATTATCGCACATGCTAATCAGCTCAAATCAATATGTGGCTTTTAACGAAGTAATTCAAGGGGAACATATTCTTGCCTTTAAGTGGTTAATTAATACTAAACTACTAGTAATTAGGTATGAATAAAATCTGACTTTAGAATGGGGAACAGATTCTTGCTTACAAGTGGTTAATTGATTGTTGTTTAGGCTCTATTAACATGTGGAGTTTGGTGTTTATTTACATAATACCAGAACATAATATTTTTGGTTATTAATGCATAATAACCATTCCCCTTGAATTACTTTGTTAAAAGCATCGACAAATAAAAAAAGCCACATATTGATTTTAAAAGCCACATAGTGATTTGAGCTCATTAGTATGTGTGTCAATCAGCAACAATCCATTCATTTTCAGTTAACAAAACACTATGAACAGCTTATTTTGATAAAACTCTTAATTATGGCCTGTTAATATTAGAATTACAGCACTGGTAAAAAGCACCTAATAATAGCTTAATAGTGACTAAATCAGACATAGTAGTCCACTAATATGCATTATAATTGGCACCTAATTAATGGTTAATTTGTGTTCCCTAAAGTGTTACCTGTTTTTTTTATATAATTCTGTGTTTCCCATTGTGCTGTTGGTCATTTTTACTAAGCTGCATAATACAAGTTTTCTGTTACACTACAAAAAACTGCAGTTGTTCAGCTGAACACATCTTTTAGAAAAGCTCTTCTCATAACTGATTAAAATACTTTTAATTCAGTGGACTATTAACACAAACCCCTTCTGTCCTGATAGTATTCAGCTGGAGCATCAGGATTAGTACCTTCATCAGAATCCAGTTCAGCTACTGGCCCTCAAGGGACTATTTTGCTTATTACCATTATTTGTTATAGAATTACGTAATAAAATAAAAAAAATGGGTTATTATATTATTGCATATTTTAAGCTTTAAATGGAAATATTGGATGCTTTAATAGAAGAAGCACTGTAAAAAGCTGGGTTGTGTTGCTTTTGTCACATTTCTGGACATTAGCTGTTTATGACATGCTGCTGCTAAAGGAGATGAAGAACGTTGAAATTAGACTGTATGGAATTGTAAAAACAAATCTAACCTTTTATCTAAATGATTAAAGAAAAGATCATATCACATCACCCTTCTGATATAAGAACAAAATAATGTGTTTTTTTTTTGGCTCTCATTAACCACTGGATGGATTTTCATAGTGTTAGCATGTTAGCCCTTAACGTGCTAACACCATTCAAAACATATAAACCTCTGACGTTTCAGCTCCTTCTCAGACTCCAAAGAGCCCTACCCAGACTTCCCTTTTAAGAATGGAGGCATGTCGGGTGCCATCGAGCTGAAACACCGAGTTGGCGCGCACTGCCACGGACCCAAAGCCTCGACGTGTGAGGAGAGCGGGGACAAGCTGCTGGCCAAGAAGAAGCTGTTCATCGCGTCAGGAGTCTGTCTCATCTTCATGACTGGAGAGATTATTGGTAAAAAGTTACAAATGCAGGAAACAGAAAGGAAAAAGTCAGACAGATGTTCTAAATGTTAAATGGAAAAGTGTTTTCCTTTAGGACAAGAAATAAGGTATGGTGACCGGTAAGGTTCAAAACATATACAAAAGAAACAACTAGGACACGAGTTTCATTGCTAACTTGAGATTAGACCTTATTAGTTATATGTTAAATGTACCATAACCTGACATGTTTCAATGGCTTCTATAGGACTCATACATGACAACGGTCCGGAACGTTCTACAGGCTTTGGATTAAAATCTATTAATGTGTGATAAAATTGTCAGCATCAATTGATTAATGCGCTAATGTGTTACGTTTTTTAGTTTTAGAACCAACTTTGAAACGCAAACACGATCGCGGAACACTCACCCCTCCTTTCGGGTAAAACCCCTGGGCCGCGTCCGTCGGAAACGAGATAGCTCTAAACACCAGGCGCCGTTTCTAGATCCAAACGTCGTTTGTTGTCCGCAACTTCAAATGGTGTTTTACTTTTTGGGAATCTGATAGTTTGTCCTGAAGCTGAAGTGTTAGCAGCCGGCTGTTTCTCCCTCTCTGATGTTATTGAGCGGAGAACATCTCCCACCAGTGGTGTTCTGCTGCTAAGTACGGAGGACCCAGGGAAGTATAGCGGTTTGGTGAGACCAAAACCTGGATGGCCCAATGGTTGCTCTCAGTTTGAGCCACATTATTGGCAGAGGCATTTTGACAAAAGCGAGAGGCCCTCATGAATTATTTGTTGGTGTTTAATCATTCTTTTTTTTTATCTCCTCAACATTTAACTTTTTGCTATTTAGTGTTCGAATGTTGTTAAGAGGCACGAAATAATGTTTTAAGCTAGGCTGTTTTCCTAATTTGCCATTCAATTCAATTCAATTCAATTCAAGTTTATTTATATAGCGCCAAATCACGACAAGAGTCGTCTCAAGTCACTTCACATAATAAACATTCCAATTCACAGTTCATTAAGCCAATCAGAAATAATATGTCCTATATAAGGAACCCAGCAAATTGCATCAAGTCACTGACACTAGTCAGTGACTATACAGCAATCCTCATACTAAGCAAGCATGCAGCGACAGTGGAGAGGAAAACTCCCTTTTAACATTGTGGCTTTCACTATTGATCAGAGTTGAGGTATTAGCATAGCTTCTGTTTAGCATAAGTTCTGATTAACCACAACCTCCATTTTTTGTACTTTCGATCTATAAAAACTTTAGTTGAAATATTTGCTATTGTTCTGCACCTTTTCCATTACACCGAATGTCCCGGGACACCACAGATTAGAACAATTTGATTGCACAAGCAGATAATGAAAAAGTCTGCAAAATAAGCACCAGACTCAAGTACTAGCCAACATTTAGTTAGTTTATTTGGACAAGAGCATTTGGGAAATATTTCTCTACTTCCTGTTGCAGCTTTTCATCCAGTTCCAAAATATTCACACAAATAAAAACTCAATTAGCTGTTTTTAAGTAACATATCGTCTTTTAGAGTGAAGAGATCCGTTCTCTGCTGAATGTATTTTATTGTGAAAGGCAGAGTGGTGTGACTGCCATTGGTAATTTAAAGCATTGTTTTTATTGGACCTCCAACAGGAGGATATCTGGCCCACAGCCTGGCCATCATGACCGACGCAGCCCACCTCCTGACGGACTTTGGGAGTATGATGGTGAGCCTGTTCTCCCTTTGGATCTCGTCCAGACCGCCGACCAAAACCATGAACTATGGCTGGCACAGATCAGGTCAGCAGAACTGAAGAGCTTGATTTGCATGAAACCAACCTTTAGATGGATCATTAAACCACTCTGAATTCCTTTGGTTAATTAATCTCAACTGATGCTCTGACTGTTCATTCCCTTTTCTAAAATAGGAATCATGTTGCCACCTTTATTTTTGACAGAATAAATCAGATGAATTCAATGAGCATGACCTTCACATAAGTTCTGAAGTCTTAAATCAGTCATCTTTTATACTATCACATAAAAAACGAGCATCGGTTTGTTAGGAAAATTACTGCGAGCTACAGATTTGCAGCTAAAACAAACTCAAATTAGTCATTTCAAGATGATTTTGGTTGCATTTTGAGCTCTGGGTAAGAATCAACACACTCAGATTTTAGCGACTGTGCTGCCTTGTAATGTTCTGATGAACTGTGTGCACACACTGATGTGATTCCTGCCAAATTTCCTCCCCCAGAGATACTCGGAGCGTTCATCTCAGTCATGTCCATCTGGATAGTCACCGGGGTTTTGGTCTACTTAGCCATTGAGAGGATCGTACGCAACGACTATGAAATTGAGGGTCACGTGATGCTATTAACCTCTGGCTTTGCTGTCGCTGTAAATATTATGTGAGTGATTCCCACATGAATTGATGTTTGCATAATTTGTTTCAAACATTAACTGAAGTTACAGTGGTGTAAACGTTTGTGTATAATACTGATCAGTTTAACTGGTTTAAGAACTCTCTAAGAAATTATGTAAGAATTTATTCTTTATTCTTAAGATTTGGATCTAAAGAAAACGTTTATCTGCACTGACTGTAATGGTGAAAGGGCCAACCCTACAGCAGAAACATACATTTATTATTTCTTTCATAATTTACAAAAAGTTTGACTTTTTAATTCTCTAGATGTGAATTTTAATAAAACTCAACTTTTACAGCCGTGACAAGACATACATTTATTCAGGCAAATGTGTCATGGCCGCCAGGTAATAGCCCTGATTTACCTTTAGGGTTCTCGGGTCCATTTATCCAGTAATCAAATGCCAATCATTGTCTTCAATTCTGAAATTATGAGTTGATTAAAGCCAAATCCCGGACAAGCCCCCAAAACAGCTATTACAACTGAGTCAACAGGCTCCAACAAAAATGAGAAAAGTGTTAAACAATAGACACAAATTCAACAATTCAGATTTTTTTCTACAGAGAAAAGTGGTGACCAAACATTTTCTGATTTGGGGAACAAAGGAAGCTGAAAGTACTGAAGAAGAAAAGAAATGTTTTAAATTAGTTTGATTTAAAATAACATGTAAATAATTTCTGTGTAATATTTTAATACTTTGTGTTTGATATTCCATGAATACTCTGCACTAGAGCCCTCAGCTAGACTATCTTTTTAAATCACTGTCATACGATTTGTTTTTATCATTCCCGCAAGACTTGCATTGGGTCCCAAGGATTTTGTGACATCCCAATCGTTAAGCAGTGCTGTACTCTGTACTTTAAATATTGTGATTGGTATTTGTCTTAACTCTGCTGCTAAAGGACATTTCATTGTTCTGGTAACAAAGACAAGATTATTTAATCTTCATTGGCAGCCTATCCTCGTGTTTTCCAATGTAGTCGATCACAAAAAGAATGCTTAGTTTAACTAAAAGTCCTCTCTCACTGGTGTGGAAGAGTGAGTCACTAATACTGGAACCTTCTTTAGCTGATAAGATGACGTAATCAGCATTTCTCTAGACAACACCTATGTTGCAAAGACAGCTATTTCAAGCTCAAACTGGTCATAACCAAGCTAACCTGAACGTTTCCACGTACCCCCCCTCCCTGTTCTCCTGCAGAATGGCCTACATCCTCCACCACTCCACCACCCTCCACCCCCATGGCAGCGGTTACCACCAAATCGACGAGGACGGCCAGAGCCCTGTCAGTCATGGCCACTCCCACACGCTACTCTGTGCCCATGGTAACACGAGTGTCCGTGCTGCATTCATCCATGTGGTTGGCGACCTTCTGCAAAGCATTGGCGTTGTGGTTGCGGCGATCATCATCTACTTTCGGGTCAGATATAGAACACATTCTTGTTAGGGTGAGACTGAAACATCAGTTTGCTCTTAGGAAACCTAATGACACATGAAGACCCACAACAGCCAATCTGACTAATAATTATTGAATATTTGGACCTAATATTTCTTAAAGTGCCAAAGACAAACATATTTTAATGTAAACCGGGGCGACGGTGGCACAGGAGTTAAGAGCCCGCCTCGCAATCGGAAGGTCGCAGGTTCGAGACCCGCTCAGTCTGTCGCTGTCGTTGTGTCCTTGGGCAAGACACTTAACCCACATTGCCTGCTGGTGGTGGTCGGAGGGATCGGTGGCGCCAGTGCTCGGCAGCCTCGCCTCTGTCAGTGCGCCCCAGGGCAGCTGTGGCTACATTGTAGCTCATCCCCACCAGTGTGTGAATGTGTGTGTGAATGGGTGAATGACTGATTGTGTTGTAAAGCGCCTTGGGGGGTTTCAGGACTCTAGAAGGCGCTATATCAAATACAGGCCATTTTAAACCTGATAAATGCATGAATACAATGTTTTTTTATGTCTTGCAAGCTGCCTTTACCTCTTTTTGCCCTGAGGTTTTTTACGTCTCATTACTTAAAATAAAACACCATCTGACGTTTCTCTACCCGCTCTTTAATGATAACTTCTTCTCTCTTTCAGCCGGAGTACAAAGTTGCAGATCCTATTTGTACGTTCCTGTTTTCTATCTTTGTCCTCTGCACCACCCTCACCATCCTCAGAGACGTCTTCAGGATACTCATGGAAGGTATCGGATCTCAAAGTCAGCAGAATCTGGTTCTTGGGATGGTTTGTTCTGAGAGACATGTAATATTTCGTTGTCATTTGGATGACAAGGCCTTAGAGCAGCGATTCCCAACCTCCAAGGAGGGCCCCACAATGGTGTCTGTGCTGAGGCTGTGAGGTTGTTAAGATTATATTTGTAAATATTTATTTTACAAATAACACCCAATAACACATCCAATACTATAATGAAAACTCTGCATAAGAGTTATTACTCTAATGAATCACTTTTAATGTCTTCATACAGGTAGGATTTGGGGTTCGGGGAGGCCCCGGCTTGTCTTGGACACAAGGGAGTCCTCCTGGAAAAAAATTGGGAACCACTGCCTCTGAGTTATTTTTGGCGCTGACTTTTAGTAAAAACTAGAACGATAAAAAAAATACTATCTTTTTTTATTGTGCCTCTCAAGATAAAAATCACAAAGTGCTTCATAGGAACAAAAATTTTAAAAATGAAAAAGATTTTAATAAAAAAAAAAAAGATCTAAGTAATCAGTGGATCCCGGAAGGCAGAGGAAGAGCAGAACAAGGAGAGGGAGGTGATGAAGGTCCCACCAAAGCCTGAACAGGCGAGTTTAAAGGAGACCGCTGAGTCCAGTGATCTCAGGCTCAGGGGGAGAGAGTTCCAGAGTCTGGGGGCCACAACAGCAGATGATCTATCACCTTTGACCTTTAGCCTGGTGCTGCACAACCAGTAGACTTTGGTCACTGGACCTCAGGGACCTGCTAGGGTGAAGGGACTGAGAAGATCAGCAATGTAAGATGGTGCGTGTCCATGTAAGGCCCTATAGACCAGAACCAGGATCTTGAAATGAACCCTGAAGTTGACTGGCAGCCATTGAAGCTGGAGGAGAAGCGGGGTGATGTTAGCCTGGCAAGCCAGACTAAATAAATGTATTATTTAGTCTGGCCACACCAGTGTTGCCAGATCCAAAATCCCACAATATCGTACAGAGAGGCCTAAATTATCGTTTTTCAGTACAAATTATCGTACATTATAAATTTGATAATAACGTTCTATAAACGACTTCTCACTCCAATATAATATAACAAAGAAGGTGTTTTATATTGCCCTGTTTAAATAAACATCTTTAAAACCAGTAATATAATGCCTATAAACGTGCAGAGTGTGTCGGCACCACTCCGACCTCCACGCATTGACACAATATGCACTTTTGCGCAGTCCTATTTATTTCATTTCTACATAGGTTAAAAGCACGCGACAAAACATCACAGCAGTGGAAAAACTGACCCAATAAATGACAAAGCAGCCTACTCACCTAGTTGCTGATCTCGATCTCCTCATGTGATTCACTGTCTGTCGCAGCAGAATGCCTTTAATCACCTGTACTAAGTGGTCTGTGCTTCTCAGTGCAATGTTGTGCTCGGCTGAAAAGCCACATAGCTTGATTTCAGCATTTTTCACATCATTTTCAAACTTCTCTTTTTCATTAGTTTGCTGGAGACATTTAAGAATAGATGTCTGGTTTGGCGCAATGCATTTGACCCTTTCATTGTGTTTAGCTCCCTTTGCATGATTCTAGAGAACGGTGATTTCTGATACCATCTGGGTGTTGCAGCAACGACAGAAAGCCTTGGTTTCGTTCCCCGTAACAGGTGCAATCCATCCTTTGAAAATAGGGTCCAACTCCCACGCAGGACGATAAACTTGTGTCCGATGTTGCTTTGCTTTACCTTCTTCCGTCCATTCTCTGGTTTTTCTTTTAAGGTTAGAAGCCATTGTCTCGTCGCTCAGTCCTCCTAGATTAGACTTAACTCGGCGTGCTCGCAGGCGAACAGCAAAAACCGGCGGGCCACTGCCACATTATATAACCTTACAGTTTCTCGCGAGAGTAGGCCCTATCGATGTGATTGGGCTATTGATTGTACAGATCCAGAGTCAGTTTTTGTAATAGACACAATAGCATAAACCTGTAAGCACTGAGGTGAAATCTGACTTCAGAACAGTTTAAAATTATGTAATTGACTTGGGAAAGCCACAGCAAAAGACGGTGTTACTAGATGCAATGTGAAATTATCGTACATTTGAGGATTTTTGAAACTATTGATCGTACATCGTACAGAGCCCAAAATTATGGTACAAATACGATAATTATCGTACATCTGGCAACACTGGGCCACACTCCATTGACGGCTCTCGGTTGTGGGGCGGGTTCTACCGTTTTCTTTCAAATGATCTCCGCATTCCACTGGACAATGAATGTGACATACTCTTGTTTCACTCTGTTGCATCATCCCACCCACCAGGCATATAGAGTGCCCTGATTGTCCCACAAAGCAGATAAAGCTCTGTGATTTGTTCACTAAACAGATAGAGCACTATGATTGGCCCACCAATATGGACCAATCACAGCTCTTTATGTGTTTGAAACCCCTCTAGAGAGCTGTGATTGCCTAGCCAGAGTCCTGGTAGGAGCTGCGGAGGTTCCAATGGAGCATGCCTAGACCATTCTTTGCAAAGCAAGAATTTGGTCTAGTTCACTAGGCTAGGGTGATGTGGGTGTGTTTGGAGGACTTGATCAGAAGCCGAGCACAGGCATTCTGAACCACCTGTAGACGGTTCAGGGAGGTTCGGCTCAGACATGTGAAAAGAGAGTTGCAGTAGTCTAAGTGTGAGGAGATGAAGGTGTGGAGAACTGTCTCAAGTTCATCAAGTTGGCAGGAATGTTAAGAAATACCTTGACCTCAATGCCTTTGAAGTAGAGGTCGACCGATATTGTTTTTTCTGTATCGATGCCGATATGTAAAGGTCATGGTCAGCCAATTTTCATGGTCGATATGTAAAAAATTTCCACCTCATTTTCATGCTAAAATGTCACTAATAACTTTAGTTGATTCACCAAACATTTGAAACCGAATCAGTTTTTGAACACCAGCTGTTTAAATTATAACTTTGTTCACTGCTCTGTGTTAAGATCAGACATTTAACTAAAGCTAATCAAAGAAATGTGTAACCTGACCAAGTATTACATATTCTAAACTGGGACATTATAATACTTTTTTGTTGGAAATAATTTTGTGAGCATTTATTAAACAGACGGTATTCAGGAATATAAAAATGCACTTAAATTCTGCAGGTGCCAGGGTGCCCGTGGATGTGCCTAACTTTAAATCAGTTTTACTAAGGAGTCATATGGGCTGATATATAAATATTGGGAAATTTCGGCCCAATATATCAAATTATTTAAAAACGTTAACACAGAAAATACACTTTAAATAGCTGAAATGTCCCTTTAGAGGCAGTAGAAACATTATGTAAAACAAGTATTAAACAGTAAAATGTGATTGTTTTGACATGAATTACAGATGATTAACATACAGCCTTTTGTTTTCTCAGGATCTCCAAAAGCTATCGAGTTTAACTCCGTGAAGGAGGTGCTGCTGTCTGTGAAAGCGGTCAAGTCTATGCACTGTCTGCACCTCTGGTCTCTGACTCTGGGACAGTCTCTGGTTTCTGTCCATCTGGCTATAGGTAACAGAAAACTGCACCTAGATCCAGCAGATTTAGGGATAGAACTGTAAACGGGAATGTAGAATCAAAGAGTTCATGTTTAGCAGGTCAGGACAGTTCACCGTGCACAAAAGAAATCTGCATGCACTAAATAATCCAAAGAATTATCCAGAAAAAGCAGGTAAGCATGATTTCAGACACCATTATGAACAAACAGAAATGCTCTGTGGTGCAGATCCACACGTTAAATAGCTAAAGCTAAATTCACCCTCTTCTTCCTGTGATCCCATTGTTCCAAACACGAGCCGCGCTCTGATCTACACTCCAACCCTAGATTAGGACAGGGATGCAGATTGGCCAGTAAATCAGCAGATGAGGCCTTTTGGCTCAGAACTTCACCACAATAAACTATTCAGCCTGTGCAGACGCTGCAGCATCTGTTAGCCTTCTTCCCTCACACATGTGGATGGATGCTTTTTATATAACAATTCAACATATAAAAGGCGACTAAAATAGAAAAACTGAAATAAATGTTGATTTATTTTTCTCTACTCTGTTGTTTTACACCAGAGGAAGGATCAGATCCTCAGGCAGTGCTGCAGGAGGCCACCGACCTGCTCTACACCAAGTTTGGTTTCCACAGCGTCACCATCCAGGTGGAGCTCTACTTGGAGGAGATGAGCCACTGCTTCCGCTGCCAGGACCCCAGAGACTGACTCCAATAACGGACTGAACAGGAACTGGACCCAAAAGGACTCAGAATGGATTTGGCACACTCACTTAACCTGGGCTAGACCACTGTGCTGCAGCTTCCTGGAAACGAACAACGAGTTCTCGGTAGATTTACCAGTTGACTAGTGAAAAAAATCATTCATGTGTTCACGCTGAGCACTGATGATGGGGCTCCATACAAACCTACGCTGTTTTATCACGTTAAAGGAATATTCCACCCCTGTTGTCATGTTCCTCAGATTTAGATGAGTGAGAAAAAGCATTTTGTAGCCCAGCCATAGTCTTAATCTAGCAGTTTTCCATTAGCTTTAGCTTAGCATAAACAATGGAAGTGAATGGTAACAGTTTGCAGTTTGTGTGAAAGTCATTAAAATAACTCAATAATGATCTGAATTTTTCTTGATAACATCCATAATCATACTGACTGCAAACTAGCAGCGTGACGTCTGGCAGACTGAGTCACTTACAGGTCACCACAAGTCACAGTGGGTGGTGTGTAGTAATGTAGTCCCTAGTCTAATGCCCGGATCACACCGCATTTTGCACATCAGCTGACAAAAACTGGTGAACGTGAGGGCGATTTACAAGTCCGTGGCCATCCAGTGCGACCGGCTCAGCAACAGCTTACTGAACACTCCCACGACCAGCCAGCCTCCAACAGTCTTCAAACAATGCTTGAAAACTTACGACTCCCGTCTGCAATTGACCAATTAAAATACACCCAGGAAGTGACGCAAACAGCTAGTGACGAGAGTACAAAACAAGAGTAGAATTAGCAACATTAGCAAGAGTGGAAGCTACACACAGAAACACACGGACCACTTTGTATCAGGGTCTAATAAAGAAGTGTTAATGGCGGCACTTTTTTGCTTTTCAGCTTTGTTGTTTTGGTTAGCTGTCGGCTTTTAGCGATGTAAGCTTTTCAGGGGCGCGCTCGTGATGTTAGTATGTTCTGCTACAGCAAGAAGTTGTTTGGTTTGGCTGAAATCTTGTGCCACCTTTCTGGAGTCCTCACAGTGTGTCGGGAGCAGTCGTGTGCAACAGCTGAAAAACGCAGTGTGGTCCGGCCTTAAATCCGCTCCTGTTATACTTTCATGTTACTTATAATTTTGTTTGCAGTTGATCTGACTATTGAAGTCATCCAGAAAAATTTCCAAGACTTTTCACATGAAATGCTAACTGTTGCCATTCACTTACATTGTTCATGCTAAGCTAATGCTAACGGAGTACTGCCAGATTAGGAGAATGACTGGGCTCGTTACAAAATGCTTTGGGGAATATGGCTACGGAATAAATTCCACTCAGGGGAGGAATATCCCTTTAATACGTCACACAGAGAAAAGCATTAAACTTTTATTTGAAGCAAGCTTTCAGGAAAATCTAAGTCATTTTAATCTGTTTCTGCAGCCATAAAAATAAATTAAAAGAATAAAAATACGTGTGATAATTTGCCTTAAAGGAGAGTGAAAAACAAAAATACACAAATAATAAATAATAGTTGACTAAAACCAGTTTCTCACTGAGCTGCGACTGACAAAAAACGCATAAAAGCATCGAATAATTCCCAATTTTTCTCCTGAGCCAGTCACAGAAATTTTCAAAATATTGAAAAGATTTGCATCAGACGTTTACTTTTGAAACAATTGCAGAGAATGTTGAACCCTTCTAGAACTCTTCTCATGTTAATTTCCGTGAGTCCGAATGTGAGATGACTTTGGGAGAGGTCGGACGACAACATTATACATAAAATAAACAATATCAAATTGAGACACTTTGAGGTTAATATACAGAAGAGAAATTAGCTACATGTATCTGCTACTATGTCTTGTGCCACATGTGATCCGACCAAATGTCAAACTTTTTGAAAATGTGCTTTCAAGTATCTTTCCGGAGTTTCAGAAATATGATTCTTCAGAAATCCGTAAAAGTCATTGTCTCATCATGTACTGTGATATAATGTAAGCATTATGTCTTTTTTTTTTTTTTTTGCTAATCACGCCCCCTGCCCCGCAGAGCTCCGTGCAATAGGGAGCCTAAGTCACTTCCGCATCATGGGTCCCCGGAAGAACGACAAAATGAATGCAAGTCAACGGGGCTACAAACGTTATTTTCTAATTCCGCTTGTTATGTGCCATGGATTTCACATATGATGTCCGTGAATTTTAAAGACACATTTTGATACAAAGAACGTGCTTATTTTCAAACAGGGGGAATGCTATTTTAGGTTTTGGGTGTAAATAAGTCCAGGACTACAGATGCGCTTCACGAAAGTGACATCATCGAACCAGACACGGAGCAAACTTTCCACAGAAGGAAAGAACCACCATAAATCTGGCCATGTGGTAAGTAGCAGCTACGCTAGGGGAGAGGAGATTATGTAGTGATGTCACATGTGTGACATACCGATTTCTAGTTTGTAGTCATAGTAATTTTGAACTTTTTCAAGCTGATAAATCTCAAAGTACGTGACTGGCGTGGTTGAAACACCCATCATTACTTTTCATTTAAATTGCAGTACAACATATGTCTGATCCAGAGCGTAAGGCAAAGCGGATTAGAAAATAGCATTTTTAGCCTCGTTGACTTGCATTAATTTTTTTGCTCTTCCGGGGACCCATGATGCGGAAGTGGCTTAGGCTCCCTATAGAAAACTGAGCGTCAACCAGAACTAACCAATATAGTTAGACTACCGCTCACATGCTTCAAATTTAAGGAATACCTCGGCTGATGCAGAGCTGATGAACTTTTGTCTCAGTGTTTCTCCAACTAGTCTCCAATTATTCTCAAATGGTCGAAGCTCAGTGAGATGCTAGCGTAACTAGCATAATAATCTTTTGGTGAATTTTAAGCTCATTTATAGTCTTTTATTAAAGCCTGGTCCACACTACAACAGATATTGTTGAAAAGTAAGATTTTTTTCAGTTATTGGGTAGAAAAAAATGGGGGTTTCAATCAAAATTTGCAACTCCAACTTTGGCGTATCCAAAAGGAGATGCAGAGCTTTCCAGAAACAACACTGGAGTCTGTTGTGTCTAATAAAATCCATTGTTGCTTTGTATACGAGAAACAAAAGTCACAATCCAAAGGTTACTTCCATTTTTTTCCACTTGGTCTCTCTTTAACCTAATCCACAAATGGAGTACAATACCATACAAAGTTAATTTGTATAGCATATTTAAACACGGCATGAGAGCCAAACAAAGTGCTCTCATGCCGTGCACATAATAAAACAATAAAAAATAAAAACTAAACCCATTAAAATTGAGTAATACAAATAGAAAAGAAAAGGAAAAAAGAGAATAAGTTAGACTGAATGAAAAGCCATAGAATAAAAGTGAGTAAAAGAGAAATTTAAGTTTAGGAGAATTTTTACCCAAGCTAAGATGTTCTATCTTTGTATTTTGATATTTAGCAGCACATTAAGGGTATTTCAGCCTTTTTAGCAGAATAAATCAGTCTGGAATATCTGGAGTAGTGTAGACAGGGCCAAAACCTAGTTCAAACCAGTCCTGTTACTTATTTTCACTGCCATGACTCCTAACACAGTCCTTTAGGGTTGCTGGCAGCATTGAACATGGGAATCACAGCATTGTTGGTTTTTAGATTGTTTTATTAAACAGATTAAAAACACTGCCTGGTAGGACTTTTCTACAAATTATTTAACTTTGCAGTGGGGCTACCATGATTTATTATGAAAATCGTGCAGAGCTTAAGGCACTTTCAAGGTTTATTGGTGTGACATAAAATCTGTGCACTTTGATAAATTCCCAACATTTTTAGCAGAATTGCTTCACGATGTAAAAAAGTCTTAATTTTGTGAATACTGTTATTGCCTTAGAAAAAAACCAAACCAGACCGAGGTTCAGTCAACAACTGAGAGATCACAATAAAAGAATAGTTGGATTGATTAACTAAAGAATAGTGCCCATGGATAAAAACTAGGATTTTGTATAAGAATTCCTAGTTTAGAACTTTTATTCTGGTTTAAAAGGCAGTTTTTGTTCAACATTTGAGGTAAACTTGGGATGAATCTTTATGCCATAATAATGAAAATTGTACATTTAAAGATTAAGTGAGAGGAATCAGATAATAAGAGATCCTTCAGACACTTTGAATCGTGATGCTATTTGGTATTTATCTATGATAACGACCATGCTAGTCGCTGTCATCGATCTAAGTAGGCGGAGATTCTAGAAACAGGAAGTAGTCCTCTGACCAAAATGATACTGATGGTTAGCAAGGTCAGTAACCAATTAACTGCTCATTCTATTCTGAAACAACTCTTGGTAGAAGAGGTCACACCAATGTGTAAGAACGGCACGTGTACACTAGCGGTGTAATTCTTACATTTGGTCGGAACAAACAATAAATTAAAATAACAGCCTCAGGCTAACTTGTAGACAAACTAGGACAGCAGTAGCGCAGGAGGTAGAACGGGTTGTCCAGTGATCAGAAGGTTGCAGACTCCATCCCGGCTCTGACCAGAGAATTCTGCTGCTGTGTCCTTGGGCAAGACACTTAACCCCCCTTTGCCTGCTGGTGGTGGTCAGAGGGACCGGTGGCGTCTGTGCTCGGCAGCCTCGTCACTGTCAGTGCGTCACCAGGGCAGCTGTAGCTACATCGTAACTCATCACCACCAGCGTGTTAATGACTGATTGTGTAGTTATGTGCCTTGGGGGGGGGGGGGGGGGGGTTCTAGAACCATAAGAGGGCGCTATACAAATACAGGCCATTTACCAGGTTAAAAAACATCACTCTAATGCATGAGTGCAACTTTTTTTGAGCAGGAACACTTTTAAAAACCAGAAATAAAATACTAGCACATAAACAATCTGGCTAGCTAAGAATGCTGCGCTAGCCAGAGGACTTGTCCCGTTTCTAAAGACTCTGCCCACTTAGTTATGGTAAGGCCATTTCTGCAGAACATCACTTTGAAATTAAATAACCCTAATCTGTGAAAATTGCATAAATGAAACAACATATGAAATATAAAGTGAGAAAACTCTAATCTATTACACAACTTTGTCTGTTGGATCTCAGAGAAGTCTACCTAAGATCTGCTGTGTGATGACATTGGTTTGAACAGGAAGTGAAGACTAGAAAGCATCATCCATCTGATTCCATGACTGGATCTTCAGGTCTGAGGGCAAAAATGATTTAGTTCCACGAATGGATGATTATTTGTGCTTTGTGCCATCATCCGTCCCATCTATCCCTCATCGCCCCAACACTCATCCATCTACGACACATGCCTTCGTTCCCTCGGCTTCCTGCAGCCGTTACTATCCATCCATTTTCTGCCAGTCATGCAGCAGACATTCTTATAACCATTAACCCTCTGGAGGCAGGCGTTGCAGATTTGCAATGTTAAAAACTACCTACCTGGTTACTCCACATTCGTGTTTCATGAGCATTTATTTTACTCAGAAGTACCCCTGAAGGACTTATTTGTTTGTCCTTTTATCAAAACTTATTTTGAGCCTGAGAGGATTAAACAGGAAACAAGTGAACTTGCTTTCACCCATCTGTCTGTTCTGTGATCAACATATCAAGAGTTCAGGTTGCGTTTTAAGGTGTGAGGGATTGTAAAACCGTCTGGGGGAAGACACTGTAGGTGTCTGAGAGGTGGAACCAGCATTAACCCAACTTCATTGCTCATTCATGCATTTTGCAGATGCTTTAATCAAAAGCCACTAACAGATTACCCTAACATGCATGACTTCGGTCTGTTGGAGGAAACCAGGAAATCCAAAGAAAACCCTTACTTACATAAGGAGAACCTGCTAGTTCCACGCAGAAAGGCAACAGTTAGGATTTGAACTCGCAACGTTCTTGTTGCTAAGCATCAGTGCAACCAACTGTGCCACCATTTAGGTTTTCCCAGCATCAGAATAAAAATAGATATAGATGTATTGATCATTTATTGAACCACTTCAGAGATACTTATATTGCACACATTGATATCGCGATATTGACACATTTTCAATATATATCGTAATGCATCTTTTCTTTTATTCTTGTATCTCAAAATATCCCAAATAGTCATATTAATTTCCTAAAAGAAGTGTCCCCTGTCACTCAGAGCTAACTCTAACCAATTAATATTTCAGATAATGGAATTAATCTTCTGAGGACGGAGTTAATTTTATTTCTTTATTGATTAATCAATAAATAAAACGTCAAACAAAAAATGACATAAAACCAAATTCTGAAAAACTGCAACAACGGTTTTAAACTAAAACCCGAGAATGTTGTTGTGAATATACTTGTACACATTCATAGGAATGTTTCGTCTGCTGTTTTTGTCTTCTGTCCACTGCAGTGCCTTCTGCGACACCGGCCAATAAAAAGAGGTCACCTACAAAATGCCCCGCCCACAAAACTGGCTCTTGTTTCCAACAAAAAAAGATTATTTAAAAAGTTTTCAGAGCAAATAAGGAAGTATGTGAACAAAATTTCTTGCTTTGAAAATAAATTTTTTTCTTTTTGAATGCAAAACTTTTTAGATTCAAACAAACAAACAAAAAAAAAACCCATCACTGTTTGACTTGTAGTTCAGTCTTTTATAGACAAATAAAAGTATTTCAGGTGCGCTTTTTGTTTGCAGTTTTTCAAAATTTGGTTGAAACTTTGTCATCCTTCATTTGAAGTGCTTTTTTGATTGATTTATAAAGAAATAAATTAAACTCCATAGAATGCCTTAAAGCTTTTGAACCTTTTAACAGAAAAAGAGACATTAAAGGAGAAGTTGTGGAAGTTTTTTATTCATCTTCCAGGAACTGAAACACAAGACGTTAGCTGCTTTTAACTAAAGACCAGAGCAAGTTTCACGCAAGCCGTATTTAGTCCTTAATAATTCTGCTAATTCAAAGGAAAAATCATAATTTTCTAAATAATTGTTAAGTGAAAAAAGCCATGGGAGCAGACGACGTCTCCGTCGTGCTTCTGTTAGGTGTCGATGTCGTAAAGAAGAAGCAGCAGATTGTGAAAACGTTGTTCATTCAGTCAAAAACACTTGCATGGTTGTTAGCTGTTGTTTAAATATCACAATGAGACGTTTCTTGTTCAACTGCCAATCAGAGAATGTTGACAAGCCATGTGGAGGATTAATGAAAGAATAAAAACTAAATATGCATCTATATTTTACTGGATTTTTAAGGAGATCTTGTATTGTTTTGGAATAAAAATGCAAACAAACCCAACAGTTATGATGGGTTAATAGGTTTTATAAATCATGGTGACGTTCTGTAGAGGCTTTGTGAAGTTTTACTCTCTAAAAATGTTTTTAATTCCAGAAAATGTTTTTTTTGTTCTGAAATGTCTGAGAATGCCATTTTTGTGCCGTTTGTGACGATAATGCTCTGTCTGCGTGTTGTAAATACGGTAAATATTGTGTATTTTTCAGTGTCTGACTTTGTGTAAATACATTTATCTTTCTTGTACAATCGGTCTGCATAAAGTCGGTTAAGTGTGAAACTGCGTAAAACCACACGTCACAGCTGTGAAGCTTTATTTTGATGTGCTGCAGAAGTTCTTATTGCAAAGTGAAATAAAAAGCGTGGACATGAATGATGGCTGGTTTATTTGAAAGGCATCTGCGGCAACAGTCCAGCAGGAAGAACATTTGTCTGTGCAACATTTAAAAGTACCAACAGATGTAGGTGATGGACTTTTAGTTGCTTCATATTTATAAGTCCTAATAATAAAATCAGTTAATAACTTTAGACACAATCCTCTTTTTTCTGAAAGTATCAGCTTAAAACCATGAATTTAATCTGGATATAGTTGCACCAAAGCAGAGAAACTACCATCTATAATTCACAGTTTCTCTGTTTTTCTAAGGGTGTAAAAACACATTCCAGCATATTTTACAAAAACACATTTATATCACTGCAGAACAAGATGGAAACAACAGAAAAAGACAATAAAAGTGTCTATTTTAAATGTAAACCTGAGAAAATTCAAGTATTTCCTCAAAATGATGTAGCCTGAGTTTGTTTGCTGCTCCTAAAATAAAAAAATATATAAATAAAACACAAATTGAGCTAAAACTCTCAGTTTTTTCATAAAATCCTCTAGAGATGATGAGGAGGATTGCTTTATACAAATACGCCATTAAATAAAAGAATACTTAAGAGCGAAAAGTAGAATTTGTGTGACCAAGAACGAATAATAAAAAGGAACACCTTCATTAAACCAATCAACTAAGCAGCCGTCCAGGAAGACCGGGGCTAATTTCAAGGTTTAAATGACCTGTACCAGGAAGTGATGATGATGTCACAGGAGGACAGTCCTGCTCCGTCATGCTTGAGCGCGAATTTAGATTTGTTATTTACTTTGGGAACATACTTTAGCTTTTCAGTGCTTTTTATTTGCCCAGTTCTCGTTACACATGTAGTGGTGTTGGGGTATTTTTGTGCAAACTGACCCATAACATATTTATCTGGATAAAACCTGACAACATGATCCACCTTCTGCTGCTATAGCTGCTCCTCCCTCTGGTCTTTCTGTGAGTAGAGTGCGTTGAACTGAGTCTGGGTGCCAGCAATCATCTTCTTGCACTGAGAGGTGACCAAACTCCTTAAGCAGTGAAGTCTCACCAGACCTGTCTGACCTCCAGAGGCGAGCCAGAGATGGCTGCTCATGTTTGGGCTGAACCGTACCTGAAGACAGGGAAGGGATGGTTTAGGGGAAGGTTCTGGGAAAAGCGGATGCATTTCCTGGAAGGGATGTAATCTACAGCTGGTGTTGGGATCTGTAGACGACATGATGTTTGTTGAGGGAAACCCAGTAAGTTTGTTTGACCTAATTGTTTTTACTTTACTAAATACTGTCGGGTGATTTTACTCAGACATAAAAATATTCTAACACATTATTTCACTTTTTATTTTATTGCATCTATTTCAAACAAACTGTTTTGTAACTCTTGGCTAACAAAATGTCGAGACATTTTGATGTAAAGGGTGTTATAATTTAAAATTTTATTATTATCAAGAACGGTAAAAATGGACCTTCCTCATGAACTTTTTTGGGTGTGAAATTTTTATTCCCTTGAGCCGTTTTCAGACTCTGAACAATATTGTTTTTGAACATTCAGCAGAGAAAACTTTATTTCTGATTATCATCAGTCACTCTGAGTGTGTCATGCAGGCTGAACATGGAAACAGTCTCCTGCACCCATCTCCTGCATTAGCTTCTGACAACATCCCAGACTAACATCTTACGTCCAGCCTGGCTCTACTTCCTGCCCTGGTTGTCACAAGAATAAAACATTTTTAATAATGTTATATTATAAACAAATAACATAATAACACAGCTTCAAACTTCAGACATCAGATAAAAATGCTCGTTATTTAGTCTGAGGAATGAAAACATGACGCCATTTCATGGACGCTGTTTTTGCGATAATTTCTAAACACAAGTGGACCGGATATGAATCCCTGAGGGACACCACATTCTTTAGTTTTAACAGTTATAGGAGTTTTTGATATAAATAGAAAACATTTTCTCTCTGAATGACTCAGCTGTCATCCTCCGGAAGTCAATAAAACAACCTCCTCCCACCATCACTATAAATCCTTCTGGTGTTTGTTCATTGTTTTCTCTGATCCCTGTCGGCTCATGCTCTCCGTCTCCCTCCCTATTCCATTTATTACCTTCAGACAAAAACTGAGGCATTTTAAGGGTTTTTCCTATAAAAGCGAGTCAATCCGTTCACCCCGAAGGGCAAAGACACGCCCTCAACTCTTGAAATTAGACTCATCACATTCTCAAATGGTTGCTCTCCATCTCCCCCTTCTTCCTCCCACTGAGAACGACAATTTTTCCTCATTTTCCACATCATCACAGCTGGCCTGACTTTATAGCTGCCCATCAGAGGAGGACACGACTCTCAGCTGTCATTCTGGTATTTACCTTCCAGAGGAAAATGAAGACGGCTAAAATGTTTGTACCTTGTGTAGCGCGGTCAAAGGCATTTCATCAAGATCCATCTTTAATTTTCCTTCTGTGCTCTGCATGCGTTTCCACAAAGCTCGCTTCTCTATTCTTTCAAGGTTTGTCTGGAAGTCAGAGAGAGAGGTATGACAAAATGATTACACAAAGAATACAGCAGCACCACTAAGATAAAGAAAATAGCAATCACAAATGATTTTAGAAGAGGAATGGGTGTTTGCATCCAAAACAACCGAGCAACATGGGTGTACCATATCAAAGTCAGAAAACTGCACGAGGTGTCTCTTAGCAGCATCTCTGTACGTCGGACCCATCAAAGGACGACTCGCATCGTTTCTAACTCCACCTCCCTCAGAAGCAGCATCACCTCCTTCCTGTGCAACATGTTCCTCCTTTTCAGGACCTTCGTGATCATTTTCAGCTTCATCACGTAACATCTTAGATGTGAAGTACGCAGGCTGAGGAAAAACAGTTAGATAGGTTGGTTGGTTTTACTTCAACTTATAATTTTACCAATCAAACGTAAACAGGTGTGGATGAAGCTGTTGTTAAAGAAATAGTAAAAAAAAAAAGACCAAAATAAGTTGAAACTGACAAAAGTAAAAGCTAAAAAAGTCAGAAGTCGCTTTCAAATCATGGCTCAATGGAATAGTGAATAAATAATAAACTGGCCCATTCAAGTGAGATGTCCCACTTCTCCAGAAGGTCTTCATATTGTTGAGGTTATTGGACTCAGAACAGATTCAACAGAGCAGGTCCACATTTGTGAACGTTTTCCTTGGTTGCTTAACGTTTGTGTCTGTGGCCATAGAGCTGCTGCAATTCACCAAAAAGCTCCATTGTTGTCTCATCATGATGTTCTAGAAGCCTTTATCTTTTATTCTAGCTGGAGACGGGCTTCCAGTCTTTTTCTGGTTAGAGATGGTTTTCTAGACTTTTCTTTTAAAGTGACAGTGTGTCTTCCCTGGCAATAGGGGTCAGTACATATCCAAGCCCCCACAAAGCGGTTGAAAAATTGAAGCAAACGCGGAAATGAAATAAATTGCAGTTCCACCCTCATCCACTAGGGGCTAGTGTCGGAAGCGAGCAAATCCTCATTGACTCCCATGTTAAAAACACCAATTTCACAGCAGAAATAAACATGTTTACAGCCTGGTACCAAAACATGTTTTTGTTTAAATGATCTAGTTTACACTCATGACAACTCTGAGGGGGGTGAATTTTTTTTCTCACTCTTCTGTTTAAGTGTAATAAAAGCCTAAAATTCTGTATAATTAATGAGCATCAGACCCACGTGACCACAGAGCTAGCTCCGTGGAAAGGCCTCAGTAGAGCCTCAGTCTGGCCTGTAAACTGTTCCGGGATTTTGAGTCTCTGTGTTTGTGTATTCTGTTTTGGATATTATTTGTGCAATTGTTGGACAAAATGACTTGCTGTGGCATTAATTGCACTAATAGAGCGTCCAAGGAGTCTCCACTTCATTTTTTTCGGTAAGTAAAATTATTTTTATGTATTTTAGGTCACTGCCGAGCTGAGCTTAGATTTTAACATGTACTGTTTAACCATGAAATTTAAATGTAATAGGGTAAAACCCAGTGCATTTAACATAATGCTGCACTTTAGAAAATGGGTTGAAATATAACATGTTGGTGGAGCTGGGTTCCGACTATCAGCTTGTGGAGCTCTCGGGAGACCGATGTTTTCCACCCGTTTCTCCCCTCCCTGCAGCTCGGCGCATCTGTCTGATCGCGGCTTCTGTCTGCTGCGCGGGCTGCCAGCTTGTGGAGCTCTGAATGGAAACCGAAGTTTTCCACCCGGTTCTCCCCAGCGGCAGCTCTGCGCATCTCAGATCGCAGCGGCGCTTGTCTGCTGTGCGGCTGCCGGCTTGTGGAGCTCTCGGAGACCTCTGTGTTCCACCCGGGTTTACCCAGCGGTCAGCCCGGCGTATCTCTGACTCAGAAGCTCTGGTGTTGTGCACAGTTAACTCCGGTTGTAGCTAGGTTGCTACCTCCGTTAGCTTAGCTCCCACCTCCGTGTTAGCTTTGGGTTAGCTTCAGGTTAGCTTGTAGCTAGTTTGACCGGGTGTCGTCAGTCGATCCCAGCCTTACAGCCCCACCCTCAGCTCCACCTCTCTTCCCTTTTGTGGAATTGTCTGGGCTTGACGGAACCTGTGACAAGGTCAAAATGGCGGTGGTGGCCACCTCCCATTTTTCTTCAAAAACGTGTTATTGGAGTCTATGGAAACCCACTGTCCAAAATTTATATGTCGATGTACATACCTAAATCATTGCAAGCAAGCACTATTTTTGTGTTCAAAACTAGACCTTACTAACGGATGGCCATTAGGGTCAAAAATCCCTGGGAGCACAACCTCCAGCAAAATAACAAAAGCATCAGACTCCCAGGGCTTCCCCAGCACTTCATAAGCCTGGCGGCCCGCCAGGCTAAGCGTCATGCCCCGCCCCCCTCCCCGACCCTACCGTGTCCACTGACACGAACGGCGCAAGGAAACTAGAGCCCTCCATCAGCTGATACTAGTGAGAAACAGCAGTGGAATGTGTGCAACCCCCCCACCGGGACGGAGAGCGTGACCCCGCCGTTCGATACCTTTTGGGGCCGTGCCGACACTAAAGTGTAAGCGCCAATAGTCCCTCCAGCGTGTCCTGGGTCTTCCTTTAGGTCTCCTCCCAGTTGGACGTGCCTGGAAAACCTCACCAGGGAGGTGTCCAGGAGGCATCTTAACCAGATGCCCGAGTCACCTCAAAAGGCTCCTTTCAATGTGGAGGAGCAGCGGATCTACTCCAAGCCCCTCCCGGGTGACAGAGCTTCTTACCCTATCTCTAAGGGAAAGCCCAGCCACCATGCGGAGAAAACTCATTTTAGCCGCTTGAATCTGTGATCTCACAGTGACAATTATGATTTTGTCTGTTTGTAATAGAAATAGCCCAAAAAATTTGACGTAACATCAATGTATTCTGAGAGGTAGCGCTAGATAAACAAGAGTGCATTTTGCATGGGTGCTGATATTAGCAAGGCTCACAGATGTGGAGTTACCCAAGAGGCAGTGGTGTAAACGCAGGGGCAGAACAGCATGGCGATCCAAACATGGATGAAAAAGGCTTTTGACCAGAGTGGGTGGAATCAAGTAGTGACACAATTAATCATCTAAGAGTAAAAAATGTACTTCCAGAAAAAGTTACTTTGTTTGAGCAATAAGGTTTGAATTTTGTTTCTGTTGATGTGTTTTTACAGTACAAGCGCTCTGTTTGTGTTTTTTTAATGATCAAATATGGTTTGTCTAGCTTTAGCACCCAGCAGCAGCATCAACAGTAAAGTAGGCCATTTAATCCACATCATAACAGCTTTGTTACAAAAAAGGGCTAAAAACGAGGAAAGAACAGATTTCTACTTACAAATCGTTTCAATATTGTTCGTTTGATGTGAGGAGCGGCGTACTGAACCACTGGTAAAAAGGTGAAAATCACCTCACCGAGCGCGTCAGCTGATAGCACACCGTTTACCCACTCGGAGTAAGAGAGTGACTGGAATGACACAAACAGACCAATCAGCAGTCAGAAAACAGTTCAAGGATCAGTTCTACAAAGTCTAACTCAAAAATGTCTTTGTTAATTAAATGAAAAGCACATTTAGATTTTCAATAATTTCTAAAAATACCAGAAGATAAAGTGAAGCTCCTTTAATGCGGGTTATCGTGCAAAACCCCAAATCTCTATTTAAATATTTTCAAAGCTTCAACTTTCTCTCAATCTAACATCTAATTATTCAGAACAGCTGTAAAAGGTTCCCGAGCCTTAAAAGTGTCTCAAAGTTGAATTACTGAAATAAATGGACTTTGAATCATATTCTCATTTTTCAGGTGTCACCTGTAAATAAACAAATTAACATAAATATTAAAACACTCAAAAAAGAGTTGAAGCCACGAAGTGAACTATGAGACGTTTACAGGTTAAAATCAGCTTTAGTTGGCCTTTACTTTGTAATCTCCATTACTAATTTATCATGATTCAGATTACAAAAACAGAGAGATTGTTTTGGGATTGGTAATCCTGCTCATATCCAACACTCACCCACACAGCGATGCTCCGAGAAATAGCAAAGTAGGTGTTCAGGTTGTGGTCCAGGAAATGGACTCCCATGGAACCATGCCTAAAACAAAATCCACACAAATTTCTTTACAACTTAATAAATGAATACTGACTAAGCTAAGAAAGTTAGCTGGATTGGTTTTGGATCTGGTGAGACTTTTAATCAACTGCTGGGTGGAAAACTGGAATTCTTGGATCTTAAATCCCAAAAACAAACGATGTTCTGACCTAGAGTCCTCAGTTGTCTCCACGTACAGCCCTGTCACCATTACTGGCTTTAATAGCCCACAACATGGTTATTTACAGAAAACCCAGACATTTTCAAGTTCACATCTGAGCATAAATGACAACATAAACATTTTAAATCTTAAAAACCAGCCTCCAAACGAACCCGATCGGTAAAACCAAGACTTTGTTCTCAGGTCCTGAACTGAAGTGTGCAATCACATGTCTGCCTGAACTTACATCATGTGGAAACCAGTTTCCAGTTAAATTCAAACCGTATCACAAGCTACAGTATACTGCACACGTTTATTAGAGCTAGCTTGAATGCTAACTTGGCCTGCACTAAAGCTAGTGCTAACTTTAAGCTAACCTTGACGAAAAGGGATTTATCTTTTGTGTTTTGGAGCTAAATCATTAATCGTTCAACCCTACCTCTCATTTCCACCAGACGCGTGAGCGGTGTGCCACATAACAGAGGCCATTTACCCCTGAGCTCCCTCCCAACAGGAAGTGTTTAGGCGCTAAACGACTGTGAAAGCTAGTCCTGCGAGATCTCATAATCACATAAGAATTGCAACAATACGCGTGATTTCAGAGGTTCACAGAATAGCAAGCAAGGAGAAAGATGGCTGCATGCATCCAAAAAGTGTATTTTCTGTTCTGGTGACCTTCGCTATGAGGTTTCACAGAAAACAACACACTTTTTTTTTACTAGTTAAGCAACTAGAAATCTGCATGTGACTTTTATTTTGAAGGTTTCCAGTTGTTTTACACTGCTTTTGCATTTGACTTCCTGTCTGGCCTGATGTGAACTATAGGGTTTGATGTGTAAAAAAAAAAATAGACTTGAAACGTGTTCTTATGCTTCTGGGACGGGGATGCTTCACGGCCCGTGGAAAGGAACCCATCCAGTATAACGGCGGCTAATTGTTGCAAAGTATGTTTCATGACGCTTAAGCCCGAGTCATGCTTCTCCGTCAGCTCCAACAGGGAGAGACGCACGCACGGATGGAGGTGTTTTGCCCTCAGACGTCTCCGTCTCCTGGGGAGTGTTGCAAAGCAATTGCCCGCCAGGACAACAGAGGGTGTAGCGCTGTTCTGTGGTATCCTGTCATGTATCTGGTCCAACATAGTGTGTTTATATTGTGTTTTTTTGTATATAAGAGACTTTTTAACACAGATAAATTTGTCTCTCATTCTCCTCCACCTTTTCATGCGCTCGCAACCTCTAAACCCACGTTTCCTGTAATTTCAGTCTACAAATAAAACGCTTGCTGCGTATCTTTTCACTCCTCCAGTCATGGGGGAATGAAACGTTCATGTTTTTAGAGTTTTTTCGCGAGGTATTCCTCAAGCTTCTCCGTGCCTGCCGCTAGTTATCCTCGGCTCTCTTTATGTTTTTGAGGGCGCAATGGCGGCGGTGTAGACAACAGCGTCGTCCTGACCAATCACAAGCTTGCGTTCTCCGTCTCGACGGACGGAGGTTTAGAAAAGCGAGCTCGACTCCGTCCGTCCTTGCGGGGCTCTCCAGCAGTCCCGCAAGGATGGATAATGGCATTGCGTGTCTCCGCACTGACGCAGAAGCATAACTCAGGCTTTACGCATCTGATGGAAAAGAGGGGTCTCGCTACATCTCACTGTTAGCTCCGCTTTCTGTGTGCGGTACGAGACGTGGCCTTCAGCTCCTTCCCAAAGGGGAGGGGGAACAAGAGTGGGAGCTCTAGCTGTTATCTCCCCGTCTCTCCTTGATGATGTCATACTACGGACCACAGCTTTATAATACGCTATAGAAATTTCATGTTTTATTATTTCTTGATCATAAATCCCTATCATAACCTGGTCCTTTGAGCTGGATAACTGAATTACAAACTAAAAGTTTTTGCACTTTTCTAAATGCAAATAAAAGTTGTGACAGAGGTGGTTTCTTACGGCACGAAAGCTAAATCTTTGGCCTTCATGACCCCCGGCATATCCAACGGCCAGCACATCTCGTTGCTCAGATATCGTCTCTGGACCTTGATGGGCTCAAAGAGTCTCCTCAGGTCCCACGTCTTCACATAGCGGTCCTCACCTGCTGTCGCCAACAGGTGTCTGAGACGGAAAGAGAGACAGACACCGATATCAGGGATTTAAAAGAAAGTTTGTTTCAGCACCAAAAAGGCTGAATATGAGAAATTTCATTCTAGTGCAAAGTTTAAAGTAAAATCCATCATTCCTGCTTCCATCGATAAGATCTGCTGGGAGCGTCTGCCATAAACAAATGACGACACGGAAATCGATACACGTTTCAGTGGTGGATGAGCAAAAGAGGAGAAAATATGACAAATTATTCACTTCGCTTCTGAGAAGAAAAGGCAGAAAATAGAAATGGCTGCTTTATTAGCAGGCGGTTTAATTAAAAACACTCATCCAGACATGAAATTCATTCTAAAGTCAAAGAGAATTCATCAAATTATTCATTCAAGTACACGTTTTACTGTTAAAAACTAAATAATCGTGGTGCAAAGAAGAGAAAAAGTGTCCAGAAGGTCATGTTTTATACTGAATTAGTTCCAGTTGCTCCCACAGATGAGTGATGCTGCGTTGCTACTGACAACATTCGTTTCCCAGAGGCACTTCTGCAGTGAAAATGATCCAATGTGAAAATAAACTGTATTAACTGGTGCTGGACTCAGCGCTGCCTGTTTGGGATCAAACGGCCTCATTAGGACGTTTTAGGAGGGAACTGTAGCATAAAAGTGTGAAAATACACACTTTGTTTGCTAATGAGAGCAGAAATGTCAAAGGCAAGATCAACTGATGCACAGACGTTTAGAAGCTGAAGCCGTTTTTGAAGATTGATTTTTATTTTGTGATCAGTGTTAAAACACGAAAGAAAGAAGTTTTAGTAGGAAATGATTTTTAGAGCATTTATTAAAGCAGATGTAATTCAGAAATGTAAAAAATACATTTAAAGTAAATTCTGCAGCACCAGCGGACTGCCCGGGGATGTGCCTGACTTTAAATCGGCTTTACCAAAATCGGCCGATACACACATATAAAAAAATATCGGCCTGATTCATCGATCTACCCCCAGTTCAGATGTTCATATCAGTAAAACCCAGAGTACCTCAGGGGTCATTACTGGGACCTCTAGGGCAGGGATCACCCACCCTGGTCCTGGAAGACCAACATCCAGCATATTTAGTTGATTCTTTGCTCCAAAACACCTGATTAAATAGTTCAATCACATAATGAGCAGCTCATCCATCCCTGCAGGAGCCTGTTTATCACTCGCTGATTAAAATCCGATCTGACGAAGCAAAAAAATCCTCTGAATTTTAGGTTTTCTGCAGAGCTGCATGAGCGTCTCAACAGCTCAGTGGCCTAGTGGTAGTGTCCGCCCTGAGACTGGGAGGTCAGGGTTCAAATCCTGGTCGGGTCGCACCAAAGACTTTGAAAAAATGGGACCCAATGCTTCCCTGGTTGACACTCAGCTTTAAGGGGGTTAAACCACCAAATGGTTCCCGAGCGCGGCCGTGTCTGCAGCTTACCGCTCCCCCAGGGGATGGGTCAAATGCAGAGAACAAATTTCACACACACATCAGTGTGTGTGACAACTAATGGGACTTTAACTTTACTTTAACAACAGGTTTGTTAAGCAGGGATGCACGGTATATTAGTACATATTGGTATTGTCCGATTCTAGTAATTTTCTAACACATCAATATCAGAACAAAGGATGAAGAACCTACCTGGAAGCAGCACAGAAGGTCAGAGCCCTCACCGCTTGGTCATGAGCAAGTATGCACCTGTAAGGCAGAAGGGTCAAAGACCTGTCTGACTCTCGCACTCGCAGCAGAGCAGACTTAGTTGAAAGATCCCACAAACCGACGATACCTGGAAAGAAAAACAAGAACTCAGAACACAAAACAACTTCAAACTAAGTGTTTCCAGCTGAAAGGAGAAGAGCGAGAGTAGCTACAGGTGACTCGTGTGTTCGTTTTCAGAGTCAGAAGCCGTTCACCGGGAACATCGCTGCATACCATCGTAGAATCCAACAGCCATTATGTTGTGTGGTTTCTGAGGCAGCCAGTCCATAGAAAGGACCTGTCCACTCTTTTCTCTGCGGGGGGCTTTGATGGAGCCTAACTTCAGCGTCATCACACCTCGCACCTGTGGAGAGCAGCATCACTAACTAATCCGACGTTTAGGCAGAACGTGATTTTAACATCGTAAAGCATAAAAACGAGAAACGGACAAGAAATCCTACCTTGTATATTGGTGGATTAGCGTCGTCTTTTTCTGTGAAGACACACAGACTCAAGTAAATTAATAGAACTTAACAATAAACCCTTAAAATGATAAACCTAGAACGATTTTTAGTAATATGTACCAGAAAACATTTAAAGAGCAAGTCACCCCCCCAAATCTACTTTTTTCTCCCTGATAAACTACATAAATGCGTGTCTAGTCGTGCTGCAGACACATGTAGTCAATAGTTTTGCACTTTAGTGGATTTTAGTTAAAATGTAAATTTTTTGCCTAAAACTGTCAGTGTTGTGCCGTTGTCAGGTAAAAACTCTGCACTGCATTTGAATTGAAATCTGCCCTCGCCATTGGCTAAGAGGTACCCTAGAACAGTGGTTCCCAAACTTATTTAGCTGCGCACCCCCTTCTATGTCCCGACCATGTCGACCCCCCCCCCAGCCCCCACATCAGGGCATGGCTATATATATATATATATATATATATATATATACATATATATATATATATATATGTATATATATATATATACATATATATATATATACATATATATATATGTATATATATATACGTATATATATATACATACATATATATATATACGTATATATATATATATATGTATGTATATATATATATATATGTATATATATCCATCCGATGTCAAGCTACACAGTCAGGGTTAAAAAAAATATGATCGACCTTTTTCCCCATCACTTTCATTTTTTAAATAATAATTAATAAACATTCGATACCATTACATTTTCCTTTGATTTAATTTTAAATAAATATTTAGAGTGCCCAGGTAGCACATAAACAATGCAATTTAACGGTTTTCTTAAAGTAGGAACGTTTAACCTGTGCGGCCAGAGCGCTCTCCTTCCTTCTGCTCTGCGTAAACCTGAGCTGATCACCTACTTGTGCGTAATCAAATGTCAATAGGGGAAAAGATGGAAACGCCATGAGGTTCACTTTTGCCTCAGACCGACTTTTTGCTGTTTTATGGTGTGGCTGAATCTGCGATCCACTGCCACGCGGACAGGAATGCTGCAGTAACAGGACTTGTGGTCAGGTTCATGAGGAGTCACTGGCTGGAGCGGACCCGACTTTAATACGTCATCCCAAAATAGAAGCTAATATCTTAATTTGACCTGAAATGTTGTTATAAAACCTCTTAAAAGTTTTTATCACGGAGGAGGCAGCGCTCATTTCTGTCTGCAGTCTGACGGCGCGCTGGAGTTTATGCAGCGTGCGCGCTTATTGAATCTGTGTGTGTGTGTGTGCGCGCGGCACAGCTCCATGAGCCGCTCAAGTCACCGCGTCTCGTTATTGGCGCTATTTAAACCAATGTTGTAAAATTACTTATGCCCAGCCCTGATGTGCTCACATGTGCACCCGTGGTTCCGCTGGAACGCGTCTGACCTCTGACAGACGCACTCTGAACTTCAGATCTTCAGCGTGTTGTTAATAGCCTGAATGGGAATCATTTGTTGATTTATTTTGTTACATCCACAATGTTCTGTGTGTGAGGTTTACAATTTCAGAACACCTGCATGAGACAGGTGTTAATTACAATCTGCCAGAATGACACACCACCTTCAGATTCCTCCAACACCGTTAAAAATGATCAAATACGGAACATATCGGCGTGCGCAGGCCAGAGTGCTGAAGCTCGGCGCATTGTTATTATGAAGCTAGGGCACATGTGGAGGACACACGCGCAAAAATATACTTGTTTTCAATTACATTTATTGAGCCCACTTACTTTTTCTTAGGCCCACCCACAAATGAGTTTCTGGCTACGCTAATGGTGACATATGACAGACTTCTCTGAGCTCCGCAGCCATTACACTTTTCACCTTGCGCACCCCCTAGCGGCAGCTCGCGCACCCCCGGGGGTGCGCGCACCACACTTTGGGAATCACTGCCCTAGAACATTAGCTGGTACCATATGATGTCACAATGTTGTTGTGAGCCTGTGTGTGTGTATTTGTCAGCGGCTCCGCCCTCTCGGTCTGCTAGACAACAGCATTTGTTGCATTTTTCAAACAGGAAGTGGAAGTGGAGTAAGAATCTGGAAGTGGGTGACTTGATCTTTAAAGAATCCTACTTTCAACCTTCACAGTTTTACAGATGAAAATAAACTAAAACCATTTTGAGACTTTTTACAAATTCAAGAACCTTCAAGGTGACTTTTTAAGATTTGCCAGCATCTTATTTTAATGACGTTTCACATAATCATGTTTATTCAGCAGAAGCTTTTATCCAGAGCATCTTTTTGTGGGTACATGTGTTTGGTCTATGGGTGGGAACTGGGGCACCCAGAGAAAACCCACAAATCTTAACTCTGCAGAATGGTAGCAGCTGGGATTTGAACCTGTAACCTTCTTGCTGCGAGGCAACAGTGCTACCAACAACATGCCCGCACCATGCCTTATGCACCAAACATCCGGACCTTTCTGGCACTAATTCAGCTGTGAAGACCCAGATGGACTCTGTTGTGCTTAAAAGATTTAAAATCCAATAACACAAGAGGGTATCGGACTGTTCTAGATCATTAGTTTTACCCTTCTCTACTGATTAAGGTTCCTGTGAGTTCAGATCAATAGTGTCCAGTTCATCGGTCCGCACCATCTATCAGGTCACCTCTATCTAAGAAAAACACAAACTGGTGCTCTCTGACCTCTGCAGCTCTGGACCAGGCTTTTACATCCCGCTGATGTGGAACAGTCTGCTGTCGGACAGAAAATCCTCTCAACGTTGAATTTAAGTATCGCCTCCAGTTTGAGCTACAATATCTCATGAGCCACTGGGTGGATTTGATTAAAACTCAGAACATTTTCAATGGATGTAAATCTGCAACTAATTCACTTTTAGAATCCGTTTTACACATTAGCCAATTAGGGGTTAACACACACACACACGCACACACACGCACACACACGCACACACACACACACACACACACACACACACACACACACACACACAAATGCGCACACACAAACACACACATGCACAGGCACACACAAACACACGCACGCACACACACACACACACACACACCCACAAACACACACATGCGCGCGCATACACACACACACACACTGAAACAGGAGCACCGGAGCTGTTTCTCCCCAGAAAGCGACTCGCGGGGATTCCTTCAGTCATACTAGAGATCCCAGCACGTTTACTGAAAAGACGAGTGAGACCCTTTAACGCGACAAACCCCAAGTGAGTCACAGATGAGTGACAGAGCAGGGATGTGAGACGAGTCGTCTACAAGAGCTAAAATTCATAGCTTCCAACACTAACAACCCACTCGGTGATGCATCTTTTTGTCATTTCAATTATAGATCCTCATCTGATGGAGAGGGCTGCTGTAAATTATGTGAGCTCGGGATGCCAACTCGCGTTCACCCTTTTGTCTGCGTCCCTCCCTCTGCACATCACCCCCCCACCCTCCCATTCTGCAGGTTTAACAGCCTCCGCCTCTCATTCACTTGCGCATTCATTCTGGTGACTGGATCGACAAAAGCCATTTACAATTATCTGTTGCAAACAGCAGCAGGCTGGTGGAAAAAGACCAGCACACACACACACACACGCCAATTTCACCTTTAACCTTTTCAGGTGACACAGAAAAACAGGAATGACATCACCTATGACCGTATAAGATGCATTCAGTTACGTTCATCATCAAGATGAAAAAGGTAAAAAATATAGAAAATAAATAAATCGTTTTTATATTTTTGGTAAAAACAACTGCAGTGTGTGTGTTTGTCTAGGACCACACACACACACACACACACACACACACACACACACACACACACACACACACACACACACACACACACACACACACTGTCAGTTTTAGAGTCTCCAATTAAAAGGTGTCCAACAATTCAAAACCACATTTACCTTGTTGGTGAACATTGGTGACTCGGAGTGTCGAATGTAGCCAAAAGTCTGTGCCACACCCCAACATTAAAGGGACTTTACGGAGTTTTGAATTTTTATGCTCGCGATTGCCCCCTCAGGCCAAAAGCGTAACGGCAGCTTCAATAGTAGGCTCGTGCACGAGGCGCGCATGCTGTATGTGCACACTCCTTAACACCTATGGTCACGAGCTTTGGGTAGTGACCGAAAGAATGAGATCGCGGATACAAGCGGCCGAAATGAGTTTTCTCTGCAGAGTGGCTGGGCTCTCCCTTAGAGATAGGGTGAAAAGCTCGGTCATCCGGGAGGGGCTCGGAGTAGATCTGCTGCTCCTCCACATCGAGAGGAGTCAGTTGAGGTGGCTAGGGCATCTGGTCAGGATGCCTCCCTGGTGAGGTTTTCCGGGCACATCCAACCAGGAGGAGGCCTAAAGGTAGACCCAGGACACGGTGGAGGGACTATGTCTCTCACCTGGCCAGGGAACGCCTTGGGATTTCTCCGGAGGAGCTGGCCCAAGTGGCTGGGCAGAGGGAAGTCTGGGCCTCTCGACTTAGGCTACTGCCCCCGCGACCCGACTCTGCATAAGCGAATGAAAATGGATGGATGCATGGAGTGTTGGGTCATTAATCGGGGCTCCTGGGACATTGTGAGCCCCAACAAGGTTTCATTGTTACATGAAGACTCAAAGACCAGATACCAGTTTTAAAAAGTTGTTCTAGAACCTGTTGAGCAACATGTGTCACTTGGCCTGATTGGAAACTGGAAAAGAACACAAAGCCTCCAAAGAAACATTTGAACTAGCAACCTTTCTGTGAGGCAGCAGTGCAAACAAACCTGTAAGTGTGCCACCAGGAACCAAACGAGTATGTTTTTCTCTTATTTCTATTTCATCCAATAAGCACTGAGCTGATGGAGAAGCTCTCTGGAAACTGAACCCAATGATCCATGACTGGAAAATAAAATGGAAACCAGAAGCCATGAAGTAGTGGGAAAAAATGAAAAAGGAAAGAAGCGTCAGGTTTTATAGAGCCTTTTATGTCCAGACACTAGGTGTAAAACCAGGCCATGTGTAATAGAGTATGATACCAACCAGTTCACTGTATTTGATTAAAGTGGAGAGAGCAGCAGAATAGTTCCTCCTCCACTGGTTTCTCTATAAATCTGTTTAAGTGTGAAGGGAGGGGTAAATAACTTAGAAATTTAACTTCCTGGCAGAATCGAGTGTTCTCCTGTCTTCGCTCAGATGATGCTCAACAGAAGCATCCTTAAACATCTCTGATGGGCTTAATCCCAGAGGACGAGGCTGAAACGCTGGTTAGACCATGGAATAGGTATTTATTTTCCGGGCATGTTCTGCAGAAATGCCGTGAATCCAGGCTGGTGCTGTGTTTAATCAGATTAGCGAGGGGGCCGACCCTGGCAGATCAACGCAAACACACACAGACAGAAGCCTGTTTCTGTGTATGATGGATGCTTTAGATGAAACGCTCATTAATCACATTCAGCAGAGTCCCGGAGGCGGCCGGCGCAGCCGCATGAACGGACCGGACCACAGCCCCCCACCATCCATAATGTCAGCATGAACCAGTCGTAACCACCGCCGCCGTTAAAGCTCCATGAGGCGCTTTTAAAGACCCTCGAGCATTTTCCTCAACACGATGATGAGGGTCGTGGAGGAGAAGCCTAAAGAAGTGGTCCAGTTAATGTCCGATATGATGGATGATCTTCATGTTTGATTACATACCGAATTCATAAAGTTTAGTTTGAACTCATCTTAGATAAAGATCGGCATGATGAGGTTTGTAATTCATCAACTAGCTTTTCAGGAGAAAAAGCTGGATAATTACTTGTTTTTACCATACCAACTTTATTTCTATGGCACAATTATAAGACACAGCATGGGAGCTGACCAAAGTGCTGAACAGGCACGATCAATTACAACAAAAAAGAAAAAACAATAAGAAGACAAAACACAACAATAAAAACTATAAAATCATAATACGATAACATGAATCTCTGTCTAAAAGCCAAGTCATAGAAGTAGGTTTTTAAACGAGATTAAAAAACAGGCAGAGAGGATGCCAGCCTAACTGTAATGGGCAGTGAGTTCCAGGCAATGGGGGCAGCATGGACAAACGCACGTTCACCTCGTGATTTATAGGACATCCGGGGAGTGCAAAGCAGTAGATGACCTCAACATATGAGTAGGTACATAGGGAGTCAGCAGGTCGGACCGATGAGGAGGAGCTAGGTCGTGTAGGGCTTTAAAACAAACATCAATATCTTAAAACGCACACGAAATGTGATGGGGAGCCAGTGAAGATGTTCCAGGACTGGTGTAATATGGCTATGTCGGCTTGTGTTTGTTAAAAACCTAGCAGCGGCATTTTGGACAACCTGCAACCGGTTCAGGGCAGAGACCGGAGTTCCAACTAATAATGCATTAATATAGTCCAAGCGAGAGGTGATGAAAGCGTGGATGACTGATTCCACGTGCTTCCTCTTTAAGATCAGTCTTAAACGAGATAGGCGGCGTAACTGATAGAAAAACAAGGCCTCACCACTGAGTTGATCTGAGGAGTCATTGGGAGGTTGGCATCCACTTTAACCCCGAGGCTTATTACACACTGCTTAGGGTTTAAACCATCAAAAGTGGAATGAGAGCCAGAAGGATTGCGGGTTTCATAGACAATAGACTCATTCAGCCTGAGCAAATTGGCTGCTAGCCAGCCCTTTTTGTTTTTCTTTATGATGAAGACAACAGATAAGCTACATAATGAGTGAGTCTGAAACACCACTGAGTGGCATTAGCTCATCTACACACACACACACACACACACACACACACACACACACACACACACACACACACACACACACACACACACACACACACACACACACACACACACACACACACACACACACACACACACACACAGTACAAGGTCAAATCTGAAATCTAAAGCTTTAATAGCTCAGAGCAGCTTTTTACCCCCGAGACTCTCTTCTCAAACATGGAATAAAACACAAAAATCAGCTGTTAAACTAAACTGATCGTTGAGCATCAATCAAATGTGGTAAATATTTAAGGTTGTGATCTAAAAACCTGAAAGAGAGTTTAGACATGGCTAATTAAATCTTTAGAAATTAAACACTGCCCTCTGCTGGACGCGACATTAAACTGCATCTCAAACCCTTTTAGCAGCATTTGGATGTTCATGAACTATTTCCCTCTGGACCTTGTTTAAACTCCTGATGCGGCAGAGGAAAGGTGTTAGGACAAACATGGAAGAGAATAGAGCAGCATCAAGACTCCAATAAAAAACAATTTATCAGATGTTTTCTTCTCCTTTTGCATCACGGAGGATTTACATTAGTGATGCGCGGGTTAGGGTTTTTCTCAACCCGCGGGTACTGCAGATTTGATAACGTCTGACCCGCACCAAACCGCCCCGCATCACTAGGTCTATTTTTACAACCGCACCTCATTAAAACACGTTATTGGTTGAATGCGCTTTTATTCAGACAAAGGTGCGTTAAACAGTCCCCCAAATTGGCACTGGAAACATTTACATTTTTACAGGCTAAAATTAAAAAATAATAAAATAGGCAGATAAAGAAAATTTAAAATGAAATTAAAAGAGGGTTATTTTTATTTGTTACCCTACTAACAGTGCAATAAACCAATACAAAAACAGCACCTAGAGCCCCTGCTTGGGCAAACAAAATAGTAAAACAAACGCATTACCTGTTGTGTCCTTGTTTTGTCCAGCCAATGCTGCTGCTGTTGTCTGTGCTGAATCTTTCCCAAACACGCGATTTAGCAGTTTGTCCCTCCTTTCTTTTAAGAATGGAAACTCCCGAACAAATTTTATCCAAAATATTGTCCTCTATCTTTTTGTGGATGTGGCTGCCTGCCACCTGCTTGCAGCTTTGGCGCACTTCACTGGCGCTTCCTGTACGTGCCTACATCATGGGGTCCAAGGTTATCTGCAGCGGAGTTATGTTTTAAAACGTGACCGTGTTTAAATAACTGTCTCACATATTGTGATTTACAAAATTAAGCATTGATTAATGCCTTTATCCTCAGTGTGCATTTATATAATATGTATATTTCATGAACCCGCCCCAAACCACACCGCGCTGAAGTAAAAATTTATTGACCCGACCCCACCCGACCCGCGGGTTAGAAGTCAATCCTCTCATCACTAATCTACATGCATTATAAGATATACATATAACATAAGGTTTGATTTTTTATAAAACTTAAGGGTGAAAATGTTTTTATAGGATGCTCTCCGATGCTACTCATGCTCATGAAGCAGATTCTATACATGTGCATGAAAACATGGAGGATCCAGGGTTTAATGTGCTGAAGGAGATGAAGGTGTCCTGTTGTCATAGCAGCTAATTAGATGCTTCATTTGGTTCAAAACCTTCTCGAAGCAAAGCAGACTTTAAGCTGATTCAGCCCTCTGTGTCGCATAAACGGGAGAAAAGGGAGGAAAAGTCCAGCTGCTAATCTAGCTCCACTAGAAGAGTCTGTTCAAAGGCATCAAAATGAGGAAAAAGCTACATTTCTGTGAATTTTCACACAAAGTGTAAAGCAATAACACTAGCAATGTGTCAGCAGTGAGCAGGTTTTAGTGAAAATGTGACGTCTTACTGGGGGTGGGACATTTTTGGTTGGATAGCAGAGCATCAGGGTGAGGCAGGCTGTAGATGGTGACCACGCCGTTGGAGGTAGCTACAGCCAGAAGGCCCAGCCGAGGCAGGAAAGGAGCCTTGGGGGGTAAAGAGGTAAAACTACGTGTAAGTTTTATTATCAGAAACTGGCATAACTGGATAAGAAGAAGCATGTTACCTTCCTGCTACTGCTGGGAGGCTCCCATCCTCCTGCAGGACACCACTTTAGCTGCCAGATGAAGCCTTTGTCCTGGGCTAAGCCGTAGACCAGGACTGGCTGGGAGTCTGGTCTTCAGATGGGGGGGATACAGATGACTCAGAGAGAATAAAAAATGCAGATTCTTAAAGTCGATGTTTACCTGTTGTTGTACTTCAGTCTCCCACAGCCCCACAGCTGAACCAGTCCGGGTTCTGTGTAAGTCTGGTTCACACGGTGGACGTCGTCCATCCCCCGGTAGCAGGCCAGCGCCACGTACTGAGTGGCAGGGGCGCCATCGGGGGTCGGACACCACTCCAGAGCCCAGACCGGCCCGCCAGCAAACAGAAGCATATCCCAACGATCCGAGTGAGCCGGGACCGACTCAAACCTGCCGGGTTCATCAACAGGAACGGGTTCAAATCGGTCACTTTTCCTTGTAACGACCCCAGAAACAGCGATCCCACCTGCTGAGCCGGAGCTTCTCCTCCTTCTGCAGACCTTCTCTGGTCACGCTGAACTCAACTGATTCAAGTTCTTCAGGAAGATATTTCTCCCGATTACTGGAAACACAACTTTTCCCTTTTAGCTTTGACTCACATCAGAACCGACATCTTACCAGACAAGTCTGTGTCTGTGCCATCGACAAAATGCTTTAATACATAAAAACATACTTTAATGTCAGCATGAAGCTGCTCCTTCCGTTTAAGTTTTAACTTCTAAATGTTCTAAAACAATGCTTGTTTTTTGGTCTATGAGATTCTAGAAACTCAAAGTAGATGAGGAAAGTTTAAAAATCACACCATCATTTAACAAAACCTGAGTTCTCAGGAGGACAGAAGCTGCAACGAACACCAACAGGAAAATAATGAAACCCAGAGGTTATCAGCGTGGAAACAAAACAGAACCGAGAATCTTCACTAAAGTATGAAAAGCTATAAATGAACAGACAATAAAAATCAACATGGTGGTAAAAAGTACCTTTCTGCCACAAAGTCCCAGTCTTTGATGGAAGGAACCCACTCTGGAAACACCCAGCTGCTGTAGTGCTCCTCGCGGCTGAAAACACACAGAAAACGTCCCAAAACAACTTTTACTCATTTACTTTACTTAAAAAACACACTTAAAGCGTTTGGTTATCTGCATCCATGTTTCCCAAAATTTTTGGGCTCGTGTTACACCCCCCCCAAACTGCACTTCTTTTTGAAAATACACAAATGTTTGCATTTAAATTCTTCCAAAAATTAGATACACGGCTTTGAATATCGATATAATATTGCTCGAAAAAATATCACGATACATAGCAATATCGATATTTTCTTACATCCCTATTTTCAACCCTTCATTAGTAAACTGTTTAAATTAGGGTGACCATATTCTCATTTCCAAAAAAGAGGAGGGGATCTGTGCCTATCGATGACTATGGCAACACCACACAAACCACGTTGGGATCCATTTTTTTCCAGGTGAAGAGCTAAAATTAATATCAGATTCTGCCAACAAAAGGGCTCTAAAACAAATCATATGTAAATATTTTCCAAGTTTTTGCAAAATTGTATTTTTCTGCTGCTTTAGTGCTGCAACAACATTATATTAGTAAGAAATTATTATACCTTTTGTTCTACTACAGCATCGGTAAGCTTCCTGTGCACAGATTATTAAGGATGCTTGTTTCAGCTGTGAGATTAGACGATAGGATCAATGAAAAAATAAGTTGTCACACACTCCATGGAAACTTTCAGAGAATCCACAAATAGTGGCTTTCAAATGGTTTTGTTACTTTTTGCAAGTTTAGAAAAGAAGCAGACGAGACAGCATGTCTGATAATTTAGTTTTTCATCTGATAATATTAGAACATGTCAGTAATGTCTGAGGGGCTTTTATAAACACCATATAACTAACACTCCTGGACAGGGTATGAATTACACAGAGGCTTCTGGGGAGCCCAGTAGGCCCCCAAAATGTCTTGAAACAGCCCTGGGTGTGTGACTGAGCTTTGAAGGTGATCTGAATTGTATCAGATGGATAAATATTACATGTGTATAACTTATTGTTTTATACAGGTAAAAACGTGTAGTGGAGATAAATCTACCTACATTTTACTTTTCAACACTTTGTTTTGTTTTCTTGTTTTTATTTAACTATTTTCCTGTCCTGTCTGTCTCTCATCTTCCTGCATCTCCTCTAAACTGTCCAGTAAAACTGCTGCCTGGATTCTTACTTTTTCACCTCATCAGTTACTTTTGAGCAGATCAAAGGGATCTCCTGACCGCAAAGCGGAGAGCGCGTTTCGATGCGTCAGTGAGGTGAAATCACCGCAGCACAGGTGATGAGCTCCGCAGTAGCAGAGTGCTTCAGGCACAAATAAGACAGAAAGTAGAGAACATGTGCGGACATGAACGATCGTGTGTTAATGATAGTTTTTTGGTTGCACCACTTTGAGAATGGACCGTGCGCTGGACGCAGCAGCCGGGAGCTCACCAACGATCAGCTCTGTGCTCTCGGCTCAATAGAACCCCCGGTACGCTGAGAGTCCAAATAAATGATGTAATATAGGTATTAGGGCTGCACAATATCTCGTCGTAAATATATCGTTATCGTGATATCAGCATGCTCAATATGCATATCACAAAAAACAGATAAATATCGTAATGAATGGTCAGCTCAAATGTTTGCTATACATAACTGTTTCTGTCAATCAAACAGAAGCATGATGTTTTTTTAACAAATCAAATAGAGCTCTTCACCCATTTGGCCAATCGGGTGGGTTCTCATAGGTTAGAGTCCCGCCCCCGAGGCGGACGGTACTTAATTTTGATGGTTAGCAAACACCTGTGTTAGCTTTGTTCTGCTCTTTCTGCCTTTCCCGTGATCCACAGATTGTCTTTTCTTGTTCATTTTCTTTTTCCCTTTCCTCACATCTTTAACTTTTCTCATTTTAATGATTTTTTGTCACTTTTTTATTTCTTTGTTTTTGATTATTTTTGTCCCTGAGTTAAGTTTTTATTTATCGCAAGTAATATCATCATCGCAATCTTAATCACTGTTATCGCATATCGCAGGTTTTTCTATTATCGTGCAGCCTTAATAGGTAGAAACCTTTTTTTCCGGCTCCCCCTGGATGTGTAGGATATCCAGCTCCCCCATAATTCGATCTCTGCTCCTGGATGAAAAACCGGACATTTTATTCAATACAAGAAACCCCCCCCCAGGACACCCCGGACAGAGAGTGAAAAGTGGACACATGGTCACCCTAGTTTAAATAATAAGGACTAATCTGTTGTTTTCTTACTTTGTTTGTTTATGTAGCCAGCGTGAGTCCATGTGAGGTGAGCTGAGTAAATCAGCTAAAATGCTGCTGATAAATGATCACATTCAAAGATCTTTAGAGAAACTAAATATTTTGCAGAAAATTATTAATAAAACTCAAATATAAAAACATGGAGTCTGCTTCAGCTGGCTACATAAATTACTGCCGACACCACCGGGATTCGAACCCACGTCGGCACATGGCAAAACGGAGGCACCAGACAGGTGCCCGCCCTCACCACAGCCTTAAAGCAGCTGACTCGCCTCAGACGCTGTTGTAGGGATGTTCTGTAAGACCGGGTGTGGGCGGAGTTTCACTGAAACAAGCATTTCATTTCCAGGTAGAAATTCAAGCTGATGAAAATAACTCGTATTTAAGATAAATGACATCTCAATGGTGTCAACGGCAATATTTTGTCATACACTGCGCCTACCTTTGTTCTCAGAGGTTTAAAATAGTGTGATATGGAACGTTGAAGCATCCCAGCCAATGGTTTTGTTTAGTTTTACCAGGGCACAACGAATGCTGTCCAATGACTATGAAACGGTAACGTGTCCACGTAGCCCCCGTAACGTACACCGGGTTGGGCATCACTGCGGCTGCTGGTGTAGGAGCAACAACACAAACTACAGCAGATGGAAAAATACTCACAACTTCTTCGTCGTCTCTGCAGCTTCCCACACCGCTTTAAAATAAACTACATTAGCAGGTTGTCCAACTGAACATGCCTGCAGGACAAAAACACCTGGATGAGTTGTTTTCTGAACCATTTCTTATAGAATTATTACACGAGTCACATACTTGTTGCCTGCTGGTGTTCAAAGGCACAAAAACGTCTGAATCTGACGCCACGTATTCTTCTTCTGATTCACTTTCCATCTCATCAGCCTCTTCTTCGACATTGGGTACAAAGTCTTCATCCTCTGGAGCGGCGCTGTCATAGCGTTTCCTCCTGCGGCCTAAAGGCCAAGCAGAGATAAACAACATCAGAATGTGAGAGATGCTGAAAGGTACAACCTTCACACATTTACTCAATTCACACACACACACACACACACACACACACACACACACACACACAGAGTCACGTGTTAGCGCACTCACATATTTACTCAATTTACACACACACACACACACACACACACGTTAGCGCCTTCACACATTTACTCAATTTACACACACACACACACACACACACACACACACACACACACGTTAGCGCCTTCACACATTTACTCAATTTACACACACACACACACACACACACAATCGCACACACTCACTTGCACGCAGACACACACACACACACACAATCGCACACACTCATTTGCACGCAGACACGCACACACACAATCGCACACACTCACTTGCACGCAGACACACACACACACAATCGCACACACAATCGCACACACTCACTTGCACGCAGACACACACACACACAATCGCACACACTCACTTGCACGCAGACACACACACACAATCGCACACACTCACTTGCACGCAGACACACACACACACAGCGGGAGTACCGGCTGAAACTCCACACTCAGAAAGGCTACGTTAAAGATTTGAACCCACAACTTCTGGGAGTAGCTAGCCTACGCTACGCTAGACAGTCACAGTTCTTTTTGCTTTACTGAGTTGCAGCAGAAATTAAAATCTGCTGAGGAACAAACGCTTCATCGTCAACGTTGGTCAGTTCAGCACGGCTGAGAGAATCTGAAACTCCCAAAAAAAGTCACAAGCGGACCAAACCCTAGATCCCTCTGAGGGTCCTTTTAGGTTTGGCTATCTCTAAGCTAATGCTATCAGTTAGCATTTACAGGCTGAGTGTTTTCTCTTCCAAGATGGTAGAATCAAATGATTGATGTGGCATCTATACGTGCACTTTACCGTTTCTGTGTCCAGGACCTTTCTTTTCTGGGACACTGTCATCCCGGTTGGCGCCGGGTTCCTCACTGGCATGAGAGATCATCTCCTTTGCCAAGGTGTGCAGGTACTTCAAAGCTCTGCAAGATGATGTTCACGTGGTTTAACAGAAGCATTGCGGTGAATCAGAAGGGTGAAGCTTAACTTACGCCTTTGCAGCGCCTCTCCTGTGACGGCCGCCAGTCTGATCTTCAGGTTCTGCTGGATCCTTCTCACGAGGTGGATCCTCAACAACCTGTTGAGCCTTCTTCCTCACGTACTTCCTCTTTGCATTTGGAGTCACATTTTCCTGCTGGGCAGACTTTTCAGCTACACTTTCTTCAGTCTTACCAGCTGGGAGATTTCCATCAGCGGTGACCGTTTCTGAAGGCTTCGGCGTTTTTGGGGGTCTTCCTCGTTTTTTAGGAGTTGCTGCGACCGTTTCACCAACAGAATCTGTCGATGCTTTTTTCCCGTCAGATGGTTTTTGTACAGCAGCTCTAGGTTTTCTTCCTTTCCTTTGGCCCTTTTGGAGGCTGGCTCCATCCCCCTCTGAACTCTTCTTCGATGGTGCCTGCTCGATGGTTTTATCGACACCCGCATCGTTCATCTCATAATCCAAATACTTAGGATTTTTCTTCCGTTGTCGACCACTGGAGCTTGGTGAGATGTTGATTGACTGCTCTGATGGCTCATTTTGTCCTTAGAGAAGAAAGGCAGCATTTTTTAATACATCAGAAATTAAAACTCTTACGAAAAGGGAAACTGGAGACGAATTAAAGATTAGTCTCGTCTGTATTTCAGCTCCAAACATTCTCAAACCATAAAGATGGTTAAATAAGAGCAACGTTAGGCACGTCGAACAATTCATCCAGATTATTTATTATATGTGGTGCTCAGCTTTATTTCCATACAGGTGTTTTTCCAAGCACTGACATTCCTCCCTGGACATCCGAGCTTACCATACCATAAAAAACATTTTATTTATTACAGCCCATTTTAAGTATTATGATAAATGAAATTTAGGTTGTTTAATAGACACTCTCACAACTTTTACTTGCCGCTAAACGGCTCAACTTTGTCACCTGCTGGGCTAAACTGGCAACTTAAGCCTCCTTAAAAAGTAAACTGGACATTTTCAGCTTGACATCATCATTAAACTTCTACTATAAGTTGTTTTTTCTTTCAAGACACTTCCTGTCGATGATAAAAGTAGACAGTTTTGAATGTATTCACTATTGTGAGAAACAAGTCTGAGAAACCTGGGTGAGGTGAACACAGATTATAAAATAGAGTCCTACAGATGGAGGCTTTCTGTGTTTGGAGCATTAACGTGCTGAACCATAGCGCTCCTGGTGTGTTTATGGGGAGAAGAAACATAGGAGTTTGATAAATATACATTGAATACTGACCAAAACATTTTTGATTGACCTTATCTTCTCTGTCTGAGCAGTAGTAATCATTATTATAAATTACATAAATTTAGATAGCATCCTATGACTGTAAACCATAAAAGGAAGCATTTTATAGTTTAAACTAGGGCTGGGCAATAAATTGAAAATGTATTGGTATCGAAATTTCTGACTCTTATCGAGATAATTTTTCCCATGTGAATAAATTTGATAATAAAAAATGAAAAGATGTGTGTAGGTTGGCAACGTTCATGTCCTTTTTAAGACGCTGTACCACCTTGAGTCATGTAAAAATGTCTCAACATAATACACGTGACAGCCCCATTTAGTGGACAACTTGTGTTTCTGCGCATACCTGTAGTTATCGTCCATTTATCGTTAGCGAGGTTAAATTCTCAATATATCGTGATATTGATTTTAGACCATATCGTCCAGCCCTAGTTTAAACATTAATAATATGATGAAACATCCTATTTATGTGGGACAGGGAGCATCCCTGGACTGATGTGAGGAGTTACAGACCTTCTGCAGGTTCACTGGGATCCATAAGCTTTGGGTTAACACTGATGAGCTTTTCCTGTAATTAGCCTTCACGTTTATGGAAGGCAGCTCTGCTACATGCTGCACAAACAGGAAGACAACAGAAATCACGTCATGTAATATTAAAAAATTATTGTACAAATAAAATAAAATATTGGCATTTAGGGACATAAAATACTGGGGTAAGTTTCATACTACACCTTTAGTGCGGCAGTTTCGTCGCCTGTCACACACTAACACACCAAATCCTAACATGAAATACACAGTTTTACACTGTTTCTACATTTAATGTGTGTACCATCGACATTAATATAGTGTGTACACAGATAATACACAAGTAAGAAATTACGTTCCGTATATTTAACTATAACTCATCCTTTCGGCACACCTTTTAGAAGACATAACAAATAAAATGAAAAGGGTAAAAAGTTATAAACTTTTTAAAAAATCTGTTTGTTTTTTTCTAGCAAATCGAATCGGCTTTTAGCGAAGCTACATGGCTAGCTCACGCGGCTAAGCTACGTGGCTAACAGCGTGAGGTAGAGCTACAGTTACTGTAAAATATCGCGAAACGGGGCGTTTCGTGAAGTCACCACCAGTAAAAGCTCACCGTGAGGTTGTCTTCGACTTCCTCCCCGGTGGCGAAGCCTGGAAGTCCTCGTACCCGGACACACACGGTGGATGTCAGCAACGGTGGATGGTGGATCGAATCCCGAGCAAGGCTGCGGGAGAGGAGAACGTCGAAGATTCCAGGACTCGTGAAGCCGAAACTGTTATTAATGTCTGGTCGTTAATTTGTTTTCACTGAGGAAAATACTGCAAACATCTTCAGCGTCGTTTCCGCTTAACAAACGTTACATTTTGCTTACACCAGACCGCCATATTACTGTATAAGCATGGTGGTTCACACTGCCCCCTGCAGGCAGAAGATGATATTACAACCAAAAACAAACGATCCAACTAAACAAAATAATCTAATCTGGATTACATAGTCTTTTATGTTATGAAAATATTGCTGATATAAACACAAACATTTTATATTGTTAAAGCTACATAGTTATTACTGGAACGTTTGGGGAAGTAAAAGAACGCAGAGAGGATTTCATCACCATAATAACAACAACAATAACAATAATCAAATAAGAGTTCTAAGCAGAACTTTGAACCCACCATTTTATTAATTTTTGGTCAGTTCTAGCTATTATTTTTAGGCCTCTTTGATTAAACACCAGGCTGTTCATCTGTAAAATCTCATGCAATTAAAATTAATTTTATTTATTTAACCAGATGAGTCGATTGAGAACTCATTCTCATTTACGACAACGATCTGGCCAAGAGGGAGCAAAGAAAATCCTCCCGCCTAAACCTGTTTAAGGTCTCAGGAACAGGTGAAGCAGGCAGGTAACCACAGCAGGGGACACACACACACACACACACACACACACACACACACACACACACACACACACACAGCTGAGGGGATTTATAACATCTAATAATTCATCTGAGAAATATGTATTTTTTTAGACTGTTGGACAAAACTGGAGTACCTAGAAAAAATCAGAAACCTGATATTTGAGCTCAGAACACGCTTGCTATGAGATAATGATGCAAACCACTGCAGCACCATTTAAGGTCTTTCTGTTTGTAATTAATTTTAAGAAACACTAAAAGTAGAATCAGAATTTATTTACTAAAATACGTAGCTAAGCCAGGTTGCATAAATTTTAAAAGAGTCTCCCAGTAGAACTTCAAATGCCCAAACCTGACATCCGAGTGGCTCGATGGTAGAAAATCTAAGTAAAATGATCCAGTAGCATTAAAAATTAAAGATAAGTCACCCCCAAATCAACTTTTTTCCTGATAAACTATATAAATGCGTGTCTAATTGTGCTTCAGACACATGTAGTCAATAGTTTTGCACTTTAGTGCATTTTAGTTCAAATTTAAATTTTCTGCCTAAAACTGTCAGTGTTGTATCGTTGTCAGGTAAAAACTCTGCACTGCATTTGAATTTAAATCTGCCATCGCTATTGGCTAAGAGGTACCCTGGAACGTTGGTACCATATGATGTCATAATGTCGTTGTGAGCCTGTGTGTGTGTGTGTTTGTTAGTGGCTCCGCCCTCTCGGTCTGCTAAGTAACAGCAATTTTCAAACAGGAAGTGGGAGTGGAGTAAGAATCTGGTAGGGGGTGACTTACTCTTTAAATAAAACTATCCTAGAATGAAATATGGCTACAATTTCATAAATGTATAATGATCTAGTCTTCATAGGTCTAACTAGTTCTGCTGCAGCAGTTGGTGATTTCTACCCTAATTGCATGAAATCTGCTGAAGCACAGCAGAGAGGGATGAAGAGACGCCATCAAGTAAATGTTTAAGGTGTTTTCAAAACATCAGGTTTAAATGAAATAAAACGACAAAAGCAAGTTTAATGGAAGAATTAGTTTGTATTAGAGTGCACAGGTGTACCTAACAAACTGGCTCATTTATAACAGATTAGAAGCCATAAAGTTACAAAATTTAGAGATTTATGATATTCTGAACAATTCACTCTTCACACGATTAATCCCACCAGGTGTCAAACACAGTGCTTTACCATAAAACCCGTTAAACAAACATCTCAGTGGTCACAACTAAGGCAGCATGGCAAAATAAAAACAACAAATCAATCTCAAGGTAATAAAGTAAATTAAAAAAAAAACATAACAGGGTTTCTAGAGTTAAAGAGAATAAACAGGATTTATTTATTTATGAGGGTTCGTCCAGAACAAAAATAAAGCAGATGTGTGTTTATAACTGGAATAATCACAACTCAGTGTGATTTAATGTGTCATAAATACACTGGAAGACAAATAAAAACCTTCATTTTTCCTTCGAAATGACTCAGATTCAGTCTGAAAGTTTGTGAAATTTAAAAAGATTAAATGCAATCTGGAATTTTTCTCTACCTAAATGTTCTTGCTGCTGCGTGTTGATCTACTCTTATCATGTAAAGCTGCAAATGTTGATGTTATATTATGCTTTAGTGCATATGAGAATTTTAAAGTAGTAAAATAATCAGTTTTTATTCTAAGGACTGATTAGATGACGTCACGTTTATTTGATTTTCAGCCTTCTGGATTTTTCTTTCAGGAAACCGGATTTAGAGCCAAAGTTTACTTCCTCCTGCAGCTTTCAGTCACTAATTATTAAAACATCTAAACCCTTATCGCTGTCATTCAGTCAAAAAAACAGCTGGAAAACGTCTGACATCAGATTCAAAACTTGATAAAGTTTAAATGAATTATTGCACCATAAAAATGTAAAGATTTCCATGAAATTTTAATTTATTTCGGTTTCGGGTTCATTTGACTCGATCTAAATGATCAAACTATTTATTTTGCTTTTATCAACCTTAAAAAGCAAAATTTTACTGTGTTTGACAGATTTACACGAATCTTTGTGTAACTGGAGAAGATACACGAGTCTAATGTTATTATTATTATCATTTCTGTGTTAGAGCTGCTCAAAAACAGCAAGCTAGATGGACGAAATGTTTGTTTTGCACATGACAAGAGTGACCTTTGACCTCTGTAGACTTTGCTACTTTAACATTCAAAGAGATTTTTTTACTCTATCAAACCCGAGATGAGACGCTGCTGCGGCCCAAAAAGGCTAAACAAGGAGAGGATTAAGGTGACTTTAGACTCCTTATCAAAGGTTCTGAAAGAATCGGACGATTAAAGTCGGAGCGAATGGTTCGTTACGGATCAACACACACACACAGAATAGTAGGACTACACATCGGGTTAACAGACACGTTTGGTAGTTATCTCCTCGCAGAGCTTCAGCGGCCGTCTCACCTCTGCGGGAGCGGGAGGACTTCTGTCAGACAATCACCGGCTGCGTCGGTCCCGTTAACGAAGACGGAGACGCGTTGAGGAAGCGCATATTTTCCGAGCTTTTAGGCGTTTCTGTGTCGTTTCCCCGCCTCAGAGTTGGGCTCCAGGTCACCGGGTCGTTTCATGGTCCACCGCTCCGTTTGTCTCCGCCTGTCCTGCTGCTCCAGCTCCGATTTGCTGGAGGAGCTGCTGAAAGCAAAGCAGCCGCTCCGCTCCCCTCCTCTTTCTCCTGTATCGTTTCTCTCCATCTCCACCATCCCATCGCTGCTCTCCTCGTGTTTAATCATGTTGACCATCTCCATGTCCATGTGGGTTTGCTCCGGTCCCGCCAACGCCTCCCTGCGGTCCATGTCCATCCAGATGGGCCCTGGTGGAGGTTCTAGAGGGGTGTAGTGGAGCACGGGCTGCTGGAAGTGCGGGTCGGCCTGCGGCTGGAGGTTCTGTCGCTCCGGATGAAGGAAATGGGCTTGGTGCTGGAGGTGGTGCAGCGGCTGCAGCGGGTGCTGGATCGGATGCTGCTGGTGGAGGTGGTACTGGTCAAGTAGCTGCTTGTCCGTGTTAGGGACCGCCTCCTTTGACTGGTTCTTCAGGAACTTCTCAAACTTCTTGGAGGCTTTTTTATTGGTGACGAACCAGTCCTGTTGGTTCACAGAGCAGAACCAGGAAGCGGGTTACAGTACCGGTACCGGGTCACCTGCACAGAGCAGCTGCTGAATTACCTGTGAGTGGACCGAGTTGATGTGGTACTTGACTCCGCTCTCAGAGTTAAACTCCTTGTTGCAGATCAGACATCGGTATTTTCCAGCCTCGAACTCGCCCTGAAATCACAAACGGCTTTCAGACGATAGTTTTAAACATCCGGTTGGAAATCAAAGCTCCGATGAAGCTTCGCTCCACCGTTACACCTCCAGGGCAGTGGCGGATTTAGCAATTTGGGGGCCCAAGACAAACACAGACATGGGGCCCCCTTACACTAAATTTTCGACAATCTTATCTTTAACTGGATTTGTGAAACTCTCCCCTCTTCTGACACGAGTTATTTTCCCCTTTTATTAGTTCTCATTTTTCCTGTCTCTCTCTCCCCTTGAGTGCTTTCTTCTTCCTGTCAGTGCTCCTGTGCTTAACCCCCAAATTCCACTACCTTCGCTCCGCTCCGGTCCGCCCCCGCCTTCCGCAGCCGCTCACTTCCGAACTCAATTTTTACTGGTACCCACTCTACAACGGCTCCGCTCCGGTGCGGAGACCTGAGGGGGGCAAACAAGCATGCGCGGGATTTTCGAGATCTTGCGATACAGTCCGAGCAATAAACGCAGAAGTGCGATCCAAACACCCGTTGTGTGGGAGAAGCATCGGCATGAACTATTTAATCTGCCCATCCTTTGTGTTGAGAGATCAGCAGTGTTTGGATCAACAAAGTGTGACTACTTTGATAGTGGAAACTGTATTTATGGCTTACTTTTGTGCATTTAAACTTCAGCTGCCATTGATAGTTGTTAAAAGTTGTTAAACCTGTGCATATGAAACAAAAAACGCTTTTTGTTTATCGATATATTGTGAAAAACGGAAGTTGTGCTCGCTCCTTTTCCTGTTGGGCGGTTGTGATTTCTGTCCATTTACTGCGGAGGTACTCCGACGTCCGGCAAAAATAGGATCGATTCTATTTTTGCCGGACACCGGAACAGAGGGCGGCGCACGGCGCCGCATTGCCGGAGCACAGCCGCAGTAGTGGAATAGCTCTGATTGACTACAACGGGACCGATTTTGCTCCGGCGTTCGTATCGGAGCGGAGCGGAGGTAGTGGAATTTGGGGGTTAGCCTTTCTTTTTTTTCTCCTATTTTACATTTTGGTCTATGTTTTCCTCCCTTTAAACATTTTCTATAGTCTTTCCTTCTCTGCTTCCTTTTGATGTTTACATTGAAAAACAACGCCACTTTTGGAAGTGAAGACAAAAGCTTTTTTAAAGCAAAGTGCTTCTTTCTCTTATTGGACCCACTAGGATAACCCCATTTCATGCTTAATGTTTTGACAACCGCTTTGAGTTTGTTACGAACGCTCCCACCTCTTTTCTTCTTCTTCTGCTTTATCTTCTTCTTATTTGTGGTCTTATGGCACTTGGCAAACAACAATTTGGTGCATTACTTCCACCGACTGGATTGGAGTGGAATGACTACCAGTCACTTCCTGTTTGCTCATCAGCGTCTTCAAGGAATAGTCCATTGTGGCATTAACAGAGGGGTGCTGGCGGTCAGGGCTAGGGGGCCCCCCAACATAAGGGGGCCCCAGGCGGCCGCCGACCTATGCCTAATGGTAAAACCGCCACTGCTCCAGGGTTAGGGTGAACTTCTTTTATCATTTATTTATTTATTAGTTTGGGCTGTGTGTGAGTGTGTGTGGATTCTTCAGAATGCATGTGAAACATCCTATAATAAATTAAATAAATCTCCAGACACCGCTCCGTATCTGTTTTGTTTACTGACTCATCTGAGTGTTTGTGTTTACTAAAGCTGGAATAATCCTGGGTGATGCTGATTTATAGACGTGCTACTATTGATTTACTTGAGTTGGACTTTATTCTGACAGCAGATTAAACTCCAGAGAGCCAGAGATGAGCGCGTACCTTTGTGCAGAGCCCCAGGTGGGCCTTCAGGCCGGAAACACTGGTGTAGGTGCAGCCGCAGCCCTGCAGGAGGAAGCACCAGAGCTTCGCTTTAGATCGGACGTCTCTGTGTCTGCTCTCTTCAGGTTTTTAACAGGATGCAGAACTTTACTCTCACAGTTTCAGGTTGCTAGGTCACAATCAGATTGTTGCAGCTTCCCGTTTGAGAAAGGAGGAAGCATCCAGATCGCTCCTACCTGGTTGGGACACTGGACTTTCCTCTGCAGCTTCACCTCATTCTTCCACTTCCTCAGCACCTCCTGGCTGAAGGCTGGCAGTCCAGGTCGGGTGTATTTCAACTGGGAATGTCAGAAATAAAGTCTTTCTTTAGGAAAAACGGAACTGAAAACAACGTGATTTTCAGGTTAAAGACAGAAGAATCTCCTCCTGCCTTTTTATCATCTGGAACCAGGTCCGACTGGAACTTCCGTTTGGGCCAGTCTTTAGGAAGTTCGTTGTTGGCGATCTCCGCCAGGTGGAAGTTAGCCACCTGAGCCGAGGCTCTCTGGACTCTCCCGCTGGGAGTCCTCTCCGGGTTGGCTTCCCTCTGAGCCTTCAGGTCCTCGTCTTCCTCCATCTTCAGCGGAGTCTGAGGAGCAGCAGAGCGTCAAACATTTAGTCCTGACAGACTTCTTGAATGGGTAGACTCAAAGACTGACCGGAGCGTGCTCGGATTTCAGGTGGTACTCCAATCCAGCCTTAGACTTGTAGGTTTTGCCACAGTGAGAGCAGTTGAGGAGCATCTTCTCCAGCTCAGACTCCTCCTTGCCACACTTCTTCATGTGATACACGTATCCCATGATGCTGGTGAAGGCAGCCGTGCAGCCCTGCAGGGAAAAGATGAGCACGGCTTCATCTTTGTCAGGATTTTACTCCTGCAGGCCGATCAGCCTCACCTCCTTTGAGCATTTCAGTTTTCCGAGTCTCTTCAGGATTTTCCGCAGCTTGTCTTTGATGGTGCGGTCGTTCAGGTCCTTGGCGTCTTCTGTTGATGGCTGTGAGGGAAAGAGAGAAGAAGCTTTTAAATTTATCTGAAAATCAAAGATAACAGATGATTTTAATAATGAAAAATACCAAAAATAGCTGATAAAGTCCTGGAAAAAGGAGGAGGAAACTCACCAAGTGGCTGTGGTCGGCCATGATGTGATACTTCATCCCCGTAGACGACTTCAGCTGTTTGCCACAGTGCTGACAGGTGAAAGGTTGCTGCAGAATCACAAAAACTCAAATAAACCAACATTGAACACGTAAATGATCCAACTCTAACTCTGAATCTAATCGAGTCAAGATGAAGCTCTAAATGCTCCATTTATGGATTAAAAACATGTTTAAATTAGGATTATTTTATATTAGCCCAAGAAATCATCTGTTGGCCGCTTCTGTAGCAGCATCTGCAGGAACTTCCTTCAAGCCTTCACAATAAAAGTCTGTTTTACAAATGGAAACAAACATCTGAGAAATCTTCATCCTGATCCTCTGGAGCGGCTCACCAGTCTGCAGTTCTCCATGTGCTTCTTCAGCCCCTCCACCGTCTTCCTGCTCACACTTTTACATTTTGGACACGTGACTCTGCCTTTGGCCACAATCTGAAGCTGCCAGCGCTCCTCCTGACTTCCTGTTTGAGGTTAAAGTAACAAACAACAACAAGCATCAGAAACAGCAGATACATGATAAACATCCTCCATGGTCTGCACCACAGGGGTAACCTCTGCTCTCACCTGGAGGGTAAGCGGGAGGTTCCTTCTTGATCGGGAGGATTGGAGGTTTCTGATCTTCACATATCTGAGCTGCAGAGGCGTTACCAACATAATTAATCAGTTTATGAAATCCATAAAATCAGAAGCGTCTGAGCTATGTGAAGAGGTAACTTACAGGACACACTGCCCCCTGCTGGTGGAGGGAAGTTTTTAGCGTCCACCTCTGGTCTTCGGACTTTCTTCATGTTCAGATCTAAAATAAAACAGAGACAACATTTCTGAACACCTAAAGACTTCATTTGTTTGAGTTAAATAATGTTAAAGCGAGGTTTCATGGAATAAAGCCAATAAATTTGTTAGAAGATATTTTTATTTAAGGATGAAACTGAGACTAGCAGGACCTTGTGGCGAGTGTGTGTGTGTGTGTGTGTGTGTGTGTGTGTGTGTGTGTGTACTGATCTATACATCAAAGTGAGGACCAAAACAAGTTTTTTACCTGCAAACTGAGGACATTAGTACCAAAGTGAGGACATTTTGCTGGTCCTCACTTTGGGGCAATGTCACAGAACTCTACTGGGTAGTTTTAAAGGTTTGGTGTGAATTAAGTTTTAGTTAGGGTTAGGAGTAGACTGGTTATGGTTAGAGGTGGGGTTAGGGTTCCAGTCACTAAAATGAATGGAAGTCAATGACAGTCCTCACAATGAATGCTAGACTAGAGTGTGTGTTTGTGTGTGTTCGTGCGTGCAAGCGTGTGCGTGTGTGTGCAAGCGTGCAAGTGTGTGCGTGCAAGTAAGTGTGTGTGTGTGCGTGCGTGTGCGTGTGTGCAAGTGTGTGTGTGTGTGTGTGCGTGTGTGCAAGTGTGTGTGTGTGTGTGTGTGTGTGTGCAAGTGTGTGTGCATGCGTGCAAGCGTGCAAGTGTGTGTGTGTGTGCATGCGTGCAAGTGTGTGTGTGTGCGAGTGTGCGTGTATGTGTGCGTGTGTCTGCATGCAAGTGTGTGTGTGTGTGCGAGTGTGTGTGTGTGTGTGTGTGTGCACGCATGCACACACACACACATTTAAACACCTGTATTTAATCAAACTCATAAGCAACATGACTTTAGTGGTCAACCTAAACAACTTCACATCATAAACAAAATAATATTCACCAACCATTGGTGTCTTTAGAGTCAACTCATGAGTAGAGCTTGCTTGCTTGTTGTACCTTGTTTGACTGAGAACAGAACCCCCACCATCTTTGCCCAGGTGTTTTTCATCACCAATCGGTGGCCATTTTGCTGGTGCTTTCTGGGGGATGTAGTTCTCAGTGGCGGTTGAGCGCTATCAACTCCAATTGTTCAGTTTTAACTCAACACCTCCCACTTGAGCTCATGGTTTCTCAATCCCAATGAGGTGACACAAGTACTTTGCTCTTTCTGTTCTTCAATGGGAACTAAAATGACAAGGCGCCTGAAATCTCTATGAAGGATTGTGGCTGGAATTTTGTCATTATGTTTATGTTTACTGGATTCTGAAGCTGGCTCCTTTCCAGCTATCTTTCTGATAGAAACAGGATAACTGCGAAAGGTCCTCACAAGCACATCTCTAACTATGCCTTTGTTGTCAGTGTTGACGCTGTCAACTCGGGCTAGCCTGTACTATCCTCTCAGGGCGTTTTGGTCAGCTACCCAGACCACATCCCTCATAGCGACATTCCGCTCTTTAGTGTGCCATTTATTCCGTACAAACAGGTTTGGTCCAACCAACTGGCTCCACTTTTTCCAGAATTTGCTGACCTCCGTTTGAAAACTTTTAAGCCTACAAAGTTGGTGCCATGTGTGTGCGCGAGTGTGTGTGTGTGTGTGTGCGCGTGTGTGTGTATGTGTGAGTGTGTGCATGTGTGCAAGTGTATGTGTGAGTGTGTGCGAGTGTGCGTGTGTGTGTGCGAGTGCGTGTGTGTGTGTGTGTGTGTGTGTGTGTGTGTGTGTGTGTGTGTGTGTGTGTGTGAGGACTCACCAGGCCTCCAGACATTGCCTCTGTCCCTATTTGAGTTGCTCCAGGTTGGATCTGGACCAGTTTCCCATCCCTGGTCCGGCCCCGAGGAGCCCTGGTCTCTTCCTGGATCCCTTCCTCTATTCCAGGCCTGATCCCGGCCTCGATTCCGGCTCGCTGCCCAGCCCTGATTGGGAACGTGCTCCCGACCCATCATCCAGGCCTGATCCGGTCCAGGATGGGTTCCGTCTCTGCCTGACATCCACTGCTGCTCCTGACTGGACTGTCCTGCTCTGTCTCTGCCAGAACTCCAGATCTGGTTCTGGGCTCGGTCTCTCCCTGGAGTCCAGGCTTCGGGACCACGGTCTCTGCTGGAGCTCCAGCCCTGGTCCGTGGGCTGGGACGACTCCTGGCTTGTTTCTGGGCCTTCAGGCCACGCCTCCTTTGTTACCAGTCTTGGAGGAAGCCTCGGGGTGGGTGGAGCCATGGAGCCCAGGTCTGAACCATTGGCCAAACCACCTGATGACATCACTGCGCAACTGGTGGTCGCATAATCTACTGTTGCCATGGAAACATTCTGCAGGTCTTCATACCTGATATGGAAATTGTTAACAGATAACGATGACATCGCTGGTTACCATAAAAATATCTGCCATCTTGTCTGGGGTAAAAAAAAACACCAAGTAAAGAAGTCTGGGTTGTTGTTGGGATTACAGGAATTTTTTTTTTATTTTGACGATTGTTTGATTTTTTTTAACAGAATCTGATTTTAAATTTGCTATAAAATGTAAATGTATCAAATACGAGTCCTGAGGTTCACAGCTGGAAACTGACCCGACTGAAACTGACTTTTTTTTTAACTTCAAAAAGTTTTACTTTAAAAGGTTAAAGAAAATACATTTCCAACTCTTTATTTTCGTCTATAGTCTATATTCTAGCTGGTCAGGCGGACACGTCTGCTGACAGCTCACCGGATCGTCGCCTAGATCTGTAGACCGTGACCGGTGTGTTTGCACCTCCAATGTGGAGCTACTGTGTTGCTATGGTTACATGATGCCACATTGTAAGGCTCCAGATGAGCATATTGATCAATAATTTCTATTATTAACACTTAACAGAAACTTCTGGAGCAGACAGTTACTCAGAATTTACCTTTGACCTCCTGATGAGGTAAAAGAAACAATGACACGTAGTTTCCTCTTTATGCTGAAATAACTCCACAACTACAGCTAGAGTTTGAGTTAAACTTGAGCTTTTATAGTATCTGAGCAGGTTTGATGGTGATTTAGACAATGAACTTAGACTATTATACATCAATAGTTTCTGAACATTTCAGCTCTGGACTCACAAAATATGAAAAGTCAAGACTTGTAATCCCAAATATTACTGGTCAGACTCTATAAACTCTTCTCTAAAGCTGTTAGCATACATTTTTCTTACTTTTGTTTGGGGGGGGGGGGGGGGGGGGAGATCATCTCAACACCCCAACTAGGTGATTCATTACTGACTCTATCATTTGGAACCACTGTTATATGATATTACCTGATCTAATAGCTCAGATCTTCTCCTAAATTGGGGGCTTGTCCGGGATGTCTGAAACATGTGACAGAGGATGAACTTTTATACAGACTGTCTTGTCTAAAATGTTTTAGAGCGTGTTACCCTTGCATTTGTGTGTACAAATGCTCAACTGAATATGTTATAATAATGCTTATGTTTTTGTTTACCTTTAAAGCTTTAGAGCCATGCACACAAAATGAAATGTCAAAATATTCTTCTTCACCTGCAGGTGTGGCTTTTTGCCAGCAGAAACAGAAAAACAATGAGCTGCAGCTGAGAGTTGGAGAGGAGGATGCAGACACAAGAAGATGCTCATTTGCATTTTCAAATATTTGTTTAGGTTAAACAAGGTTAAGGTGTGGAGTTAGGACAAACCTCCGAAAGGATTTCTGAAGAAATATGCTTCTAAATCCTGATGCACAAAGAAAAATGTTTTATTATTGTTTTAATAAAGTAAAAAAAAAACTGAAATTACTAAAAAAAAAAATACCTAGCCTGGCCTGCCAGACTCATCCTGTTTAATTTCTCTGTGCCGAATTACACAGAGGAGGAGTCTGGCAGGCCAGGCTATGAAAAAACAGCCTTTATTTTGAAATTGTGGACCCTGCAACCTGCACCTATAAGCATCTAGAACATGGATGCACTTGGTGACAGCAGGCTGGAGCATCTTTTACCTTTTTCTGCTATAAGTTCTTTTCATCTTTGCAGCATTTTGGTCTTGAGCTTCGTTCTAAAACAGAAAACAAAGAATTGGGAAGATTTTCTTTTCGGTAAGAGAAGCCAGAAATGGATTTAAGCTGCAGATTTCTCACCTGTGAGTGCTCTGCCGTGTTCACCTCATCTCGTTCAGGAAATCTCTGAACAGCTGATTTTACAAAAGTGATCAAAGACATGAAATAAGTGAATTAAGCCAGATTTTCATGTTTTAAAATCAGAACATGAACAGTTTTTTCTGTACCTGAACATAAAAGTGCTGCTTTTAGCTGTGACTGGGCTGGTTTCCTCTTCCTCGGCATGTACAAAGGTGACATATCCCCTCTGAGGTGGGTGAGGTCCATACTAGAAGCGCCACCCCCACCTGAAGAAATCACCACTGCAAACACAACAAAAGCAGAAGAAGCTGTAACGATTAAGGGCTAACAACAACAACAATAATATTTATCTTATTTAGGTACCCAAACAAAATAGAATTATGTTGGAAAAACATAATTTATCACAGTTTCATGGTATTTTTCTAAAAGTGCCAATCACATTGTGCTAATTGTGTCTCATAAATAAAACAGAAATAAATGTAATTTCTATTAAAACAATAATTACTGTAAACAACGAAGCACCAATTCTGGTTTAGAGGGCCGAAATGAATGATAAATGACCCGCACTTGTGTAGCTCCTCTCAGAGTAAGGACTCCAAAGCACTTTACACTACAGTGAATCATTCACCCATTCACACACATTCACACGCTGGTGGGGATGAGCTACGATGTAGCCACAGCTGCCCTGGGGCGCACTGACAGAGGCGAGGCTGCCGAGCACTGGCGCCACCGGTCCCTCCGACCACCACCAGCAGGCAAGGTGGGTTAAGTGTCTTGCCCAAGGACACAACAGCAGAATTCTCTGTCCGGAGCCAGGAACGAACCTGCAACCTCCGTGATTACAGGACAACCCGCTCAACCTGTTGAGCTACTGCTGCCCTATGCTTATAGGTTGCACCATCCACAATTTCAAAATAAAGGCTGCCCGGGCTTGGAAATACCAGATGACACACCTGATGACACTGATTTTGGCCAATTTCAGATTAACCCTCCCACTGTCCTCATTGGTGAACCCGCCAGGAAAGTTGACCATTGAGCAGGGCTGATGGTTTATCCCTTGAGGTCACGACCCATGACACCTCACCTGGATGAGATGGATGTTAAATAAATATGCGCAGAATACGTTAAAAAAACAGAAATACGTGATTCTGGAGGGAACTGCTCGGTAAATTCATTGGAAAAATGCCTTTTTCCCATGGCTGCTGAACCAAAACAAGCAGCGGATCACCAATTAAATGGATCATATTAAACACTGATTCTGATCAGCTGATATTTTCTATTACCTCTTTAGTTCCCTCAGGGCCTTAAGCCAATAAAACAACACGAAACTTTATAAATAAAGTAGCTGTTAAAACCTCCAATTCTTCATTATGTCTCAGTTACAACCGGCTGGTTTTTATAAACGCATTTGTGCAGATGTGTTGGTCTGAAGTGACCAGATGTTGCAGCTGTGCTCCTGTGAACAAGTTGAGCCTGGTGTGTTTACACTGTTTCCATCACATTAAACATGTTTGGATGCGATGGACGTTTGGAGGCCACTGGCTGCACACAGAGCTGCAAAATGCATGAAGTGATGTTCTGAAAACCTGTAGAACCAGACATTTCTGCAAAGATGAAAACAAAATTAAATCTCCTACCACCGTGTCCTGGGAAAATAAGATTTTTAGTAACGACGACGTTAGGACACACTCCAGACGCACGCGCGCGCGCACGTGTGTGTGATAGGAAGATGATGAGCTTGTTTTTCTCCAGGCTGGAGCTCCACTCCTAACCGCTTTTCATTGTTTCTTAACGGAGGAAGAAATGCGTGAGCCTACCGTCCTACAGCTCCCCTCCTCTGGAAGGACGGCCAGCCTCCATGTCTGCGAGCCTGGCCTCCTCTGTGGCCTCTCCCCCGGGCCTGGAAGCACCAGAAAGGCGGACATCCAGCGGGTTCTGGTCCCTAAAACACTCCGGGATCCAACCCGAGCCTCAGCAGCATCCACATACAAGCAGGGCTCACGCACGCAGGAGGAATTCAGCCGTGAGCTGAACGCCCTCCTACTGGACGGAACAAGCCCGCATCTGCTGATGCGTTCACGGACCGTCCGACACGACGCGGTGCTGACAGCCCTACGGTTAAATACAACAGAAAACATGAAAGGGGACATATTTTGGATTTTTTATTAGTTAAAATAGTTCCATTGTTAATATAAAAAATACTGATGAAGACTGTTGCACCAAATAACTCTCACATTGACAGTTTCAGCACCTTTCAGAACATGTTAACGCTAATATATAAAATAGTCTTGATTTTTACCTAGAATTTTTTATTTTGAATGAATCTACAGGTTTGGTTCATGAACGCGGCTGTAGTAGCCGCTAGTCTCCAGCAGGGGGCGGACACATCATTATTTTGGACATCCACACATTAAAGGATTGAGTGTTTCCACCCAGTTGACTTAAATAAAAGCTTATCAGGTCGTTGAAATGCATCCAGATCATAGTCGTGGTTCATCATGCTAGCTTAGCTATGCTAGTATTAAGATACTTTTTGAAACAGATTGTTTTAGGCGATGATTAGTTTTTATTCACCTTTGGAGGGAAGCAGCAGAGACCCACATGACAGCACAAAGGATGCAAAAGGCGAGTTCACATGCTTGTTTCATTTAAAGCCCATTATCTTGATTATAAAGCCTCTAAACCAGGGGTGTCAAACTCAGATTCACACTGGGCCCAAATGAAACTATGGGACAAAGTCGCCAAAGAAGCGAAACTTCATCGTCGTCGTCGTCTTCCTCCGCATATCCGGGTCCAGGTCGTGGGGGCAGCATCCCAACTAAGGAGCTCCAGACCGTCCTCTCCCCGGCCACCTCCACCAGCTCCTCCGGCAGGACCCCAAGGCGTTCCCGGGCCAGATTGGAGATGTAAACTCTCCAACGTGTCCTGAGTCGACCTGGGGGCCTCCTGCCGGCAGGACATGCCCGAAACACCTGCCCAGGGAGGCGTCCAGGAGGCATCCTGACCAGATGCCCAAACCACCTCAGCTAACTCCTTTCAATCCGGAGGAGCAGCAGTTCTACTCCGAGTCCCTCCCGAATGCCCGAGCTCCTCACCCTATCTCTAAGGCTGAGCCCGGACACCCTACTGAGGAAACTCATTTCGGCCGCTTGTATCCACGATCTCGTTCTTTCAGTCATTACCCAAAGCTCATGACCATAGGTGAGGATTGAGACGTAGATCGACCGGTAAATCGAGAGCCTGGCTTTCTGGCTCAGCTCCCTCTTCACCACGACAGATCGGCTCAGCGTCCGCATCACTGCAGACGCCGAACCAATCCGCCTGTTGATCTCCCGATCCCTCCTACCCTCACTCGTGAACAAGACCCCGAGATACTTAAACACCTCCACTTGAGGTAGGACCTCTCTCCCGACCCGGAGTTGGCAAACTTAATATTTTTTGAAAACGTGATGGCAAATTTTCACATTTTCTTCATCAGCATGCAATTTTGAACCTTTTAATTTGGAAACAAACTTATTTTTTTATTAACACTGAATGTGGAAAAACCAAATTACACACAAGCAAGTCCATTTGAAATAAAACGCATCAGTGCTATTCATTACTTGTGGTATATTCAGCATTTTAAAAATCTATTCAGGATTTATGTTTTCTTGTTGTTTCTTAATTTTTCTTATTTTTTATTCTCCTTTTTTCTCCTGTAATAAGTGTCATCGCTGCTGTGACGTCTAGCTTTCCCCACTGAGGAACAATAAAGGGATTTTCTATTCTATTCATCTGTCTGCAGCCTTTCCACTTCCTGTTTACTGTAGGTTAAATCTTTTCTCACGGGCCAACAACAAAATAAAAATATAATTTTATCTTAAATGAAAATGCAACATCTCACCTGTTAACTTTCATGTTTTGGAGCAGAAAAAGAGCATAAAACCAACATATTTAAAGCTCACTTTGCTCCACTGGTTTACTGTGATGCTCACCTGTTCCAGCCAGCTACTTGCGTCATGGGGTTGATCTGAGCTGAGGAGGAGACTCCTGTTGTTTTGTTCATCTTCATCATAATAATGACTACATTAGATGACAACAGGTGCTCACATAGGTTTGTGCTGGTGAACATGTCTGAGCAGCTTGACCATGTTGTTGTGTGTCGGGGAGGAAAAACAACAACTACAGCAGCCACAGAGTCATGCTGGTTTGAGCGTGTTGCTGCTCGCTGGAGTTATATCAGCTCTGTCTGGAAATTAGTTGGAAAACTTTCTCTTTCAGTCGTGAACACATTACTGAGCGGTTAAAATCTCCGTTTCTGGGCTTCCACATCGGCAAATAGCCGAGTAAACTCGGCGCTGAGTGAGCGGAGCTGCAGACACCGGCAGCAGACGCTGAAAAAAACACAAAGGAGGGGGTGTTTCGGCTCCACGCTAACGCCGCAAAGCATCATGAGAGTTGTAGTCTTTGCGGTAAAATCGGCCATCAGGTCAGTTTTAATATAATTTTGATATTTATCTCGCGGGCCACATAAAAATGCTCCGCGGGCCTTGTGTCTGGCACACGTGCTCTAAACGCTGAATAAGACTTTGTAACACGCTTTAGACGGGTTTAAATCAAGCTAACATCATCTCCAACCTGCCTGCTGTTTCCAAGGTCCTAGAAAAGCAGAATTAATGGATGTTTAATCTCATCTCATTATAGGTTCAGAATGAACAGCAGTTGTGGATTTAGTTGCAAAAAGTCAGTGATGCACTGACCAATGTGGCCTTTTTCAATGTGGCCTTTTTCCAGATGTACATATTTGGTACTATTAAGTGTGGCATTCTTAACAGAAAGAGTGGTGACATGGATATTGAGCTAAGATTTGGTGATGAAGTAGCTATGAGTCATCTCCAAGTTTCAGGTGCCAAACTTGGCACAAGATGTTGACATAAACTCTGTTTGTCTGTTAGAAAATCATTTCAATAACTATTAAAAATGTTTTATTGAAACTCTCAAAAATCTTCTTTGGATGAGATCAAAGTAGATAATTTTAAATCAATCTAACCCAATTAACTTTAATCACTACTTCTACTCTTACTTAATTCAAATTAAATGTCTGCTTAATCAGGTCTTTAATACGGAATAAACAGAGCTAAATCTCGGAATTTATTTATGCAACAGAGACCAAGTGATGCACACGTTGATGTTCTTTTTCATATGTATGCAAACATGAGATGAAAATACACCATAACCCATTGTCTAAGTTAGAAAGTTAAAAAAACGAGCATCCCCTGAAGGCATCAGCATTAAAAGCAAGCGCGAGAGGAGCAGGGTCCTTCTGCCTGCAAGTTGTCTGGAGAAGCTGGTGCCATTAACCAGGTGAGATTCAGTCTTCTGCAGAAAAATCCACATTTATCTGTTTTATCAGGACTTCCGGATCATTTATAGACAAACAGGATTTTCCATTAAAACACATAAACACACATAAACAATAAACACAACAGCTGCTTTTATTCTGACTCTTGTTGGTTTAGGTTTAGTAAATATATGAAAACACAGAACATGTTCTCAGCATTGCTGTAAAGCACATTGAGTTGCCTGGATGTAGGAAATGTGCTACATGAATGAACTCATCTTGTAGCGCACGCGCACCCTCTCGTGGCTGCGAGGCTGAAGTCAGCTTCTGTTTCCAGCTTCCGATTGGGAAACGGCTAAAGGGCCATTACAACCAATTTTTCTCTACTCTGACCATCTTTAATCTGCTCTAGCTCAAAAACGACAACACTCACACTCTTCAAACCTGTTGTAGATTATTCTACAACAGTATCAGATCAAATAATAATAATAATAATAATAATAATCACAGTGTGGGATTTGTGAAACCTTTCCCTGATTTGTGAAACTTCAACAATGCCTGATTTATGCATTTTTTCAGCATCTGGCCAACACTGGAACATGCTTCACAAATCCCAAACAAGGTTGTATGCAATCTATTATTGCAGAATAATCTACAACAGGTTTGAACAGTGTGAGTGTTGTAGTTTTTGAGCTAGAGCAGATTAAAGATGGTCAGAGTAGAGAAAAATTGGGCGTAATGGCCCTTTAAATCTGGAATTGGAAGCTAACTTCAGCCACTTCTCGTGTCTTGGCTGAAAGAGAAAGTGAAAGTTCCTGTCTTTGCAGGGTAGAGCGCCTCTTTCTTCTGCTTAGCAGCAACATGACAGCAAGACAGGGAGACTACCAGTCTATGGCGTAAGTTCTCCTCACCACGAGCCTAGAAATAACGTTTCTGGGATGGGTTCTGTTGAGGCCATTGATGAAGTCTGTTAGAGTCTCTCCCAGGTATTTGTTAAAGAGAAACTGCTCTAGCACAGCCTTTCCTCCACATTTAAACAGTCTGCTTTATTCTGGATTATCTAAACGTGCTTATTTTAATCTCATATGTGTTATGTTTTCAAATGTTGACCATTTCCTGTCTGCTCCCCCATCAGTAATGCATCTGGAGAAGAGAAAGTTGGTGAGAAACTCTTAATCTCTACTTTCAGTTTGAAGATCTGGTGTGAATCTGTGGTTGATGCATGCTTTTACAGTGGTGAGCAACACGACTGTCATTTCCTTCCTGTTTCAGAGCTTTTAGGGCTGCTGGCTTCTCTGTGAGAGTCTTCAGACACAGCAGGCAGCAGGATCTGCCTGTCCACAGTAGCCTATGCCTCGCAGAGTGAAGCAGGAGATTTTAGCTGTGTCAGGATGTGGGGATGTTTAGAACCCAAAATGCAGATTACCCAGGATGAAACGAGGCAGGAGATGGTGTAAAGTAAAAATCTCTTTAGTTTGTGGAGAAAACAAAAGTAAATCCAGGCAGCGAGCGTCAAATCCACAACTCCAACGCTGGAGAAACAAAGCTCACCCAGAGCATGAACAAACACTGACAGAATACAAACACATACAATGGACCGACACCAGACAAAGACAAGACAGGGCTTAAATAACAGGAAGGAGTCAATTAGGGAAATTGGCAGCAGGAGTGTGGAGTGAGGGCTGGAGGGAAGACAGGTGAATGTAATTACCAAAATGGGAAAACAGAATCTGAGGAGGGCCAAATAAACCTAACACACACACACACACACACACACACACACACACACACACACACACACACACACACACACACACACACACACACACACACACACACACACACACACACACACACACACACACAGAGAACTGGAGCAGGATACACACACACACATGTATACACACACACACACACACACACACACACACCACACTGAGCAGGGGACTGAGAGACTGGGGGCTATAAGGACACAGAATGTGAATGAAGACCTGGAGGGGCTGGGGAGGAATGAGATGACACGGGACCTGGGAGGAATAATCTTACAGGTTACAACATAAGACACATGACTGAGATGAAGACAAGGACACATGAGGGCGCTATGAGACGCAAAAGGGAATCTGGAGAGGGATGGAGGATACCAGGAGGCACAAAAAGGAGGGGGCAGACGCAGACCATGACAAGCTGCTAGAAAATTAGATTCATTCTAATGTAAGATCAGAAAATGATCCTTTAAAATGATAGGAAACTTAAATTTGAGTGCTGTATTTAAGAAAGTAAAGCTTTCCTGAACAGATTCACTTAAGACACTTAATTTTAGGTTTTGATTAACTGTTTTTGTTTAAAGAACCATGGCAGATGAATACATTAAGAGTTTGGAGACATCTCCCAGAGGCAGCTGTGACTAGAAGTTTCTCTTGCACATTCTCCAGGTGAAAGCAGCATTTAAATTAAAAAGGACATTTTGTGATGAAGCAAACAGAAAACGTTTGTAAATGCCGCCTAAAGTGTCCCGATGTGTAAAATGTGGGTTTGTTTGTTTGTTTGTTTTGGCTACGGTGAGTATGTGATTGTTAACAGTTGGTTTTAGGATTCTGGCTACAACATCCGATTATATTTGTAAAAAAATACAAGTTATTTCATTTAAACTTTAAAGCAGCAACTGAATTGAACTGTAAATAGGCGCGTAGTCTGAGGGTTAAATACCTGCTTCAGGTGGTTTTGTGCTTCTGCAGACGTGCCTCTACTGACTGAGGGTAACTTACAGGAAAGAGCTTGTTCTGTTTGCAGAGACTTGTGGTTTATTGTCCACCAAGACAGCCAAATAGTTAGCCTCGTTTTCCTTCACCTAACCCTGTCTGCATTGTGCACACTGATAAGAGACAGTGAAGAACAAGAAAAACCTGTTTTAGGTTTATTTTAATGAGCCAAATGTTGAATTTGTTTTGCAGACTTTAATGAACTGAAGGCTACTGGAATATTTAGGTAAATTTGTAAGAACGCAAAAGTGGACTCACATACTTCTGACTGAAACTGTGTTTGAAAAGTGTGGTTTACTCGTTTATTCAATGCATTTGCAGTATTTGAGTAAATTGTAAAGAATGAGTCGTTTAAATCTTACTTATGAACCATAAAATGTGAGATTCCATAGAAATATGAAATATCAGTCTGATGGATCTTTGACTTTTTTAACCAGAAGATCAGAACTTTTTATTGCAGGGATTAAGTGACACTTCGTATTAACTCCAAGGAAAGAGAGTGTCAGGTTTAAAATAGTTAGAAATTTATTTCTACACAATTTAAACAAGACTAACTTTAACATTCTTTGTACTGATGGAACTAGGGTGGAGTGAGACGTGACATGAATGATGATGATGGTGTGTGTGTGGAATGTTTTTATCAGAACCAGCGGATCCGGAGAAGCAGTTAGTTCTGAGTGGGAGTGAATGTTTCGCTCTAAACTTTAGTAGGAGATTTATAACACACATGAAACGCCATCTGTTGGTCTACGTACCCCAGGGGAAGCCTCCATTAGATCCAGAATGTCGAGTTCCTCAAGGATCCTCCTTGGTACCGAAGCCGGTAGAAAAGCAGCGGTGCTGACCAAACTAGTCTTGGAATGCTTCCAGGTCACGACAGGTTATCACTGGTGTCTCCGAGACCCTGAAGAGGTCGTGAGGTTCAGCTTTTATTCTGAAGGAACCGTTGCGGTCAGGTGTAACTTACAACAGATTTTATCCAGCTTGTCTGAGGTTCTTTATGACTGAAGAGGAAGTCCGGATGGCCTGTCTGAGACTTCTCTAGAACACTTTGAACTAAAGAAAAGGTGGTGTGGAATAGTTTTTATAATTGTCATATTTTGGTTTACTGGCGAATCAGAATTTGACATGCAAAAGAGGGTTTATACAAACACCACAGAAAACCACACCTCTCGCCAGAAACGAAGGATCTGATTGGATCAGACAAAAGGAAATGTGTCGTGTGGCTTTAGCATTACGTGTCATCATTGTCTGGTGCAAATGTCCACGATTATAATTACTTGTAAAATACTACTGATCACAGGATTATAACATCAAGTAATAACATTGTCATTTCACAGATTGATTGAACATTGGGCTCACATTATTATTGGTAATTAACAAAGTTGTTGATTATGTATTTATAAAATAATTCTTCATCTTGAGCTGTAACAAAGGTGAAGTAGTTCAGATGAGCAGAGTGCATTAAAGACCTTGGCCACTATCTCATGTAGATTAGCCTGTCAGAGATTTAATGTCTCTGCTCGAGCAGACACAGCAGATCATGACCTTTAGGTCATAAACAGGACATTGATGACGCTACAAAATCGATGCCTTATGAGTCATTAAAAAAGCTATGATGTTCTGAGGTGGGCTGAAGGTAGCAGGATTGCTCATTATAATTAATGATATGCACACACCTTGCTTCTGATTGGCTAACATAACCATATAAATAAATATTATTTTTGATCAACTTCAAATATGAAATTTTATTATAAAAAAGACATAAAAACCTCAAATGATACAAAACAAAACCAGAACAAATAAAAGCGACTTCAGATATAAAAAAAAATACTCAAAAAATTGTAATTTTGACTCCATAATTTTCGTTTCTCCTCAGTTTTGGGGAGGAAGTTCTTCCCCATTGTGGCAGGAAAAACAAATGGAGCTCACCAAAAACTCATCAATGATCTAAAAAGTCACGACCAAGTAGAAGTCTACTCTGCTGCTGATGCTGACTACCTGTTGGTTTTCTGTCCAATCGCTTCAAGAGTCGAGACTGACATCAGCCAGGCGCTCAGCGACGTTCCAGGTAAGCTATTTATTTAGTTAAAGTTTTACTCTGATCAACGACACGTCAACACCAATAATACCAATAATAACTATTAGTTAGAATGACAAACTGTAGCAGGAACAAAAGATTTTGCTCTGCAGGTCCATTGTAGCCTTCGCAGGTCTATCATTGGCCCAAATGATTTAAAGTCTGGCCAATCACAGTGCTCCATGTTTGTAGAGAGACTGGCAGGCTTAGTGCCAGACCAGTGATGTAGGGATACTACATTGGCGTCGGTTCAGGACCGGCGCTCGTTTAAAACAGCTTTGGCATCATTTTTGATGATTTAGACTTTTTAAAGTCCCATTAGTCGTCGTCACACAGGTGAATTTACACATCTGAGCCATCCCCGTGGGGAGCAGGGAGCTGCAGCGGTGGCTGTGCTCGGGAACTATTTGGTGGTTCGTTGCGTCATTCTTGTCAAGGGACACGGTAGGGTCGGGGAGGGAGGGGGTCTGGGGGGGGGGGGGGGGGTCGGGGGGGGGGGCATTACGCTTAGTCTGGCGGGCCAAAAGCACTGGGGAAACCATTCCTAAGCCTCTCCGGCTGAGCCCGACCACCCTCAAGAAACCCGATTCAGCGTTCGTATCCAGGATCTTGTATTTTTAGTCATAATTCGTCCATTCATCGTGTTTCTGATCAAAGGTTTTTCTTTCAGCGAACAAAGATATAATTCTGGTGGCGATGCACCACATCTTTAATCCTGATCATGTCATACCTGAAAGCAAGAAACACGTGCACAACCCAAACGTCATCCTCGCCGTGGATTGTCTGTTCCATGATGGAAAACTCCTCCTTGCTAGACGCAACGATAATTCTTGGTACGACATCACAAAAGTTCTTGGAATGCCCCATTCCCAGGTAACTAGGTGTAATCACCCAACACCTTTGGGATGATGTCACAGGGGGATCATCAGCAAACTGATAGTTGTACTAAAACCAACGCACTTTTTGTTTTTTTCTTTTTTCAGATCTCTTGGTTCAAAAAGTGTAAGTATGCCACGAATCACAGGTTTGACTTCACAAACACAGTTGTAGTGATTTGAACGTGTCGTGTTCATAACTGAAGCCCACCTTTCCAGAAAAGGTGGAATTTCTTCTCGAATACAGCAATAAACTAAAATACGGTTTAGAGGAGTCGAGAGAGAGGCAGCACAGAACTTTTGAATGAAGCCTTTGTTTTATATCTGGTAGGGCTGCAACTAATGACTGCTTTAATAGTCAACTAGTCACCGACTATTGAAATGATTAGTTGACTAATTGGATAATTATTAAATTGTTTTTAAATTTAGCATGAGATTGCTTCAATTATGTGAAAAATGATGATAAACACAAGAAAGACGGGTGCTTCAAAGGAAAATGCATATTTTATTGAACTTTGCTGCTGATAGGCCAATTCATACTAAAAGTAAATTAAAATGTCTAACACCAGTTAGGCACACAGCTCAGTCAGTACAGACATAAATGCATAAATAAAGTTAAAATACTTTTGTCAGGCACAGTCGGGCATAACATTAAATCTCTTTTTAAAAGCGACAATACGTTTAAAAAAATGTAAAATGTACATCTAAAACAAAACTTATTGGCTTTCGTATTATTTAAATCTTACTGAGGTGAGTCAGACTCTGTTTCATTCAACTGTCCGACGTGCTTTCTCTTTAAGTGTTCATGCATCACCGAGGAGGACCTTGCGTGTGTTTTTCTGTACCAACACACTTGGTTTGAATCAAAACGTGATTAAAAGGCTTCTGAAGAACCTGAGGACCTTCTGAGAGGGGGTTCAATCATTGGATCAGATGTTTGGGGCAGGATGGTGGACCTTCAGACCTCAGTTATAAAACCCTTTCCAGACCTTTTCTGCCAAAAAGCATCGTCACAAAAATGAAAGAATCAAACACAAACTTCATGTTTTGTTCTAAAGCTACGATGAAGGTGAAGAACACAATAAAACGTAATCATCATCATATGTTGTTTGAATTATTGAACTAAATAAATGTAATCCTTATTGTAATGAACAGCACGTGTTCCCTTTAAAAGTCTTTATCAGATGAACACAACCAAGATGAACATGATGGAAATATTTCTTTAGCTTTAAAAGAAACTCTGAATAAACTTTAGAAGTGATGAAGCTGTTACTAATAAACACTCAAAGTGTGTTTAGTTTGAATAATAAACAATGCTTTTTTTCTGTTTGTTTTAGGCAGGTCACTCATTATTGGAAGAGCTGTTCTTGTTGTTGTTCTTGTTGTTGTTGTTTTGTTGGGTGCCACTCTGCTGGGCCTTTGGCTTGCCCGAAAGTTGTAAAACTATGAGACGAAACCAAAAACATTGCGATCTGCATTGCTTTAACCTGGTGGTGTTAACGGAACAAAGACCAGGTTAAAGCCACTCTATGATTAATAATATATTAGGAGAACCTCTGTCGGGGTTTGAGTTTACAACCAGAAGGTAAATGTTATTTTTCATATTTCTGTGATGCTTGTCTAATGTTTCATTAAATGTGTCATTTCTTGTTTTAAAATAAATAAATAAAAACCTAGAACTTCTTGATGAAAACACATTTCTGCCAAATCTATTTTTACAGGAACACATTTCAAACATGCACACTTGATTTTTCACCTGATCCTCAAAATGATGAATGACCTGTTATTGATAAAGCACTTTCTAGGGTTTTACAACCCCCCAAGGCGCTTTACAGCACAGTCAGTCATTACTCCACGGGCACGCACATTCAACTTTTTTTTCACATTCATCGTTTTTTATTTAACAGGAATGAAAGAGTTAAAAGTCATGTTCTAGCTGTGATTTAGAACTGAAATAAAAGCTCTAAACACATAAAGTGACATCAAGTTATTCTGTAGAGAGTAAATAAAGAAGGTTTCAGTAAAGGTTGTGATTTATTATTAATTGTTTACATCTACCAGCCAGTAGAGGGCACCGTTGTGTGCTGTTAGCAAGTCAAGCAGCTGCTTCTGAGCCCAGAAGATGTGTTTATCCTGCTCAGAAGAGGAGTGGCCATAAACGATCTAAAACCAGAGTGAGTCTAGGTAAAGCCTACAGCAGATGGACCCAAATAAAAATGTCACGTGTCAGCAACGAACCTGATGGCTGGAAACGTTGTTCTACTGCTGCAGCTACAGCCTCCACACACTAGATGTCGCTTTAGTGTTCCTGATCCATATTTCACCTTTAATCCAGTCTTTCACAAACCCTGTGAAATGCTTAAGTAGACTTCTAGTATGGACGTTTCTACTGACCTTTGAGCCCAGTTTGGTCCACTAGGAACCGGTCCGCCTGCTGCTGTTTGAATTCCTCCCAGAAAACATGTTGAACAGGTAAAGCACGACATGATCAGAAGGGAAACTGCTTCTGAAAGGAGAACGGTGAGTTGGATCGATGTCAGACTAATCTGTTCGTCACGTAAGTTAGAATTGAAACTGACCTTTAAGACGCTGTGGTTTGATTTATTGCTTTTCTACAAGTAATTCAGCAGGATGTTGGTTTCGTTTAGTTTGACTTATTATTTTCCTTTTTCACCCTTTATCATCAGAGTCATGGCCTCCAACCAGCCAGCTGGTGAGGAAATGCTTTAATATACTGGGTTTCTATTATTATATAATTCCTCACAATAAAAATACCTTTTTTCTAACACCCCCACCTCTTTACCAGGATTAGTACCTTCCTCAAACCCTACTCATATAGTTGTGAATGATTTTTTTCTAAATGTTTGTCTGATTTGTTCCCGTCTTTTTGTTAGTTTGATGAAGTCTAATTTCTCTGTGAGTGTAATGTTAGTTATAGCGACGGGCCCGTGGGTTATCATGGAGATGGTCATTCTAAATGGGAGGAGCTTGATGAAACTGGAACAAGAACTCAAAGCTTTTCTAACTAAGCAGAATGACAGGTTAGTTCTCTGGGAACAAACCCTAAAGCTGAATTGGAAGGTTGCAGGTTTAATCCCAGCTCCCGACAGAGAACGTTGTCGTTGTGTCCTTGGGCAAGACACAACCCGCCTTGCCTGCCGATGGTGGTCGGAGGGACCGGTGGCGCCTGCTCAGCAGCCTTGCCACTGTCAGTGCGCCCCAGGGATGCTGTGACTGCATTGGAGCTCATCCCCACCAGCGTGTGAATGGGTGAATGGCTGACTGTGTTGTGAAGCACCTTGGGGGGTTGTAGAACCCCAAGAAGGCGCTATACCAGGGGTGGGGAACCCTGGTCCATCGAGGGCCAGTATCCAGCATATTTTAGTTTCAACCTTGCTTCAACACACCTGATTTCAATCAGCAGGTGATTAACAGGCTTCTGCAGAGCCTGATGAGCTGCAGAACAGGTGAATCAACCACTGAATCAGAAGTGTTGGAGCAGAGACATGCAGGACACCGGCAATCGAGGACCAGGGTTCCCCACCCTGGTCACCCCCACGTGGGCAACGGGGGCACAGGCGTTAAGTGCTCGCTCCGTAATCGGAAGGTTGCAGGTTCGAGCCCCGCTCAGTCTGTCGCTGTCGTTGTGTCCTTGGGCAAGACACTTAACCCACGTTGCCTGCTGGTGGTGGTCGGAGGGACCGGTGGCGCCAGTGCTTTGGCAGCCTCGCCTCTGTCAGTGCGCCCAAGGGCAGCTGTGGCTACATCGCAGCTCATCACCACCAGCGTGTGAATGGGTGAATGACTGATTGTGCTATAAAGCACCTTGGGGGGTTCCAGGACTCTAGAAGGCGCTATACAAATGCAGGCTACTTACTCGTGGGGTTATTTCACAAACAGATGATCATCTTAGCTACATGAGGCCAAAATTAACTACATTTTAGAGCCAAACCGTAAGATGCCGTCATCACACTGGTTACTGAACCGTTGTTGAAACTGATGTTTGATTATTTTTTACTTTTTTGTTAGTTTTGGGGAGAAAGTTCTTTGTCTTTGTGGCCGGAAATCCAAATGGAGCTCATCAGGAGATTATTGACCACCTACACCATCTTGGTCAAGTGGAAGTGGATTCCATTAGTGTCTCCGACTACCTGGTAGTTCTCTGTCCCATCGCTTCGAGGGTTGAAACCGACATTAATGTGGCCCTCAGCAGCATTCCAGGTAAGATCCCAGCATGCTGCAGTGCACTGCGACCTTTGGTAGCAGGATGATGGACCAGGAAAAAAAACCTCACAGGAGTCATTTTTTAAAGAACCGCAACATCAAGGGATAAATATTAAAACTGTTGGGAATTTAACGGGATAAAGGCACTATAGTGATTAAAAACTAAGATGACTTGTTTTTGATTCAATTCTCTTTAAAAATGTGTTTATTTTGTGGTTCCAGTTGGCAAGCCGATAATTCTGGTGGTGATGCATCACACCTACGATCCTCATCGTAACATAGTGGACAGCTGGAGATACGTGCAAAATCCAAACGTCATCCTCACCGTGGATTATCTGTTCCACGATGGAAAACTTCTTCATTGTGACCGCAATCAGACGTCCCTGTGTGAGATCAGAACGACTCTGGGAGTCTCCTCTCCTGAGGTTATTAGATTTATTCATCTAACTCATCTCATCTGGATTAAACTGGTATTGTGATGAAGATCCATCATTGGTGTCCACTTCAGATGTTTACCTTTGTTAAAGTTTTTGTTTCTTTCTGCTCTTGCAGAGCTTGGGATCTTGCACCGAATGTAAGTATAGCAAAAACCAAGACTTTTACATCACCATAGAAACATGTCACACGTCCCTGACAGCTGAAGAAAATTCTGTGTAACTGAAGCAGATTTTAAAGGTGGGGTAGAAGATGTTTATCTGGAGCGTTTTTGCCATGTTTGAAGTGCTGTTCACATAACGAAGGCAACCGATAAATGACATGTTCTGTTAAAAATGAATGATTGTGATCACCTCTAAAAACGTACAGTCCTGGAATAACCTCATCAGGGGGCCTTTCTCAGTGTCAAGGCGCCTGGCCTCGCAAGACATCGCCTCGCAAGGCGCCTGGTCTTGCGAGGCGATGTCTTGCAAGGCCAGGCGCCTTGCTCACCAGGACACTGTCCATCCTTGGTCAAAGAAAACGGTTAAATGGAACAGACTTGCATCATGTGACCGCGGCTTCCACGGCGGTCACATAACGTCACGTGACACGGGAGACGACGTTATATTTTATATTTATTAGTTTCAATATAAATACTTTTTAAATTGTGCATATGTTTATTAAATTAAAAATATAAGTGAGTTACTACCCGCTAGCCACCGAAGCTGCAACCACTGAGCAACTAACCAACAATAGATAACTTCTTTGGATCTAAAAAAAAACATTTTAAATTAGCTGACTTACTTTTAAACTTGAAAATTGTCGCTGAAGTAGCTGCCGGCTTCTGAACCGCCATCCTTTTAAAAATACTGCTGTGTATTGTGGGTAATTTTTGACCAAGGCTAGGCTACAAGACACTTCCGTGTATCCTCGCTCAGCTATCTAAACGGCTAACAAACAGAGAACACACGCCTTGGTAGAACATGAACATTGGAACACGTCTTGGCGGCTCCTGATGACGTATCTCCTAAGCAACCGGGGCGAGGCCAATACACCAAGGCGAGGTTCCTTGGCATTGAGAAACACCCAAAGAATCAAAGGCATTGATCACTCATTTAATGAATACATTTGCAGAGGTCTCTAGTAGGAATTAATGTCTTGTAAGTCATACTCTGGGGAAGGGGGTGGGTGGGGGGTGGGGGTGGGGGGGTTACACCATTTCCAGTAAGCAGCAGTCGCCCACATCACAGCTGAGCCTCAGACGACAGGATCTGGAGTCTTATTTCCTGATATTTGGACAGCTCACTTATGATTGGATAACAGCAACACGACTCTACCGCTGACCCTGTTTGCTCTGCAGCCTTGAGGTTCTATCTACGTTAGCTAGCATACCCAATCGTTATACGGTTATGTAGATGCGTGACATTAGGTATGTCAGAAATGGTGCCAACAACGAGTCGAACGGATAAAGTCACATTTTCATGGTTCTTTGAGCATATTGGTTGCACCCGGCCTCATGCAGCTTAGGGGCGGAGCCTGAAGAAAGGAGGATGGACCTTTGAATTGTACTTTTTCTAAATGTAATTTGCTAGAACCACCTTACCCTGCCTTTAAATTAATGTTAAACATTTTTTCAGTTTATTTGCATTAGGAATTGATGTTAGTGAAACTATATTAATGTGTCTCATTTAACTGTTCTTATTGTTTTTTTTAGATGTGAAGAAAAAATGGTGGATCGTTGTTATTGCTGTCCTCGTTCTTATTGCTGTAGTCATCATCGCATCTGTCTCCACACACTTCTCTAAACGCTGAAACCGTGGGAAACTCAAACAAGTGCTCAACTGTTTTTAATTTTTAAATAATTATTTTTATTAGATTAAATATGGCGCAGCAGGATTACATGCAAGGCCCCGGGGGATAAGGCCTGAGTGGTTTTAGTGAAAGAGAAACTCAAAGTGCACAAGTTTTTACCACAAAGAATTGCGTCCTAATATGATGTCAATGCAAGTCATGTTTCAAGAGCAAGTCACCCCCTACCAGAGTATTACTCCACTCCCACTTCCTGTTTGAAAAATGCAACAAATGCTGTTGCCTAGCAGAACGAGAGGGCGGAGCCGCTAACAAATACACACACACACACAGGCTCACAACGACATTGTGACATCATATGGTACCAGCTAACGTTCTAGGGTACCTCTTAGCCAATAGCGATGGCAGATTTAAATTCAAATGCAGTGCAGAGTTTTTACCTGACAACGGCATAACACTGACAGTTTTAGGCAGAACGTTTAAATTTGAACTGAAATGCACTAAAGCGCAAAACTATTGACTACACGTGTCTACAGCACAATTAGACACGCATTTATATAGTTTATCAGGAAAAAATGTTGATTTGGGGGTGACTTGCTCTTTAAAGAAAAATGCACTTAGAAGCAAACTTGGGATGTGTCATTGAATCTATTTTAAGCGTGTCTATAAAGCACTAGTGGGCCTGTTTTCTCTAAAATGAACCTAAAAACTGGTAAATGAGTTAAAACACAAACAATTCAAGTGCTTTTGAGCTGAAGGTTTGTTTTTACATCTAAATAAATATATGAGTCACATATTCCATGCTGTTGTTCTTTTTTAAAACACAGAAACGGTTCCGTTACCTGTTTTTCTCTACGTTTCATCTGCGGCTGCAGACTTCCTCAGGCTGACGCTGATGGTGGCGCGTCACTTCCTTCTTCGTTTATCCGCGGGCAGCAGAGGACGTTGTCGCCCTCTGCTGCCCGCTCTCCCCTCTCCGACGATGCAGTCCCATGCGCGGTCCAACGTGTAAACTCCATCGTCCCTGTTCATGGTCCCACATCCACGTCTTCTTATCTCGATTGCTTCTTTAATCCATCTTTTGTATTTCTGTTGTTCGGTGTTTATGATCCTTGTGTTCTAGTCCATTATATGATTTTCTCTTAAGCAATGATCTGTTACGGCTGACTTCTTTATTGTACTTTCTGCTTCTTCTTTTGCTGCTCTTGTGTGTTTTCGATTTGCCTCCTTCTCGCACTCCTTTCTATGTTCTATTGTTCGTGTGTTGAGTTGGCGTCCGGTTTCTCCTATGTATGTTTAATTGCAAAGTTTGCATGAGATTTCGTAAATGACTCCACATTTAAGTCCAGCTGGTATCTTGTCTTTTGGGTGCGCTAGTCTGTTTCTAACTGTTGTGTATGGTTTTGTTTGTGTGTTTATGTTGTGTTTTTTCATCGTTGCTCTTATTTTTTTCTGTTATGCCTCTGATGTATGGTAGGGTTATCACTGGTTTTGGTTCTTGTCTTTCTGGGTTTCTGGTTCTTTGCTTAGGTTGTTCTTTTCTTTCTGTTTTTGTTTGTTGTTTTCCTTTGTTTATTGTCCATGTCGGGTATCCGCAGGTCTTTAAAGCGTGTTGTATGGAATCCCATACAAATTCTGCAATAAAACATACATAGGAGAAATCTATGGTAAAAAACTCAGTTTAAAAAGCACGTGTAAAGAAAGAATACATAAAATAAATAAATAAATAGATAAATAACCTAATTAATTAATTAATTTATTTAAAAAGACATAGTGATCAGTTAAAAGCTAAGCTAAAAAGACGGGTCTTGAGCTTGTTTCTAAAAACATGAACGTTCTCTGCGGCCCTGAGGTCTCCTGGCAGCTTGTTCCAGAGACGAGGACCGTAGTGCTGGAAGGACGCCTCGCCGTGAATATGAGTCCTGACTTTAGGGATGACAAGGAGACGGCTGCCAGAGGAGCGCAGAGACCGCGTGGGTTCATACGGTATAAGCAGTTCTAAAAGATAAGAAGGCCCAAGACCGTTAAGACACTTAAAAACCATTAAAAGTTTTTTAAAATCGATCCTGAAACATACGGGGAGCCAATGCAGCGATTCTAAAACTGGAGTGATGTGCTCCCACTTCCTGGTCTTCCTTTAATAATGTGATTTTCCTCCATGTTGCACATTTCAGCTGAGCTTTTAGCGGCTGTTTAATAATAAATCTGCTTCCTTTGTTTTAGTTTTTGACTAAATGTTTAGTTTTATTCTAAAGTCCTCCTCAGAAACGTGTGCAGAGCAGCCGGCTGGTGAGAGACTGTCCCATCTCATCAAGCTTTATTATTAATTAATGATCATCAACTCTTTAGTCTGATTCTGTCATTTATGTTGATTTTAAAATATTGATGAAATCACAAGAATCAGATTTGGGACTTTAGCACATCCATCCATCCATCCAAACCCCGTTCACCCTCCGTCCTTCAAGCAGAAGACTGAGCCGCTGTCTAGCCCTTCAGCTGTCTTTTATACTTGTATTTATTTTTTGTTTATTCTGGTCTGCGTAACACATCTGGTTCTCCCGGGTCTCCAACAAGCTGTTCCTGAGCAAAACTTTTATTTGTTTTTAAGTCAGATCTTCCACCGGGCTCCCCGGGCTCAGACTAGAAGAGTCCTGCTGGAGAAGTATTAATGGACCCTGGGGGCGGGGAAGGGGGGGGGGGGGGGGGGTGAGGTCACGACTCAGGCCTAAAAAGGCGAAGCAGAATACCACCAGCAGCACAAAGCTCTAAAAATAACCTAGAGGTGCTGACACGTGGAGCAGAGCAGCAGGAGATGATGACATTCTGATTTTTAGAGCTGCACGTTTGATTAGAAAAGAGAAATAAAAAAAGGGTTTTAGGAGCTAATAAAAACATTGTGTGTCACAAACTCTGTCTGAGACAAAGTTACCAGGAGCCCTCCTGACCCGTCGCCCCCGTGGTGGATCTAAATCTGTTTTAGGGGGGTGGGGGGTGCTGTATCCACAGTCCCGACCAGGAGAAGAGCAAAGACCGTCTGAACCTGGTCCCTGTCCGTCTCCCCAGGCCCATCGGACTGCCGTGGACGTTATCTGGAAATAAAATGCTGAATAAGGAGGAGTAGAGGAAGATCTTCAGCTGCACTCGTTCAACTTTGGGATTAAATCATCCAAAAGGAGTGGGAATATTTTCATCCATCTGTCTTATGGAAACATCATCTGCTAACGGAGGTTCTGACTTTTAGGGGCGACTTTTGTTGAGGAACCATGACAGAAACAACTGAAGGTAATCATGAAACACCATAGATCTGCTGGTGTGGACCAACAGGCCGTCGTGTATCTGTTAGATTATCAGATCAGCTGATTCTGTGGGACGATACCCTTGAGTTTATGTTTCCAAATCTAAAACAAACCCAAACAGCCTCTAAGCTCACAGCACCAGGACGGATCCATGTTCTGCTCCAACGAATGCCTGTAAAAAGTCTGGTTTACGCTCCTCTTCCACGGATTAACACAAAACTACACTAGCTGTGATGATATCTGCAAACACTTTTAGAGATTAAGATTTTCATCGTAAAGATGGAGGCTTGCATCATGCTATTTTGCAGGAATTCCATCAAATGTGGTCAATTCAAAAACTTCTAGTGTGTTTTTTAATCTGACGAGGTTTGACTCTTTGCTTCCTGGATTATCTTCAGATTAGTCTACCTGCTCTGCTGCTGTTATAGTCAGATTTCTTGCATGTTTTTTAAATATTGCCAAAAACATTTTTGGGGATGCATCAAGAGTGTGCAGACAAAGTTGTTTCTGGCAGCGTTGTGCCTGCAAAAAGTAAACTGATGTGTCAGACTAGACTAAGGATTGTTAGACTGCAGATTATAATCAGGTGTGTTGAAGCAGAGAAACCCTGGAGGATCATGGATGGACATCAGAGGGTAAATAAAGTTATTTTCTGCACGAAGGTGCTAAAAGCATCATAAATCTGGCAACAAAGCTGCAGAATTTAAAGCCATCTCAGCGATATGTCGCCAGAACTTCTCACCTTTGGTTCAGGTATAAAACCAGGACTCAGGATCACTGAAACTAACACAAACCAGCATTAAAACGGTTTGTCAAACTGGATTATCTTGTATAAATCAGGTGGGTGGGGCCTAACATAGCCCCGCCCACACCTTCCTCACATTTAAGGAACCATAAACTAATTAAAAATTCTAGAAATTTTAAAAGTTTTGAAACCCTTGGGTCAAAACCTGAGTATTTGGGGATTGACGTGAAACTGAGCTAACACATGAAAACTCACCAGAATCAATTTAAATCACATTTAAAATCACACGTTTGAAAAACAAAACTAAAAGGCTATGCACTAATAATAATGCATTTTACTTATAATGCACTTTACATTACAGAGGTAATCTCAAAGTGCTTTGTACGACCCCTAATCCCTAAACGATAAAAGGTAAAGCATGTCCCTGAAATTAATTTATTTTATAAATTGTCCTTCTAAGAAATGTTCAACTATCTTTTATACGTTCTTGCTGTGTTTGTCTTCAAATTCCATTTTTGGTTCTTTTTAAAACACAGATAAGGCTTTTCTTTATCTTGCTGACGTTTCGTTTGCGGCTGCAAAACATCCTCAGAGCTGACGCTGATGGTGGCGTCACTTCCTACTCCGTTTATCGCGGGCAGCGGAGGACGTTGTCGCCCTCTGCTGCCCGCTCTCCCCTCTCCGACGATGCAGTCCCATGGCCACTCCAATGTGTTAACTCCATCGTCTCTGTTCATGGTCCCACATCCACGTCTCCTTATCTCTATAGCTTCCTTTATCCATCTTTTGTATTTCTGTTGTTCGGTGTTTATCATCCTTGTGTTGTCCCAGTCCATTACATGGTTTTCTCCTGTGCAGTGATCTGTTATGGCTGACTTCTTCATTGTACTTTCTGCTTCTTGTCTTGCTGCTCTTGTGTGTCTTCGACTTGTTTCTTTCTCACACTCCTTTCTAATTTCTATTGTTCATGTGTTGAGTTGGCGTCCGGTGTCTCACAAAACCAGTGATAACCCTGCCATACATCAAAGGCATAACGGAAAAAATAAGAGCAACATTGAAAAAACACAACATAGACACACAAACAAAACCATACACAACAGTTAGAAACAGACTAGTGCGCCCAAAGGACAAGATACCAGCTGGACTTAAATGTGGAGTCGTTTATGAAATCCCATGTAAACTCTGCAATAAAACATACATAGGAGAAACTTTCCATAAACCTTTATGGACAATTCTCAAACCTGAAATACTTTGTTTTATTTAGATTTATTTGATCAGTAGAGGTTATTTTTAACGTACAAAAATAACCCAGTAACAAGGACACTTGCCTTTTTTATTATGACAACTTGTTGCAGAACACCTTCACATTCATGGCCGCCGTCCAACTTCACCATGATCCCTCCACAAAAATATGGGTTCACACGCAGGCGTTAGTGTGTTGGAGAGGCCTGTTGGCATCAGAGCAGAGGGGCTGGACTTCGGTGTGTGTGTGTGTGTGTTCTCTCAGCTGTTTGCGTCAGCAGTACCAGAGAAACCGTCAGTAGCTGCCAGCAGCGAGATGATTTGAGTCAACAGGTGGTTTCAGCTCTTCAGACACAGAAACTCTCTAAATGAATCAGCTGCTGTTAAAATATTAATTAAAAATTACATTAAAACTTGCTATAATAAAAGGACAAAAGGTCAAAGTTGACCAGGTGATAAGCTTATTTATGACAAGTTTCACAAGAAGAAATAAGTTTAAAACCCATCTTTAGGGTCAGATAACTGATTAAATGTCTCACTGATTCACACTTTAGGGGCGGAGCTTACAACTTGCACTGGAACCAGTCACCAAGCGTGGCTTTGGTTGCTCCCGGTTCAACTTCTGGGTTTTGTTCTTGGTTCTAGATCAGGTGTGGATGAAAGAACATGAATATTCTCACAACATTTGACCTAAACCAGGGTTTCTCAGAGGTTTTAGCAGAAAAGGATCATGTGACCACATCTGCTGCTGGTTTAAAGGTGTTAAAGTTGTTAGTATTCTCTTAATAAATGAGAGTGTAACAAGGAAATGTTTGTTTTGGTGATAATTATGTCAGGCTTACATCTTGAGCAACCATGAATTTATAGGTTTTTATCTGGTTCTGCACACGGACCTTCTAATGATAGTTCCACGACCCGCAGTGGGGTTCCGACCCCTATATTGGGAACCCCTGATATGAACAACACTGATCTCAACAGTTATAGTTTATAATTAAAGGACCCAAGGATTTACATATGCCACAATTAAATTACATAATTATTGATATCTTCTGTTTCTGACCGTATTTTTTCCCTTCTCAGTCCGGTCGTCGACGACGACCACGATGGTCATCGACAGTAAGGCTGGAGACGGTGGGTCAGCAGCAGCACACATTCCCAGGAAAACGTTTTCGGATAACCTCGCCTCTACGTTCAGCTCCCCGCTGGCCTGGATCTTGGTCCTGGCGCTGATCATCACCTGGTCGTGTGTTTTCATCATCATGTTTGATGTGGTGGACCACAAGGCCATCACAGGTGTGAGGGATCTGCAGCTTGTCTTTTAGTTTAAGTATTATTTAGTGTTTGCTGCCAACGCTCCTCCATGAACGGATTTGAAACCTAAATCAGCTCTTTGTTTAAAACTGAATCTTCTTTGCTGTTTAAATGATGGCACTGAATCACAGGTACATGTTTCTTCACCTGATATTTGTTCAAACTGGATCATTTGTTCATGATAACGAATTTAATTACATTAATTCTGACTTTAAGCCAACCACATTTTTAAATATCTTCTTATTTTCTCAAATGATAAACCTACAGTATTTTTTAATCTGTGTTTTTTAGTTATTATACATAAATTAAATAATATTTGAGAAGGTGCGTCAAAACAAACAGAATTTATCTGATTTAAACAGAAACTTTGCACATCGCAGATAAAAGTTTCATCTTCCTTTATTATTTCCTCTTTTTGACTTTGTTTCTGTTTATTTTTGTGTTTCTATTCATTATTTTTATGTTTGTCTTGTTGCTTTTTTAATCATAGGGAAAATGTAAATAATCTTTATTTCATTTCTGATCAGCTGCTTTCAAACCCTCACAAACACCATTCTTCCCTCGTTTCATAAACTTTAACCTAATTTTTATAATAAATTAACACAAATACATCATTACTAACAACAAGCAGCAGTTTAAATGGTTTTACCTTACCAAACTTCATGACATCTTAACCTGTTTTAATATGTTTATGACTTTGCAGCAGGATTATAATCCTGATTATGGATTATGTAAATCATGATTCTTCCTTCCACCCCCTCCCCCCCGACCAGGTCACCCTCAGGCTGGGATCAGGAAGGTTTTTAAGGATTCAGGGCGTCGAGGCAAGACTCCTGACCTGCTACTAACTCCTCAGACCCGCTGCTGCTGAGTTAAACCACTAACTCAATAACGTCCATCATGGCTTCCGTCTTCACTCATCAAGGATATTCTGTCTGATTTGTGGTTAAAGTTGAATCTATTTTACTGTTTCTGGTTTATTTTCGCTTTTCTTTGTAAATTTTCTTTTTAAATATTTAAAAAACTCTTTAATAATGTGGATAAAACAGGAATTATGAGTTTTTCTGCAGATATCTGCAGATCTCTGCAGATATCTGCAGATCTGCAGGTTCAAAGCTAAAAGTGTTGCACCAAAAGCAGAAACAAACTTTCAGTTTTACAGATTTTTTGCATGGCAAATAAAAATGATCTGATATTTTTGTAAAACGACAGAATCCAAACACTGACTTTGACCTTTGACCTAAGGTCTTCTCTGAGCTCATTGTTGATCTTGTGTTAACACGCGCCTGTATGCTCCAGACCAACGCTCCTGGTCACACTCATGATGTTTATTATTTCTGTTGTGTGAAGTCAAACTGAACTCTGCTGGGATGTTTGCATTCCCTCTTTCCCTCTTTCATCAAATCAGTTGGAAAAATCTTTGACTTTGCAGAAATTTCACATGGATTTGAATCTGCTGATGAAAACACTGATGACTGAGGGTCAAGGTGATGTCTGAAATGCTTTGTGTGGGATTTTTGTTCCATGCCCATTGGTGATAAAACCAAAAGGAGGTGAAAACCAGATTAGATCTTTCCCAACATCCCGGGTTGCCTCCTGTTGGTTTTATACCACCCAGTGCCATAAATGTGAGGCTGAAACCTCAGGAACGTTGTGAAAGTTTGGATTATTGGTGACCATCACCAACAAAAACAGCTTTCAGCTGAAACGAGGGACTAAATCAAACTGATGTGATCCACCAGGAGGGCTGAGTAAGATCAGCTCAGACCCGGTGAAGGCCATGAACGACGCCGTGGAGGAATCCACAAACGTCATCAGCTCAGTATTCCGGTTTGCTGCAAACCTCATCGCTCCGGAGGACGAAGGTAGAGATGAAGAAAGCTCTAAACTGCTTTAGGAGATTTCTTTGGATTTACTGTTTTTCCTCCTCTTTTCAGGAAACTTATACGCAGTGAGGAAGAAAGGTTTGCAGCTGTTGCATCTTTGAGGATTCAACAGAAAAAGAACGATAAAGTTTCATTTTTTTCTATTTCTGTCCTGCAGGAGAATTTCTACCATCAAGAAGTAAAGGTCAGAAACTCTCAGGCTTTTTTTATTGTGACAAAACGGTCGGAGGAGGTTTGAGATGTTTTAGTGAAAAATCGTGAATATAAAAACGAACCTGGAGGCTTAAACATTCACGGCAGAGACAAAAGCTGCAGTTTTTACTTTTTAACGTTTCATTTCATCATTAAATAATAGAAAAATTTGTCAAATTAAGTAAATATTTTTATTTATTTAATGACTTAAACAAGAAAACTGAGATCATTAAAAAGAGAAAAGCTCAATCTTTTTATTTCAGTTCTTGGAATGAATGCAAAGAAAAGACTGGAGGAGATACAAGAAGAGGAAGAGGAGGAGGAAGAGGTGGAGGAAGGAGAGGTGGAGGAGGGAGAGGAAGAGGGGGGTGAAGAGGTGGAGGAGGGAGAGGAGGTGGAGGAGGGAGAGGAAGGAGAAGAAGAGGAGGAGGAGTACGAAGAGGAGTACGATGAGGAGTATGATGAGGAAGAATATGAAGAGGAATATGAGGAGGAAGAATTTGATGAGGAAGATGAGGAGGAAGAATTTGATGAGGAAGATGAGGAGGAAGAATTTGATGAGGAAGATGAGGAGGTGGGAGCAGATGGGGAGGAGGAAATAGAAGAAGGAGATCAGGAGGAGAAGGAAGACAAAGTAGAAGCAGAAGACAATGAAGACGGAGATGAAGAAGAGGAGGAGATGGGAGCAGATGAGGAGGATGAAATAGAGGAAGGAGAAGAAAGAGAAAAGGAGGAAGAAGAGGAGGGTGTAGAAGGTAAAGAAAAGGAAGATGAAGAAGAGGAGGAGGAGGAAGCAGATGAGGAGGATGAAGAAGTAAAAGGTGTGGCTGAGGATGAAGTCACAGAAGCTGCTGCTGAAGAGCAGGATGCAGCAGAGGAGGAGGCAGATGAAGAGGGAAAAAAGGATGAAGATGATGAAGAGCCTCTATCAGCTGCAGCAGAAGCTGAGGTGGAGAAGGAAGATGAAGACGAGGCCACTGAGGAAGAGGAAAAAGTTTCTCCAGAACCTATTTCCACCTCTGATGACGAACAGTCACCTCTATCATCTGATTCCGATTCCGACATTCCCGTTGGCATCGAGGACAGTGATGAAGATCTGACTCTGCCTGATGAAGACGAGGGAAAAGATGAAGATAGTGATGACAACTTTGTTGACTCCTCAGACATCAGCGAGTCAGGACTTCTCTCAAGTGACGAAGAGGAGGAAGTTGATGAAGATGAGAGTGATGAGGTCACTGATGATGCAGCAGTTCCCAGAGACGATGAGGAGGATGAGGATCGGAAACTAGCAGGCGAGGAAGACCTTTCTCCTCCTTCTGTCGAGGAGGATGGTGAAGATGACGATGAAGATGATGATCTGGACCTATCAGACGACGGCGTGTCTGTTGCCACTTCTGAACATTTCGCAGATGATGAAGATGAAGATGAGGAAGACACTAAAGATGACGACTTTGACAAAGATGTCCTCATCGAGCATAAAGACGATGAAGATGAGGACAAACCTGATGATGATGATGATGATGATGATGATGACAAAGAGAAAAAGGAAGAAGAGGAAGAAATCCCTCCCGCTGTGAGCTCAGACACAGGAGTCCTGGGTGATGAAGATGATGACATTGATCTGAAACCTGATGAAGACTCTGTTGGAGACAGTGACCTTAGTGAGGACACGACTGATGAAGATGATGAAGATGTTGACTCGAGTTCACAGGAGGAAGAAAAAGAAGCAATAGAAAAGATTGTTGGAAGCCAGGAAGACGAACCTGTAGAGGGAAAACCATCAGCTGAGGAAGTGGATGCTGATGAAGAAGATGATGAAGATGATGATGATGGGGTGAAGGACGTCCTGCTTGCAGGTAAAACAAATTTTTATCATATTAAAAAACACGAAACGTTTCAAATTATTTTGGAATTCTTTTAGTTTTTAATTATTTCCTATAAAATGAGACAATTTTGTCCTTTTTTCCTTTCTGTGGTGAACGAGAGTTTGTTGTTTATTAGTTGTTTGTTCTGCTGCATCAACAACAACAACAACAAGACTGCAGGATGCTTTCAAACCTTGAATTGGCATTTTTCCACACCTATTTTGTTTTGTGACAGGAAACAAGACGAGTCAGTAATCCTAACTTTACTTTATAAAAGAAAAAAATTAACAATAAAAGAACATAAATGATACATTTTTAACTTGAAAAACCAAAACATTAAACAAAATTAAAAATAAAACCTTAAGAGAGAATGTGAGTTTTTACCGTTAATCTCTGGAAATATCCACCGATAGCCATCGTTGGAAAAGAATGAAATGATGGCGAGTTGCTTTATAACCATAAAGATCAATGTCCGAAATACCTGGGGGCGGGTCGACGTTTCTGAGCGACGCCATGCTAGACACAATGTTTCCTTCTACGGGAGCCCGTGAGGACAAAACGCATTTACTGCGATTCCAAAACCGTTCATAAACAGCAGCTACGCTTACATGCACCACATTTCTAAATCTCTGTTTAGATGGACTCTGACTGAAATAATCCCATCATGCTGTGAGTTAATTCAGTCAGATTAAATAGCTTGAGCATGCTCAGATTTGTAAAGCATCGCCATCTTGTCCGCACGTCTTTTCACGCGCATTTTACTTTCTTATTCTCGAGCTTTGTCCGTAGTTTGACATTTGCAGCGGTTTTTGAGTTGGTCGATACTTTTGGTGAATTCCCGCTTCCTGCGCCTTTAGACGCACTTGAGTGTATAACTCAGCTTTTCTAGCCTTTCGCCATTGGGATGTTCAATAAGTGGAGCTCCCGCAGAGAGACCTCTTCTGTTCACTTCCATGTTTTCCACTTGTCTGCAAAGGCGGAAGGACGTGAAGCTGAAGTTGCACACAGTGGGCATTATGTTACCCCAACAATCCGAACGGGCGTGGACACGGACATCAGTTGGAATGATGATAAGACAAAACGACCTTTCAATCGGAAGGAAATTTCATTCCAATCGGGCCGTATTGGGTCAAAATATTCCGACTGACATGAAGAATTTTTGATCCGATAGGCGCTCATTGGGATTAGGGTTAGGATTGTCCTTTTTCTGGAGGTTGAGATCCCAGGTACAGCTGCAGTTTTCCCTGGCCCGCTAGGGAAGAAGAAGAAGAAGAAGAAGAAGAAGAAGAAGAAGAAGAAGAAGAAGAAGAAGAAGAAGAAGAAGAAGAAGAAGAAGAAGATATAATTTCTACAGCGCCTGTCAAGATAAAAATCACGAGGCGCTTCACAAAAACAAAAAATGTAAAAATATAAAAAAGAATTTAGAAAATGATTAAAAAAATATTTTAAATGAGCAAAAAATAGACAATTGTGATTAAAAATGGTTAAGAAAGAGAGAAGGTGAATAGGAAAGAGGGAAATTAGTGGATCCTGAGGAAGGTGGAATAGGTGGGAAGAGCAGAATAAAGAGAGAGTGGTGAAGAAGGCCATACAAAAGCCAGCTTGAACAAATGGTAAATGGTAAATGGCCTGTATTTGATATAGCGCCTTCTAGAGTCCTAGAACCCCCCAAGGTGCTTTACAACACAATCAGTCATTCACCCATTCACACACACATTCACACACTGGTGGGGATGAGCTACAATGTAGCCACAGCTGCCCTGGGGCGCACTGACAGAGGCGAGTGAGTCTTCAGCTGCTGGGAGAGAGGTTCAGAGTCTGGGGGCCACAGCAGCAGATGATCTGTCACCTTTGACCTTTAGCCTGGTGCGTTGCACAACCAGTAGGCTTTGATCACTGGACCTCAGGGACCTGCTGGGGGTGTAGGGACTAAGAAGATCACCAATGTAAGATGGTGCTTGTCCATGTAAGGCCCTATAGACCAGAACCAGGATCTTGAAATGAACCCTGAAGTTGACTGGCAGCCAATGAAGCTGGAGGAGAAGCGGGGTGATGGCAAGGGAAAAGACAGACCGTCACTTTAAAATGATAATAAAATAATGTTTTTATAAATGAAACATCTGAAAGAAAAATAGAAAGCTAAGTGAAAAAATGAACAAAACCTTAAATATCAATAGATTTTCAGAACAAAGTCACTCAAAATGAGCCACAACTTCATATTAAAGCTATTTTATTTAAATAAACTGAATGAAACTTTAGTGTTCCACATGGAAAAGTAGCTGCCAGCTCATTTTTTCCTTTATCAGCCAACAAAACTGTAGCTGGGAGTCATTTACAAGAGTGTTTTTTTTGTGGTGAAGGTCGTTGTGGTACTGGAAAAAGAGCAGAAGGTTGCTGGTTCAATTCCAAACCACCTTTATCCTAAAACTTCCTGTGGAAACAGGAGAAAGCCTGAAAGATACGTTATGGTTAAATAAAAACCCAAACTTCACTCAGCCTATGATTTTAACTCAACGTGATGTCCATCCGTGGATGGATGCATGATTTAAGAGCCAAAACACAGTTCAGACAGAACGAGACACCTGTTCAGGTAAAATGTGTAAATAAAGCTCATGTCTGTGTTTCTGATCTACGTTTTATTTAAGCTAACTTGTATTTTATGTCATTTACTTTGAAGCTGTAGCTGCAGCGGCGCTCTCTGCCCAGCAGGAGGCGGTAAAGACTGAGGCAGACGATGCTGAGGATGAAGATGAGCTCCAGCAGGCTGATGAAGACAAGAAGGAAGAGAAGGATGGAGCAGATGAAGCTGGTGAGTGATGCGTGCTCGTTAAAAGGTTTTACTGAGTTTTTATTAATTATCCACCTCACCCCACCCCCACAGCTCCTCAGGAGGACCAGGAGGAGGGAGGAGAACCTGTGAGTGAGCCTCAGAAATCTACAGACAAACCTGAAGAGGAGGAGGAAGAGTTTGATGAAGATGATGATGAGGAGGGAAAGGCAACAGTGGACGTGATTAAACCTGTGCCTGAACCTGAGGAGGAGCCTTCAGGTGAGGCGTGGGGGACGGAGGAGGACAGAGGAGGACAATTTCAGTTTTAATTTTGATGTCTTTGCTTCAGTTTGTCCCTGTTCACTCCCCAAGACTAAAGACAGTTTGTCCAAGACGGCAGAAAAAAAAGGTTTGTAAAGTTTTGACTTGTTTTTGGTGCCTTTAAACCAGGCAGGTGTCCAAATAGTGGCCTGTGGGCCGTTTGTGGCCAGACTTTTCTCGGTCCAGCTCAGAGAATCCCTCCTTTAACTCATTCACTGCCAGTGACGACTAAAGCCGTCATTTGTATTTTTTTTACTGTGTGGGCGTCGGACGAGCCCCCGCACCGTGAGAACAAACATCCCAGCTCTAAAGCCGATCTTCATCCTCATACGTCACACGTCACGTGATCAGGAAGCAGAACATCCATGTGTTAGGAGATCGTTTTGGGCCGCTGCTCTAAAAAAAGTGAGGCGTGAAGCGAAAAAGCTTCTGCCGATCACAATTCAACAACGGATTATGAAAAAACGGATAACGCTCGAAACGAAGGGATTCTTCCTGATGTAAGAGGTGAGTCTGCGCTTTGTTTTGGTTGTTTTGGCGTCGACATCATCCTAGTGCGCAACGTTGTGTGACTCTTAAAAAACAGTAAAAACAGTGAGAAACGCTGGCAGCGAATGAGTTAACATACAAACAAACGCCCCCTTTTGTAGCCCACAGCAGCATGCTCACCTGCAACACACCTGGCTACCTGAGATCACCTGCTACACGTTCACCATCGGAACTAAAACGTGTGGTTTCTGTTTCCAGACGCTCCCAGGAGGGTTTCAGCTGTGAGACGGAAAAAAGGTAAGACACAATAAACACATTCATTCCCACAAAAGGAGTTCCTAAGTGAACAAAGTTTCATTTGACTTGACAGATTGTGTTTTTTTTTATTAAAATCTGCCCAGCTGAGTTTGTTTAGCAGATAATTATTTATTTGTTCTGGTTTTACTTCAAGAGAAAGAAGCTGTGAGGAAAGATGAAAAGCCCAGAAGAGAAGGTAAAGCGTTTCCTCCGCTGGATCTCAGCATTCCCGTTTTCAGCTCCAATAACCTGAGTTTGTTTTCCAGCTCTTCCCAGAATCGTCATGGAGCCAAAAGTGCGACAGATCAGGAGGCTGGCTCCGCTCCTGAAAGGTAGAAACTTCATTCTGATCATTCCCTAAATCAAAACCTCAATAAGTAAGTTTTCCTTTCTAAACAAGCCAAGATAAAGGAAAAGGCCAGGACTTCAAAAGCAGGTCAGTGATAAATAAAGACAAATAAACTCATAACTTGAAACAAAAATAAATAAATGATTGTCTGTTTTTGATCTCAGAGACAAAAACTAAACAACAGGAACCAGCGCCTGATTCTGCTCAGGAAGGTAAAACATTTAAACAAACTCAACATGAACGTTTTGTCTCTGGAAACTAAAAGTTAAGCTGCTTGTTTTTGAACACATAAACTTTATTGATCTGATTTCCGTGACAGTTGGCCCCTGCAGACCGGCGCCGGTCTACTGCCCGTCTCCTCCCGGCTGGTATGGTAAGTCACACCGACCCTCCATTTGTGGAATTTTATTCCACCTGCTGACGTTTGGTTTGATTCCCAGTTCATCACATCGTCACGGACAACCCATATCCTCCTCCCACCATGCCAGGTAACCACACCCACATCCTGCCACATCATCACAAGGGCTGCATGGTGGCGCAGTGGTTAGCACTGTTGCCTCGCAGCACGAAGGTCGCAGGTTCAAAACTCGCCTTTCTGCGTGGAGTTGCGTGTTCTCCCCATGCATGCGTGGGTTTTCTCCGGGTACTCTGGTTTCCCCCACAGATCACAACATGCCCTATAGGTTAAAAAAAAAAAATATTGTAAGTCGCTTTGGGTAAAAGCGTCTGCTAAGCACATAAGCAACATAAACAACAACAACACAAGTCTTTACTTTTCTCTAATCTGGTGAAAAATGAAACAAGCTTTACGTTTTCTCAGCTCCGTCTGCTCCGGTGGTGACCGTCCATCCGGGAGCTTCGCCGATCCAGCCTCCTCATCAGCAGCAGCCTCCTCTTCCTCTGCTGATGCAGCCGCTTTACTACCAGCCATACCCGCCTCCAGTTCAACCAGTGACGCCTCCTCCGGCAGAACCGGCTCAGCCAGTGCAGCCAGTGGAGCCTGAGACCCCCAAACCAGAACCTCCGGTTGAACCTGAGGAGCCAACTCCAGCTGCTAAAGGTCAGCCAGCTGCAGCTGTTGTTCAGCGTAAGCATAAATAAATAAATAATTTAATAATTTAATAAATGAACAATTTAATAATTCCATAAACAAATATATAAATACATATTTTATTTATTTAATAAATATAATGTTATTATTTTATTAATAAATATTTAAATAAATAAATACATAATTTCTTAATAAACAAACACATAAATCAATATTACATAAATAAATACAAAATAAATAGATTAATATTTTAATAAATTAACCATTTTTTAATTAAATAAATAAATTAACAACTACATAAATAAATAAATACATAAATAACTAAATGAGTGAGTGAGTGAGTGAGTGAGTGAGTGAGTGAGTGAGAGTTAAAGACCCAAGCAGCTGATGACAACAAGCAAGAAAACATTTAAACCCAATAAATTTAATATGTTTTTCTTTTGAATCAAACATTTTTTAACAAAAATAAGATTTTTCTTCCTTTTTCAGAAGCAAACACGACTGCAGGAGCAAAACCCGACTTCTCTACGAAAGGTAGAAACGAAGATGTTAATCTTAATTACAGCAACAAACAATAATTAGTGTCTCATTATGTTTCAGCTGTGAAGAAGAGAACCAAATCCACTGACTCAGCCAAAGGTACCTTCTGCTTCTACCTCCAGTGAATTAAGGCTGCAGTCATCAGAAACGACGACACAAAGAGCTCTGGGACCGTTTATTTATTCAGGAAAATTCACTTTTATGGTTGTTTTATTGTGATTTTCTCCTCAGAGTCTCCAGCATCTAAAGTTGGAACGAAGAGAGGTAATTCCTGCAACCGATGAGCCACTTAATGGTTTCATCAGCAAATAATAAGGAAATAAGAATCTGTAGAATTAACAACAAATTCATTTTGTTTACGTTGAATGCCATCAGCTGTTATGTTTATTTCCACAGAAGCAAATCGACAGAAAACAAAAGTTTCTGCTGTAGCTCAGAAAGGTAAAGTAGTCAAATAAAATATAATAAAATCAAATCTTTGAAAATGTTTTTTTTCCCACAGTTAAACAAGAGAACAAAGTTCCTGTAGTGGCAAAGAAAGGTAAAACTTCTGAGTTTAAGGTTGAAAGACTTTATTGATAAACAACGCGGAACAATTTGATTTTATTTCTTCATATTTTTTGAAAACGTTGTTTTCTACAGAGAAGATGGCGAAAAACGAGAAAAAAGTTTCTGCTGTTGAAAGAAAAGGTAATTTTTAAAATTCATTACAAAAAACATAAAACAACAATAAACATTATGTACAATTATTATTATTTTTTATTTGGCAAAAATCTCTGTCTTTGCAGAGCCGTCAACAAAAAAAGCAGCTAAGAAAGGTAAAAAAATTACACTTTGCTTAAAAAAAACAGAAGGGAAAACATTTTTTACATCTTTGCTTTCCATAGAGACGCCTGCAAAAAAGAGAACGGCTACACAGACAGGTAGGTCTTCTGACTGAAACAATCTGCTCTGACTTGAGGTGAAACCCTCATTTCCATAATAATCTGATCCGTCAGCGCCTGCAGCTGTAAAACACACGAGGAAATCAGCATCTGGGAAGAAGACGGCGTGTAACGAGCCTTGCTGAAAAATGCCGTCATGTCAGAGAACTCACAGCTGATTGGAGAATAATTGTTTTTCATCTCTCTGCAGCTTCAGCCGTCAGGAGCAAAGCCAATAAGAAAGGTGGGATTCTGCTCTCGTTTTATTGTTTTAGTTTTAGGTGATTTTCTGTTTAAGATGCCCTTCCCACAGCTTCAGGACCACATCTGCATCCCATTAGACTGAGAACACGACTGCAGAGCCACAGAACAGCGAACGCCACGTCTCAGCAGGAGAAAGAAAAACCCGCCAGACCCTCAACTAAACCAGGTTTGACCTTTTCAAGTTTATGTCTTTTAAATTATGTGATGTTTATTATTTATTCATTCATTCATCATCAGATGAAACCAGGTCAGAACCAGCAGCTGGACAGAAAGGTTAGGGTTGTTAGCTGCTTCTGTGGCATAAATATTGTTTTTAACCTTTTCAGCAACAACAACAACAACAAAATAATGATGCTGTGAGAATAAAATCAAAATGTTGAGTCACAACAAAATAATAATCAGGCATCTTTTTCAGACTCCTTCTGATGCAGCATTTGCAGAAGGATTCCTTTAGATTTTCACAATAAGAGTCTAAAACACATCTTAACACATCAGAAGTTCATAAAAATAATTTATTAATGTGGCTTTCTGGTGAAACTCATATAATTGATTCATTTGATACATTTTGGATGATTTTAGGCAACATTTTTAAGTTTGACTCTTATTGTGAAGGAGTAAAACTTGTTCTGGGTTCCTCTTGAAATGAAAGTAGCAAAAAGATGTTTTACGATTTATTATGACTCGTTTCTGTTATTGGTTTGAGTCTCACCGTTAAGATATCTGATTGTTATTCAGTCATGGCTCTTTTGGAAACAGGAAGTTGACTTTTGCCTTAAGATGTTAAACATTTACTGAAAACAGATAAAACCTGAAGCCGATCTGCAGAAAAAAAACCCAACTGTGTTACACTAAAAGAAAAAGCGTCTAAGAAAACGGAACATGAAGCCAAAAAGAAAGAAAACCAACATCCTAGCAAACCTGTTGGATGAATCTGAGAGAATCTCGTGGAAAACAGCCCAGATTATGACGTTGAAGCTGTTTTACGCCTGATGAAGCCGTTTTAATCTGAAGGAGAAAACATTGCAGCTTCATGCTGGAAATTTCCTCCAGATGGTCATTTTTCTGTTTCTTCTCCCACAGACAAAACTGTAAAACCTGAGAAGAAATCAGTGAAAGAAGCTGAAGGTTTGGAGTCAGAATTGTTTTTTGTATTTTGGGAAATTTTCCCTAAAATGCTGATCAACTTTTCCTGTTTCAGATCAAGAGAAACAACCAGAAACGGGTAAGAATGAAGAAAAGAGCAGAAGAGTCCAACCACCGATGATGCAAGCGTTTTCAAATAACTTTATTAATCAGATGTAGCCGACGTGAGATCTCCTCTCCACCCTTTTCCCTGGGAGGGTCAGATTATTATGGATTATTTGGACATTTTCACTTTTCAAGGTCGTTCATGATGGAACTCCCACTTCCTCCCCTGTTAACATTGTTTTAATCTCAACCATCTCTAATCTGAGTTTACCTTCTCACTCAGACACGTTCATCCCGCCTCAGCTGGTTTCATCTTTACTTCTTGCAGGAAAACTTCAGACTGAAGAAAACATCACAGAGAAGAAGAAACAGAGTAAGAGTTTCTGATCAATAAGAGCAAATATATGAGTGAATCATCTTTGGCCTTCTCGGATTAAATCCCCCTAAATTATGTTGGAATTAATCCAGTAATCTCCACCTTGCTGTTTTTCACAGGTCAGAAATTTTTCCAGTGCATCTATTTTCCGGGGAAGCACGCACACTACCCTTTACGACCTTTCACCCCGGCCATGTCCCCCGCCATGTTGTCCCCTGCTGTGAGGTCGATGCTGGAGCAGCAGAGAGCAGCCAGAGCCTCGGGACAGTAGGACACAGACTTCCTGTCCAGCTGAGGGACAGGAGGACCCTTTTGTCCACAACTGTTTAATCTTTACTCTTATTTTTTTCAGTGGTTGAGCTCCCAGAGTCTCTGCTACTCCGCCACACTTCCTCTTCTGCGTCAACTCCGTGTAAATAGCTCTGTAAAGTAAAGGATAACATCAGAAATTCCTATCTGGAAAATCAAGATTCAGAATTTATGGTCAGGTTTTCCACACCATCTCAAACCCAGGAGCTTTTCCCCAACACCAAACATCCATCGCCGTCATCCAGCTGCAGCCTGCAGGCGAGTCGCCTTCAGGTGTTTGTTTTTCATTCAGGATGACTTTATGTTTTTCATTTGCTGCACAAATCCAAACGTTTCAATGCAAATTTTTTAGGTTTAGGAAAACAAAAGGATGCACAGCTGCTCACATGAAAACTAAAATCACACAGAAATGAGAAATAATGTTAAAACCAGTTTTACTGTATTCTTTGGTTTAAATAACCCAGTGGTCCGTAAGATGGATTTCATACTCGATATGCAATCTTAATGTCTCACGGTCCTTAATTAGATGTAATTTAGATGTAAATTAACTTCATTACATTCAAAATTTAGATAAAGAATTCTACAAACTAAAGCAATAAAACAAAACAACCAAGCTGCATGTATTAAACAGAACAGTGTTTATTAATAATTCAAGCTACAATGTGATCAGACTCTATAATGAACTAAAAATCCTGTTTTTATTCTGATACATTTATATAATAAAAACACATTAAGGCGATGAAAACTTGTTCAAATTCAGGATAAATCTGCAATCATTTTATATTTTAAAACAACAACTCAGTGATTTTTCCGCGGTGCGTTCAGGGGCAGGGGGAACCACAGGACAACGATTATATGACCAACAAGAGACGCTGCGGAGTCGCTGCAGTGAATGAATGTAGTTTTGTTTTTCTTATCAGCTTTTTAACTGCAGCCCAAAAGAAGCTGCTCGCTTACTTCACCTGATTTGGCGTTTTCACGGCTGTTAGTGAGCTTTTTCACCAGAAACCTCCCGTTGTGTCTTATTGAACACACTCCAGATGTTTCTGTGAACAAAGGGGAACTAGTGCACCGGAGGAGCCACTCCTAACCGTCCCTCCTAGATGGGATTTTACCCTCTGATGTTGCTTCATGAATGTTTTTTTTAAACAACCGAGTCAGTTTCACCTGAGAATTATGAAGCAAAGCAACTTTCTGATGATCTGAACAAGTGAAGTTACGGAACTGAACTTTTATGTCCTGAAGGCAAGAGAAGTGATCAAATGCAGATGCTGAGTTTGTAAAGTGAACCAGGAGGAGATGTTTCATCTGGATAATGTGATGTTTGGGTTTCTCCAGCATTAAGGACGCTACGGGCCTCCATCAGCAGCTGACATGTGTTTTTATCGTCTCCTGCTCGATCTCTGGTGTGAATCCTGTGTGTCCTTTTTAGACATCCTTAGATTTCAGGCAAACGTTTTCACTCTTCTGATAGATGGTCCCAGGAAACGCACATCGCTAAAGTTAGCTTCTGATTTGGAACTTTAACTATTTGGGTCATCTTTCTTTATCTCTGCTACAGCAGCAAAATGTACTAAAATGTCCCAGAAATGACATTTGTGAAATTTTTAGTGAAGATTAATCTAATTCTGCACAGTCAAAGTTTTGCAGGTTTTGAACTAGAATTGATCAAAAATAACCCCAAAGTAAAAGAGCTAAATTGGTAGGTAACTTTAGCATTTTTCATGTTACCTGATGTCATTTTCCACAAATTTTTGAATGCCTGAAGATTTCTGAAATTTATTTATTTATTTATTTGTTTGTTTTATCGAACACTTCTCCCTTGATACTTGATGCTTTTTGTCCAGTGGAGTCTTCATCCCTGACACCTGATGCTACCTTCTGGTGGATTTTTCTTCTTCTGACATCTTTTCCTCTCAGGAGTGGACGCTTTTATTTTGACACCTGATAGCTGTTGCTTTTTGTTTAACCTGATGTTCCTCATCTGACAGAATTTTTTCCCATTTTTTGATGTTTTTATTGTCTGACTTTTTTTTTCCTGACACCTGTTTGGTCTGAGGACATCTCCGTGACAATTAAAGTTGTCCTAAGAGAGACACCATAACAGGAAGAAACCATTTCTGCTGAGATGTAGATGAAATGTCTTTCTGAGTGAAGCAGTGGAAGGTTTTCGGTCATCAAATTGATTTAAACAAAGTTTTTCAGCTATTATGTAGTTTAAGGAAAACTCTTTGATGTTAGAACGAACACAAGGAAAGGAAGATGGAGAAATCAGTCAGATCTTATAAAGTCTGGTTTTGTTCCAATCTTCATGTTTTCACACTGATTTTTGCCCTTAAATCAGGCAGAAAACTGGTCTAAGCTTGAGCAAGTCCCTGATAAACAGGTTTGTTTTTGTGCATGTTCCTCTGAAGAAGCCTCGCTGTGATAGAACGTTTTATTACTGTGCATCTCTTTGATTTGCTGCCGTTTTCCTTTCTTTTCTGTTTCACTTTGCTCAGAGACATGATCATATTTACTGATCTGGGTCTTCGGGCAGAAACATCTTTGTCCTGTAGCTCTGAAACACCACGGAGCAGTTTGTGGGAATGTTTTTGTTGTAAAATTTCTTATTTTCCTATTTTATTTCTACTCCTAAGACAGTATCTCACACAGCTGCAACCTTTTATTGTGACATCATGTGGGAACAAACCACAAAGTTACAAGACCATCATGCAGATTTACTTTCAGCTGTTGTCTCATGAAGTTTACCAAATTTCTCTTAGTTTGTTTGTCAAACCTCCACGTTTTAAACACTTTCTGACTCATAGAATCTGGAGTGAAAAGAGGTTGAAACCAGCCCCAGACCACATGAAATGACCCCGCTGTGAGAGGATAGGATTCTGGATGCTGCCAACACCAACTGTTGCAGCCTGGTGGGATACATGTGCCTCTGCTATAACCTTTGGTGCTTCGTACTCGACTTTTGACTAACCTTATAGCTTCAAGTTGAAGTTCTCTGCTAAGATTTTTAGCTCCGAGAGCCAAAAGATACTGTTTCTGAAGCTCTTAAATTATATTAAACAGATAGAGTTCCCAGTGAGGACACAAGTCAGCTGATGAGACCATGCTGTGTGTGTTTATCAGTTTACTGTTAGGCTAAATTTCATTTATTCTAAAGGATCGTATTACAGCAGATGCTGAAAAACTAATGCTAAGGGCACAAATTCAGAAAAGATGCATTATGATGATTTATTTTACAAAAACACACCAAAAATGTCTCCTTTATCCATGTTTTCAGTCTTAATGCTATGCTAGGCTAGCTCATGCTAACAGTTTGTAGATATAAATATGTGATTTTTCTTTTGAGTGATTTAAAATGTTCTTTTAGTAGAAAATGATGTTTGTTTTTTCCTCCAAAGGACAAACTTGAAGTTCATAATCAGCAACAGCTTTTGTTCGTACCTGGCTGTTGCCATTTTGAAAACTAAAACTTTATTGTTCAGTATATAAAATAAACAAATTTTACGTCTTCATCCTTTTTTTCACATATTTCTGAGGCATTTTCTCACATTTTGTTCAGTTTAAAGTTGCTTTATGTGGAATTTTAGGATTCTGTTGCACAAATATAAAATTAGCTTTTGTTTCCTGAGAAAGTAAAGAGCAAGTCACACCAAATCGACTTTTTTTCTGATAAACTATATAAATGCGTCTCTAATCGTGTTGCAGACACGCATAGTCAATAGTTTTGCACTTTAGTGCATTTTAGTTAAAATTTAAAAATTTCTGCCTAATGCTGTCAGTGTTGTACCATTGTCAGGTAAAAATGCACTGCATTTGAATTTAAATCTGCCATCGCTATTGGTTAAGAGGTACCCTAGAACGTTAGCTAGTACAATATGATGTCACCATGTTGTTGTGAGCCTGTGTATGTGTGTATTTGTTAGCGGCTCCGCCCTCTCGGTCTGCTAGGCAACAGCATTTGTTGCATTTTTCAAACAGGAAGTGGGAGTTGAGTAAGAATCTGGTAGGGGGTGACTTGCTCTTTAAATAAATGTAAAAGAAATGATGTAAAAATACCACTTTTGATTATATTGCAGCAAAAAGAGTGAATTTATCTAAAATAATAGATTTTTAATTTGTGGCATGACTCAGCTTATTTACTTTGTTTTATTTTTTAAAGGTTTTGAGCACGATTGTAATTAAAATAAAGAAAAACCAACATAGAACATATTTGTGAGCTTTATGCTAGCTCCACTGTATAAAAACACAGCCGGTTATGATTGTTTAATATTTGTATATAATATGAAATAATGTTGTTTGATGCTTATTGAGACAAGCAGCCTGATCCCATCACTTTTCAGCTGGATGCTAATCTTTGAGGGACGTTGTTGCCCAGTGAAATGTGGAATAGTTTATTCATGGAGTTTTTTGTGTGTCATACTTTAAATAAATCTTTAGACTTTATTGTGTCTCATGATCATTATTTTCATCTGTGTGAAAGAAACTGGTGTGAGGATGCAGTCAGAAATGTATTTTAGATGCACCTGCCACACCTGTTCAATAACAAATATCTGATCAACCAACCAGATGATTTTAGATGTTTTATGACCACATGGACCCATCATAACTGGTTTCTATAACATGACCATGAGTTCACCGGACTCCAACGGCCTCCACAGTCACCAGACCTCAGACCAGTCCAGAACCTCTGGGATGTGGTGGAAACGTCGGTGGAACAGGATGGATGGAGCTGATATCAGGATGGACCAGAACCTCTGGGGGAGACCTTGTTGGATCAATGACCATTAAGGTTGTTTTGATTGAGAAACCTTTTTAATTTAGAGGTTAGTCTTCTAAAATCTCTTCAAAATAAGAGTCCATCTTCTGCTCATTCGGTTTAAAGAGTCTGAGAAAAAAATGGCAGAAATCTTAAAAACAAGAGAAAGCAGACTAATGAGAAAATGTCCGTCTTTATTTTGATCATTTTACATTTCATCAAATTTTCTTTAAGGACATTCTTACATAGAACACCTGCTAACTGAACAGTTTCTGTTCCTATAATAAACCGGCTTTCCATAATAACGTCACAAATCTGCCTTAGCGTGGTCATCCTACAGCTCCTACTGCAACTATACAATCAAAGAACAGTGCCATAAAAATCTGGTCAGTGAACGGAGAGTTATGCATTCATGTTTGCCGAAAATTTCAAAAAAGATCATTCAGTGTCTTCAGAGCACAAATACATGATCATCAGAAACAATACATTAGATTCTGAAAGGAAGAGGTGGCTTTGGCTGAGACAGGAACATTATTCAGTCAGTGAGAACAAGAAATCTTACAAAGTCAACACTTTTGCATCAAAGGTGGGGTGTCCAAGTGAAAAATAGTGCCTAAAACTATTCTGTGCATGTGTTGTCCAACAGCTTTTACTGTGAAAAATAAACAAATACAGTGTTTATAACTCTGAGATGCAAAAAAAGCAAAGAACATTTTCTGTACATCACTGGAAAAACACTTATTTAATCACTGTTTAGTGGCAAATACTTAAGATGATAACAAGAATAGACCAAAACCTGTATTTAGGTTTCAGGCATGGAGAGAATGTTCTCATTAAAGAGCAAGTCACCCCCAAATCAACATTTTTTTCTGATACACTATATAAATGTGTGTCTAATTGTGCTGCAGACACGTGGATTTTAGTTAAAATTTTAATTTTCTGCCTAACAGTGTTGTGTCGTTGTCAGGTAAAAACTCTGCACTGCATTTGAATTTAGATCTGCCATCACTATTGGCTAAGAGGTACCCTAGAACATTAGCTGGTACCATATGATGTCACAATGTTGTTGTGAGCCCGTGTGTGTGTATTTGTTAGCGGCTCCGCCCTCTCGGTCCGCTAGGCAACATTTGTTGCATTTTTCAAACAGGAAGTGGGAGTTGAGTAATACTCTGGTAGGGGGTGACTTGCTCTTTAAATAAAGAAAAAAGCAAAGCAGCTGTTAGCATGTTGATCATCGGCTGGAAAAGACTATCTTAAATTTGAGACAAAAGAATAAGAGAAGCTTTGCAGTTTCATCCTCCTGCAGACCACGTCAGAAACCACCATGGAGGTCCACGGCAGAGTCATGCAATCAGTGAGAGGTCTACTAGATGATAAGTAATTAATTTCTTTACAGCTAAAGTTAAAAGCAAGCTGCAAAGAGGACAAAAGATACCTAAAAAGACTCATTTCCTTCATATTTAAAGCTAAATATTGTTCGAAGCTGCTGGATGGGAGCATGGTGAAACTTTTGCGACTTGCACGAAGTCACTAAACAGGTTTGGTCATTTTTAGGATAAAAACAAATGTCAGAAATTCAAGGTAACATTTTGAATAGACCTTTTCACACTTTCTGGAAAAGGAACACAAGTAAAAGAAAAGTAAATGTAAAAATCCACCGGATCTTCCTGTAATCTTGTATATCATCTATTTATGATGAAATAAAAACTAAAAGCTCCAAAGACTCTAAACAACATTCATTTTGTTGGGCGCAAATTCACGTCTTAAAAACAAACACTTTTAAAATAACAATACTAATGAGTTGTGATTGTATCATCGCTATTTTTTATGGGACAACAAAATAACAAAGGTGCGTAAACTTTTGTTCTGCACAGAAACCCAGCTCAAAAGCAAATAAAAACGTTGTTTGTGTTTAGATGTTTAAATAAAGTTTTTACACGAACGAACCTCCAGGATGGTTTCCTGACTGGTTTTGATCCTTTTTGTCTTTTCCAGCTGGTTCCTAACGTCATCCCTAAAACTGCTGAGTCAGACTTTAAATCAACATAGAAAAACATTCAAAATGCTGATTTTTCATAAATAAAATCTACATCTAAACTGTTTACACACCAAACAGCACATACGCACCTGAAGTCTGTAATAACAGCATTTATAATCAATTATTGACACAAAAGTCTTGAGCATCACCAAATAAATATCTGTAGTAAAATTAAACATCTTCACCCAAGTGCGTTTCGTTGGCATTTACGTGTTTTTACATGAAACAGACTTTTAATATTTCACCCTTAAAACCATCAGCAGGCCTGCAGGAACCTCAGACGCTTGCTTCTTTCTCAGCTTTTACGTGTTTATTTCATGTAAACGTTGTATCCTAGCAACTGGAAGCATCTACAGTCAGTGTGTGTGTGTGTGTGTTCCTGTTCAGAGCTGTAATCTTTACTTTTTTTTTTTTTTTACTAATTCAGATTATTTGAATTCCCACTGTTCTGTTGTCTAGAAAAATAGACATTAATGATGTTTTTATGTGAAACAGAAATTAGATTCTGGATTATTTTAAAGGAAAAGTTCTGGTTATTCTAAACTAGTTCAGTTACAACGATGCATTTGGTAAAACATACGAGAGCCCTTACAGAAAAAAAACTATAGAAATGAATAATTATTTAAGTTCAGTGTGTTTCTTCCAGAATAAACTGGTTAAAAAAATCCCCAAAAAAGAGCTTTGGAGATTTTGTATTTCTGAAAAAATGGTGGCTACTTAAAAAAAAAAAAATTAAGATAATTTTCTCTTACAGAAAACAGATTATTGAAATATATGTTATTTTTAATTTGTGTCTCCTCCCAACTTGTCCATGAGTAAAAAAAACTAAACTGGGTCAGCTTTAGAAAATATATTTTTGTTTGCGTTTAAGTGCAGCTTATAATAATAATAATAATAATAATAATAATAATAATAATAATAATAATAATAATTATTATTATTATTATTATTATTATTGTTATTGTTATTATTATTATTGTTATTAATAACCTCACGGACACGATTTATTTATTTGTTCATAATCAAATAGGAATTACTGATATTTTGGGAATTCCATATGAACCCTTAATGTGCAAAAATAATCTGACAGAATAAAAACTTCCACAATAATTTCATGAACTTTTAAACAAAAGGAAAACGAAGGTTTGAGGAGGAGAAGAAAAAGTTAAATTTTCACGTGAAACTGAGTCAAGTAATAATTTTCATGACCAGTTCACAGGATTTTTGTTCTACTGCGTCGAACGGATTCAAAGAACATTTAAAGTTCCTGATCTGGACGCTGATCTGAGACCAGCACAGACGCGCATCAACAGGATGGTTTAACATTCCATCTGTTCTCCCACCTGATTCTTCCAGCCTGCCGGCTGATCTCTGAACAGCTCGGATGGCCTGGTCGGTTCTGCTCGACTCGTCAAAACCAACAATTTTCAGCCAGATTTTAACATTCAGCTGTTAAAAACATCCTTTGATTTGTGGAAAAGGAGGAACCAGAACAGCAGATGTGAAACTGTACAAAGTCAGAAATAGAGTTTGTGTCTTATCTCCTCTAATCTACGTTGTATTTAAATTATAATTTCTAAAAGTTCTAAATGTGGATCATCTCAAATAAAATTGTAATCTCTAAAAGTCTATATTCTGAATATTGATCATCTCAAATAAAATTAATCTATTTAAATATATTTGTACAGGAAATAAATGTAAAAAAACATTAAGATTATTTATGCTAACTTTACTTTTAACTGTGTTTATAATTACGACAACAACAACAATAAAAATACTGCAGGAGATGAAAAGTCTGTTGTGAGTGTATTCCCTGAATTTGCTGTGTTAAACTGGATGAAGTGGAGATAAAAATGTTTTATTATGAAGAATTTAACTGATTTAGTCATTGTTTTCTATTTGATGAACAGGAGTTTAACTAAATAAAAATTTTCTGGGTATTATTTTCAATTTCTAAATTTAAACCATTTAGATATTATCTGAAATTTATCAGATAGGAAGAAGAAGGGAAATAATAGTAAGTTTCACAAAAAGAGGAAAAATATTAAGATTCGATTCAATTTTTCTCAGAAGAGCAAAACTGTGAAGTTTAGATTATTTCTACCTTTAACTGATCAACAACACGGTGAGGAAAACAGAATTACCACGTTTGATTGTTAATTAATTTATCCTAAATCAATAAAATGGTAAATTAACAAATAAATCTACAAGTTGAGGGAAAATATATAAAATTTGAAACCTAGAACTTTCAAATGCTCTCATCATGATGCAAAAATATCCCGAAATTCCAAATTCTTCTGTCTTTTAAAGTGAAAAGTTTAATGATTTAGAACAGGATTTTAAAATTCAGACGTTTTTCTTTTGTTTGTTTGAGTGGTTCCAATGTGAAAGATAGTCTGGATTCATGTGAAAGTAAGACATGCAACAATTCAGACTGAACTTCGGCATGAAAAAAGTTTCTGCCTTAACACGTAACACAAGTCGGTAACAAACCACATGGTCTGTTTAAGAGTTATCTGAAAAAATAAATAAACATTTTTAACATAGAGCCAAACACTGAAATAAATACATGCTTGCTGTAGCATCCCCTTTTGTCTGACTTCAGATCCCGGACAAGCCCCCAAATCTTTTTCAGTCCTTGCACAAAAATGCATAAAAACCTTACCTATATAAATGTTTTAAACAATGTTTAAAAATATTCCTACAAATAAAATATAAAGAGTTAGGAAACCCAACTAGAACAAATAAGAGGCTGAAATCTAACCACCGGCTGTTTCGAGGCTTTCTCCATTTTGTTTGTTTATGGATGTTATTTATATTAAATATACAGTTTAAAATTGTCTGGTACCAGTGAGTCATTTTAGTGTTTTAATGCAACAAACGTAGAATATTTTAACGTTTGCAGGATCTTAAATTTGAGGGATTTCATTACAGAGGACAAATGAAAGAGAAAACTGTTGGACTTTTCTGTTACAGGCCAGGATCTTTTATTGTTTCTACTTTGATAAAATTATTCTTAGCCCTATTCTTTTAGAATTTGGAAAATAAAACTCCTGTCCATCTTCTTCCAAACCAAAAGGATGTTGTGATGTGTTTGAGAAGAGCCTGCAGCTCTGTGGTTGTTCTAACGGCGGAGGAAAAGCACTGCGTTCTCGGACATCTGGGTCAGAACAAGAAAGAAAAATGGCCGAAGGGGAAAAAGCAGATGATTCATAGAGCCGACTCTTACCATAAAGGGAGGTTTGCTTTTCCAGGAGACAACTGGAGCGAGACTGAAAGTTTTGGATGTAATTTTGTAGGAAAGATGTCATTCTCCCCTGAAAGGAAATGACCGATAAACCCGATAAAACCAGCGCCGGTTAGGGTGGAAGAGGTGGAAGCAGCCTTTTAACATCCTGTCTGGTTGTTCTGAGCCCTCTCTCCTGCCCAGAAGGAGAGACTTCTTCAATTACTTCGCAAAAAGAGACAAACACAAAGAATAATACTGCTGCTAGGAAGCTGTGGCCTGAATCCCTCGTTCTTCTGACCCTTCATCTGTACCACACGGCTCCTCCTCTGAGGTCTCAGACGCATCGTCTCTGCTTGTTCCGGATAATTCAAAGACGTCATTTTTACAGTTTCTGGAATTGGCACTTGACATGTAATCAAATAAATAAATATACTGAACAGAAGACCACCAGAAGCTCTGAGGTTGCCTTTGGGTCTGAGGAGAAGTCGCTCTGGTCGTCTGCTTTAGTCCAACAGCAGCAGAACGCTATGGAGGAAGCTGTTTCTGCAGAACAGGTGCACAGGTCGCTCAGTGTAGCTATGTGTCGGAGTACTGATTTGTTTGTGCCTCTGTGGCGTTTGGTGGGTTTAGTCCAGCGAGAGCAGTGGCTGCATGTTGTCCTCGTCGCTCTTCGCTTTGTCTGGTCTCTTCAGGACTCCTGGTTCCACCACCGACTGAGATCTGCACAAACGGAGATGATGGTCAGCACCGCCGACACCATCCTCTACGGGTCGGACGAGCAACCTCATCTTAGCAAACACAAAAAACTCAGCAAGGCTAATCAGTACTTGGTACCATGTTAGGAATCATGACTCATCAACACAAACAATAAACCAAATAACAAAGAAAGAAAACAATGAACTAAACACAAAATCTAAGTTACAAACGTTCATATAAAAGTTGATTATTACCTTTCTTAATATTTTTACACCGTTTCTATGTTTTCAACTGTACAACCCTCATTACTCCTAATGAGTACAAAAAGAAAACCAGAATTAAAAAAAAATATATATATAAATATTTATTTGCAGAAGATGAAGATTAAAGAGCAAGTCACCCCCTACCAGAGTATTACTCCACTCCCACTTCCTGTTTGAAAAATGCAACAAATGCTGTTGCCTAGCAGACCGAGAGGGCGGAGCCGCTAACAAATTCACACACACAGGCTCACAATGACATTGTGATATCATATGGTACCAGCTAACGTTCTAGGGTACCTCTTAGCCAATAGCGATGGCAGATTTAAATTCAAATGCAGTGCAGAGTTTTTACCTGACAACAGCACAACACTGACAGTTTTAGGCAGAAAATTTAACTAAAATGCACTAAAGTGCAAAACTATTGACTACACGTGTCTGCAGCACGACTAGACACACATTTATATAGTTTATCAGGGAGAAAAAAGTAGATTTGGAGGTGACTTACTCTTTAAAGCTGAAAACTCTTTATCCCTCTTACTGCTGATGCGTCGACGAAACATGGCTTCCATATTTAAATTACCGTAACTCTTAGACCACTTGTGCACTCAAACAGACTATCCATGTTGTACTTCATGCATGTGTAATATTAGAGTGTTTTTTTCCATATTTGTTCACGTCGTTTATTTTCCAGCTGTAGTTAGTTTGTTCGGCTGTGTTCTGTGGAGGTTTTTTGTTATATTTTACATTTGTGTTATACTTTGATTATCCAGATTTATTGAGGAGGAGCAAGATGGATGGTTTGGACATCACAACCTCCTTTTATTAGAGGTGTGGAGGTGCACTCTGGGCAACAAACACGTCCAGGATGTGCAAGAGTGCAACATGTGCAGCTGGTCAGCAGCAGGAGGCTTAAATCTGATTTTGCAGTTTCTGTTGACATTTTTCAGCTTGATTGCTTGAAAAAGAAAGAAATAAATCAGGACATAAATTAGTTTTTGCACTTTCAGCCAGTTGTGATGATGAAATCCTAAGCGTTCTCCCTCCTCTAAGGTGACTTGTTTCTTTCCTACAAAGGATCTCTTTTATCATCTAATTTGTTTCCTATAATTATGCAAAAAACTAAATCTATATAATCTATAAAATAAATCAATCTTCTGCTGATCACTAAAGACTTCTGAGTTTGGCCCAACGAGCCTCGTTTATTCTGTTTCATAAAATTTGTTGTAGGATATTTCATATTTATGAGGATTATTGTTGTACTGGTTGGAGGGAACAAGATTTATTTAGAAGGAAGTCATTTGAAAAGCCTGACCTCTTCATGCTTTTTGGGGACAGGTTCTTCTCCAGGTCCCTCTCCAGGTCCTGGACCGACAGGGTGTAGGACTCAGGGCAGTAGTCTGGCTCCTCGTCGTAGGCATGGTCCAGCAGCGTACGGGCCCACGTCCCCATGTCGTACGGCGGCATCATCCCTCCCAGCTCTGACGGCAGGATCTCAGGGTGGATGAGCTGATGGAGGCTGTTCAGGTTATTCCCGTGCATGAAGATCTACAGAAACATCATACGCTCTGGTTTTAGGGGCTGTTTTGCATTTTATTCCTTCATTTACTTGAACGTTACCATAAATAGCAACGCCTGGAGACACCAGAGTAAATTTAAAGTATGATATCATTAAAGGTGGAGCACGTACTTTAAAACTTTTAAAGTAACTTCAAAGATCCTTAAATGTGACGATCAGGTATTTTTACAGTTCGTTCCCTCCCCCGAGCCTCTACAGCAAAGCTAGTCATTTACACAAGCCCAGAGCGGTGACCTATAGGAGAAAATGCCCCAGGTCCCAGCATGCACTACAGGGTGGGACACATCAGTCAGCTTGGCACACTCACCTAGCTTGAATGCTAACTTGACCTGCATTGAATGAATGTCAATTTGCAAACTTTAAGCTACCACTGGAAGAGGAGGGAGGGGAACGAGAACGTATTTATGAGCAGGAACATGCTGCAAAAACATGTGGCCACAGCGGCCCTTCACTGCCATCACAGTGCTACTGTGCACGGAATGAGGCGTGGCTTTCAGCTCCTTTCAGAAGGGGAGGGGGAGCAGAGGCAGAGCATAGCTGTACAAGTCTTGCAAAATCTCCTCCTCCTCTGTTTGATTATGTCACGCTATGGTTCCCAGCTTTAACCATAAACATGAATGCATATATGCCCCAGTGGGCGCTGGAGAGCGAAGTAGTGTCACCACCATATTGGATGGGTTTCTCAGCCTCCAAACCCAACTGGAGTCAACAGAGAATGAGCAACTACCGGTATGCTCGTTTTTTGTGCATCCTACAGGCCACGTGGGATTACTATTAACTTTTCTAGCCTACCTGTTGGGATTTTATATTTTTATTTAATTATATTGATATTTTAACTATCATGCCATACCATATGTCTGACTCGGTGAAAAAGCATAAAAAAAGTTTTTTTTTTTGGGGTAAGCACCTTCCTCAGTAGAAATAAAAGCACTGGGGCAAATAGAGACCCATCCAAGATGGTGGCTGGCCACTATGGCAGCTCCAATAGGCAGCGCCAGTCCACGGGGTATCTATGTATATGATGTTTGTGGCTTTAAGGACCAGTCTTGCTAAGAGGTGCCACCCTTGGTCACACTTTACTTGGGGGAACATCCAAATTTAAAGTGGAGACCAAATTAGTAGAGACAATTTGTTGTTAGAGTTTGGGTTTTGCAAAGCATTTTCCAAAATTTATTCTAGTTACCGGTACATTTATTTATTTTGTGCTCCATGAGCCTTGGACAGATTACACTTGGGGCTCATCTGGGACACCTCCTAATTTTAAGTGGAGACCAAATTAGTTTTAGATCATTTTTTGGTAGGGTTCGGGTTTTGCTAAGCATTTTCCAGGGTAAATTCTAGTTACATTTATTAATTTTGTGCTCCATAAACCTAGGACAGATTACACTTGGGGGCTTGTCCAGGATACCTCCAAATTTTCAGTGGAGACCAAATTAATTTTAGAGCATTTTTTTGTTAGGTTTAGGGTTTTGCAAAGCTTTTACCAGAGTCCATTCTTGTTACATTTATGTATTTTGTGCTCCACAAGCCTAGGACAGATTACACTTGGGAGCTCACCCGGGGTACTTTAAACATGTCAGTAGAAACCAATCATTGTAGGAGTTTAAAAAATGTTTTTCTTCTCCAAAGTGGGTTTTAAAGTCAAATGTGTTCTGAAACCTCAGGTTCATCAGCGTCTGGATTTAACAAAAGTGGACATTTATGTTTCCTTAGTGTTAGCTGCATTATTTATCTCACAGATCCTTTGAATCATCTAGAATCATCTAGAAAATAAATCAGGTATTTCAGAAATATTAATACAAATATAATAAATAGACTGATTAAAGGGTAAATATTCTGGGTTTGAAAACAGTTACTTTTGTATTAGACTTTATTCGGAAAAGAAATTAAAATTAATCTTAATAAATCCACTTCCTGGTTTGAAACAATGAGTCACACGTCCGTACCCGCTTCCTGGTTTTGTCCTTGAGGAAGGGTCGAATGACGGTGTAGAGAGCGTGGATGTACCAGGGCTGGTTCACAAAGTGGATCCCTCCGAATCGGGCCGGAAAACTGTCCTGTTTGAGACAGAAACCACAAAGCTCTTCTGTTGTTGCACAGCATGTGAAAAAGATGCTAACTGCTGCATCGTACACATCTTGTCTCTAATGAACCACATAAGGAGATCTTCATGAGAAAACAAGCTTGACATTTAAACAACACTCATGAATTCATCACCCATTAACAAGACGAGGCGTTTACAGCAGCTTGTGTTTTACAAACCTGAGTCGAGCTCCATCAGAATGATTTAAAGAGACTCTCTCACAAGACAGAACGGAGACTTGGTAAACACAAAATTACCCCTGTGACTCTCCTGTCTCCTTTCATTAGATTACTTTGTAAATGTCCTCTAACGGCATATTCAGGAGGAAATGACCCGGGTCTGTTTCAGAGGCTCGGTCGGCAGCATGAGGCCCGAGGGAAATGAGCCACGTTCATGCAGGTTAGCGTGAAGCTGCGGTTCCTAGAGGTCTGGCCAATTATCATAATTACACTTCACTGCAGGTGTGTATGGGAGGCGAAACGTGGCTGTGGTCCAGCAGTATGTCCAGATTATGTTCTGATCGAAGAGCCGGCTGATGGAAATTGCTTTGGGCAGACGTTTATGTGTGGGAGGACAGGAGGCAGAAACAGCATCTGAGGTCAGGATTCACAGAAAAGCAGCCCCAAACCTTCAAAACCTTCTGCTTCAGCAGCTCCAGGGTGACATCAGAGGCTGTGAAAAGGCCTAGTTCTTTTTGCTTGTTGCGTATCCTCGTTCTCCTTCAGTAACGGTCGTACAAATGTTTATATCGTCTGACTTTTTCCACGAGATGTTCTCCAATCTGCTCCGTGTCTGTCGCTAAATGTGTTCGGCTCTCGTTTTACTGTTTTGAGGGGGAATGGCAGCGCCGTTAATGAAGTTAAAGGAAGCAGCATCCTGACAAATCCAAGGGCGCCCCCAAAATTGATGACCCCTCCAGGAAAAGCCAGTGTTAACAAATCATATTAATGTTCAGTCAAACCATATATTAATCTTGTTTATTCAAGACATAATTGTAAAACAAAATAAAAATATCACAATTAATGAGTAAAGAAACAATCAGAACAAAAAAATATACATATGTTTCTGCTGCTCACCAATTAAAAAAGGTTTATCTCTATAATTTTTTTTGTGAACACAGCAACACAGGTGAATAAATCTAAAAAAAATAACATTTTAAATAAAATTTGGGGTAAAATTTGAAATAACTGAAATGCATTTTTCTAAAATGTTTGTGTTTGTAAATTTTAAGTTAAATGTTTTGGATATGTACTGTTATTTTAATAAAAACGAATAAAGGTGTAATGCAGTACATTGCCACAGACTAAATTCAACCAGAGTTACCACAAGAACCAATTTGGTGTGCCACCCCAAAAATGTCTTTGGCCCCATCTGGCCACTCCTATCAAAATTTTCTGGAGGCGCCCCTGGACAAATGACAGGCTTGTGGTTCCCGTTGCTTTCCATGGATATTTAGAGAAGACTCCGTCTGTCTCTGCGAGCCTGTTGGAAAGCACTTGCAACGACCCTAACCCTAACAACGACGGATAATGGCGTTGGCCGTCTCCGAACCAACGCAGATAGAGAAGTATAAACTGGCCTTAAATCCAAAACTCAACAACTGGACCAACAGTACTCGGCACAATGATCAACATGATCAAAAACAAGCAAACTAAACCGATTATTAAATGAGACGCACAAAAGGAGAAAAAGCTGGGATCAGAAACACCAAATAAGACAAACTAAAACCCTATAAACCACAAGAACCAAAAACTACAGAATGTAACACCAACACATCAAAGTGTCTAAACAGATTTAAAGTTCATGATAAAGTAAAAAGAAAAAAAATGATTATGTAAAACTTCAGTTTCTGGTGTTTAAGTTGGTTAGTTTCTGCTTGTTTTGGCCCATCAGATTAATTAAAAACAAAAAGTCTCACTCCGATGATTCATGTAAGCATTTAGTCAGACCTCACCACAGCAGGAATCACTCAGCTTACTTCAGTCGTGGTGCTGAGTATTTGCTGCACACGAATATTAAAGGTATAGCAATCAATGTTTTTCTTCCGGGTGGATCACGTCAACCATCGCGCCGCAAAAATGTCAATTTCTGGTGAAGCCAATCCGGAGTTAGTTTTCACTTCCTGCGCATGCGTACTCTGTGCACCCATGCATTCTCATGGAAATCAAGAAGAGGCTAACGCGGTCCAGTCAGCTCCCCACAGACGCTGCTGTTGCCGGTTTTCTGCTCGAGAGGTAAGCTAACGTTCTGCATGCCATTTTTAGAGCCTCTTATTACACAATACGGCCGGCAGCTACTTGTAAACAGGCGCTGGGAGAGTGTTGCGCAAAATGGAAAGGGTGGTTCTTTCCTGAAATTCACAAACATCGATTGCTATACCTTTAAATATTTCGGTCGTGGTGCTGAGTATTTGCTGCACATGAACATTAAGAATTTCGGTCATGGTACTGAGTATTTGCTGCGCATGACCATTAAGTATTTCGGTTGTGGTACTGAGTATTTACTGCACATGACCATTAAGTATTTCGGTCGTGGAACTGAGTATTTGCTGCACATGAAGTATTTCTGTCTTGGTACTGAGTATTTACTGCACATGATCATTAAGTATTTTGGTCGTGGTACTGAGTATTTACTGCACACGATCATTAAGTATTTCGGTAGTGGTACTATTTGCTGCACACGAACATTAAGTATTTCAGTCGTAGTACTGAGTATTTGCTGCACATTACCATTAAGTATTTCGGTCGCGGTACTGAGTATTTACTGCACATGACCATTAAGTATTTTGGTCGCGGAACTGAGTATTTGCTGCACATGAAGTATTTCGGTTCTGGTACTTAGTATTTGATGCACATGAAGTATTTCGGTCGTGGTACTGAGTATTTACTGCACACAAACATTAAGTATTTCGGTCGTAGTACTAAGTATTTACAGCACATGACCATTAAGTATTTTGTATTAAGTCTCAGAAAGAATGAATGAAAGGAGGAAAAGTAAAGTCAGCACATTTTCTTAAAAAACAATCATTATCTGACAATGTAGAAGATGTGTGATGGTATCGTTTGTAGGAGAACAAAGATTCACGTTCATGAATCTAAAAGCAGACTCTGAGAGACCGAGGACTACACATAGCGGGTGGCTGGATTAGTGACTGGGAACAGCTGAGATGATTATAGATGAAACACAGGTGAGCATCTGAGGCCACCAAAAGGTGGGAAACAGCAAGTCAGTGACTAAAACAAACAATGTTAGTAAATTAAAACACACTTTGGTTAAAAACCAAATACAACTGGAAAATCCACAACTGTAGCAGGATATCAGAAATAAAGTTTACTCAAAAAGGTTCAAATGCTGAATCAAAATCTGCAGGCAGGAGATTTTTATCACTTTATTTATCAATTTATTGTTTGTTTGTTTGTTTGTTTGTTTGTTTGTTTGTTTGTATGCTAGGCATGGTCAGAAAAGCTCCAACTACAAAAGAATAAAAATGTAAAAAATAAAATACAATTGTGAAAACAAGTAAATAAGGCACAAAATACAAGCTAAAAATAAAATGTATGCCTCTAAAACAGCACATAAAGAGCAAACATCGTTAGCTTTTTTTCCTAAAGATTGTTTTATTATCATCAAACTGCACAGCGATTTTAAAAAGTTTTACCTGCAGTTGAGAAATGAGAAAACTTAAATATTCATAAAATTAGGTTTTATGGGGACCACCGGGTCAAACCCACTCCAGGGTTTTCCTGGATACGGCCCTGCTGCGGGGCACAGCTGAGCATGTGCATGATCAAAAGAAAAAGTGACACAAAACGGGAAAGAATCTGCTTGGACCAACAAACTGGTGAGACTTTTTATTTAGTTTTTCTGTTTCTGCCCAACTTCCCGATGCTGAATAATCTCCTCCCCCTCATGCCCGTGGCTTCACTGAAGAAGGTAAACACATTAGAAATGGTTTTTTAAAAGCGTGGTACGGTTTGAAAAACATAAAGAAAAACACCCACTTCAAGCTTTGCGACACAAAACACTCCACTAGATTTTCCCTTTAAATCTAACCGGGGGCCACAGCCCATTGAGGCCTGTGAAATCATGTTGGTGAAGACCATTGTTTTCTTTTAACAGTAATTAAATAAGACTCGTTTTGGATTATCCCTCAACTTTGTCAGCATAAATGAATTTGTGCATTATGGTCATTTGTTGGATAAATGAGGTTTTCTCAATAAACTAAAAGTTCGGGTTGTGAGAAATCAAACAGGAGGTTTGGAGATAATTACCAGAAATAAAATACATTTAAAAATGCTAAAGTCAACTTTTAGCATTTAGAATGAACCAAAACAGTTGCTGGTTAAGTTGTTTGTGTTGCCATGCACTCTTCTCCTTAGCTAATTGGCAATGTTTGTATATTTCATTTACCATGGGGGTCACAGGTTACCATGTGGGTCAGAACACTGGCTTTTTCACCTTTACTCCAGATCAATGCATGTCTACGTTATTTCCCACCTGATGTGTTGTAATCACAGTAAAGCTGCTCCCATCATGCATCTTCCGATCTCCTACTGATGTAGTGATTTTATCTCTGAAACTCAAGTGGCCAAATCTGGGTTAATTCTCTGCAGGTACTAGATTTTATCAGGAGTGCTTTGCTTGGAGGCAAGGAGAATAAATCATTATTTTTTCCCAGTGTGGCTAAGTTACATTTGTTTAGTAAGCCTTGGGCACACTTTACTTGGGGAACTTCCAAATTTTAAGTGGAGACCAAATTAGCTGAGGGAATTTGTTGTTAGAGTTTGGGTTTTGCAAAGCATTTTCCAGAATCAATTCTAGTTACGTTTATTTATTTTGTGCTCCACGAGCCTTGGACAGATTACACTTGGGGGCTCATCCAGGATACCTCCAAATTTTCAGTGGAGACCAAATTAGTTTGAGAGCATTTTTTTGGTAGGGTTAGGGTTTTGCAAAGCATTTTCCAGGGTCAAT